TGCAGAGGTTTTTGCTTGGGAAGCAGTGAAATCGTAAGCATTTGAAGAGAGAAGGAGAGAGAGACGGGGACGAGGGAGAAGGATGGTGGTAGGATGATGCAGCGACTACTAGGCGGAGGATCTACTTTCGAAGGTTATAGCAGCAAAATGAGTAGCAAAAACGTAACCAAATTCAAAAAAGTTGCGTCCAGCAACGTGAAAAAGGAGAAATCGAATCCGAAAAGAGTCGCGGAAGATCTTGAGAAGGATGAGCTCGAGGATTTTCTGCTTGGTGAAGACTCGGCGGCCGAGTTCACTGCTGGTGTGGTGGATTTGGAAGAAGGTCAAACGGTAGCAAAAAAGCGGAAAGCGTCCAAAATTTTCTTCATCACAAAACTCGAAGACGATGAAGCTGAGGATCGTGCTGAAAAGGAGCGAGCTCTCGAAGAGGCGAAGAAAGTACTTGCGGAGGCTGGTCTTTGGCGTTGGCCAAAAGAGAACAAGAAAGTCAAGACAGCTGACGAGACGAAGCTTCTAGCAGAGAAGAAGCAAGTAGTCAGACGGGAGGAGATCTGTCAGCTTGATAGGAAGTCTAGAATGTTTGCGAACAAGATCATCAAAATGCGACAGCAAATGGGGGAAGATCCACGCCTTGACAAACACTACGCGCCTGGAACCATTATCAAGACAAATCCAGGCTATACCGTGCAGTCAATTGCGAATTTAGGTACTTCAATAATATCGACTAGCTTAGATAGCTCCCGTGAGGTAGATAGAGTAAGTAGATAGTAAAGAACTAGAAAGAAAAATGCCGATCCCGGAGGCAAATAAAGAGAAAAAAGCGATTCCGCGGCTTGCGGAATGCCGGCATTGTGGGAATTTTTTCCATGTCCGTGGCCTTACATCCCACGAAAAAGCTTGCGTAAGCAAGCAAGCAGCTGCCGCAACAGCTGGGAAGGAGAGTAAGCTGCTAACTCGCTTAGCTTTTGGGGCTTTGTTTTAGAGTGAATACCTTGAAGAGGCTGAAGACGATCAGGCGAATCCATTGAAAAGTAAAAAAATTCGAATCCTTAAAAGCTTGGCAGGGGTTTGCCCCCTTTTTTTCTTTGGTGGCTTGGGTGGCTGGCCTCTTTCGAAAAGTCTACATTTTTGCCAATTTTTGCAGCAATGTGCTGAAAATTTGCAAAGATCGAATTGCCTCCAATTAGAGCCGCTATGGCTCTGGAAATTCCAAAAATGTTAAAAAAATTAAAAAATTTAAAAATCGAGAAAACAAACAAACTCGCGAGCGCGTGTGCGGTTTCTAGTCGCGCTAGAAGCTTAAACGCTGGGCAAGGGTTCCCACAATATTCCCAGACAGTCGCAAAGTGTTCGAATATTCCCAAATATTAACAAAATAAAGACAGAAAAGAAAAAGAACGACGCAACGACTCCGACAAAAATCCGCGCAAGGGTTTCTGGGCTCTCCTTATTGGTTTCGCGTCGTCGTCTCCTTTGTGAAAACTCTTCAGCAAAACCGCTAAGGGGCAGTGGCACTCCTGGGCCGTTTTCGATATTTTGCCACTTTTCTTCACAGTTTGGCACGCCAGTCCCTCGATCGCGGGGCCAGTTCGTCTCTCTCCTTTTCTCATTTCCTTATCGGTTTCGCCTCGGTCTTTCCGGGCTCGGTCCAGATGCTTCCGCCGTTCTCTTATCGGTTTCGCCGCTCGCTTGGCGTGCCCGTCTCCTCTGCAATCCCTCCGGCTACCGATACAAACCGAACGAGACGACAGGCGACGCCGTGGGGCATGGGCTCTCCTTTCTTTTTAAGAGTCTGGAACATTCCTACAGGCAAAGGCTAACCCTGTGCGCCTGTAGCTCTCAGAAGTGCGCCCGGTATAGGTAGCACGCGCACGCGAAGAGGGCCAAGGGGATAACTTCAATCGCGGACGCCTTTCGGTAAGGCCGCAGAAGCTTGGCAAGGCGCCCCGTCTGGCGCACCGTCCCGCTGGCGGCCGACGATGGGGCACGCCTTAGCTCTTCAGTTACACAGGCGACAGTTTTTCTGACGCATCCCCCCGCCTCCCGTTGTACCCCGCGCCCCCCGCCCCCCTTGTACAAGGTTACATGGTTGGGGACAGTCCGGGGGCGCACTCTTCGGCGCAGGCTCGTTATATAGGTTCACCGTCGCGCAAACATTTAACCTTGTACAAGGGGGGCGGGGGGCGAGATGGTCACGCATTGCCCCCTCGCCGCCGCGGCCGCCAGAGGGACGACGCGCCACGCTGCGCTGTTGGGCGCTGGCGGGCGCGTGGTCTGCGCCGCATAATCCAGCGCGAACAGCCCAGCAGGGCTACCCTCTACCCCCTCGTCCCTGGCGGCCTACGGCCGCCAGAGAGACGACGCGCCACGCTGCGCTGGTGGGCGCTGATGGGCGCGGGGTGTGCGCCGCATAATCCAGCGTGAACAGCCCAGCAAGGCAGCCCTCTGCCCCCTCGTCCCTGGCGGCCTACGGCCGCCAGAGGGACGACGCGCCACGCTGCGCTGGTGGGCGCTGGTGGGCGCGTGGTCTGCGCCGCATAATCCAGCGCGAACAGCCCAGCAAGGCAACCCTCTGCCCCCTCGTCCCTGGCGGCCTATGGCCGCCAGAGAGACGAAGCGCCACGCTGCGCTGGTGGGCGCTTGGTCTGCGCCGCATAATCCAGCGCGAACAGCCCAGCAAGGCAACCCTCTGCCCCCTCGTCCCTGGCGGCCTATGACCGCCAGAGAGACGACGCGCCACGGCACAGAGATTAGACATACGGCAAGAGCACACGAGGGGAGCACATGAGAAGACGCAGAACACAAGATCAGCCAGGCCAGAAGAACCCAGACCGACCCAACTGGAACAGAGGCGAGCCAAGCCAGGGGAACACAAGACAGCGGCGACCCCTCTCGCGTATCTTGCGAAATGAAAGAAGTGGAAGTAGCTGGATGAGGGAGGCGCGCGCGGTTTTATCGAAAAGCCGCCACGTGGAGACCGACGAGGCCTCCCGTCTGTGGTCAATCTTTTGGAAGAATATGACGAGGAAGCGAAACCGATAAGGAGATCCGGGAAACCCTTGCGGGGATTTTTGTCGGAGACGCTGCGGCGGTCTTTTTCTTTTTCGTCTTCGTTTTGTGAATATTTGAGACTATTCGAATATTTGGAGAATATTTGGAGAATGTTTGGGAATATTCGCCGAATATTTGCGAGTTTTTTTTAAGTGCGGGAATAGTTTTCGGGTGAATATTTTGAAATAAGATGAAAAACTGCGTATGCAGTTCATACCGTGCGGGAATCGAACTGCGTAAGAGGCTCCGGGCATGCTCATGCAATTCCGCGATTAGTTCTTCTCATGGGGCTACCTGAGCGAGCTGATGCGAAGACGCTTCTCATTAAAAAAAAGAAATACTTTAAAGAAGCTCTCTTTTTTAATGCGAACAGCGCGACCTCGACACCTAAAAAACCCGAAGAACCGCGAAGGGCGACCTGCAGCAAGAAAGGGCGCCGCGGCGGGGCTGTCGCTGGCCCGCGCCCGCGCCCCCCGCGGCTATGCCCTGCCGCCGTTGGAGGCGTGGGACGGGCGCCGCATCGAAGGCGCCCCCCGTGAATCGGCCGGGGAGGCGAAAGGGCGTGGGGCGGTCGTGTCCCTGGCCTCCTCCCTTCCCCCTGTTTTGATTCACGGGGGGCGCGGGGTTCGCTTGAAGCGACTAGCCCGGGACGCACGCGCGGACGCGCCGTTCGCTGCGCGTTTTGCCAGCTCCCTGCACCAGTCGGCAGCGCCGCGGCCCTAAGTCGGTCCAGGAATTATTCGCCAGCCGCGAAAATTCGCGCCCTTTTTGGGAAGTGGTGGGCACGAGCTAAGCGCGGCACGGCAATTATTCGCGACGGTTTAGACTCGGATATTCGTGCCCTGTTTGGGGAGAGGTGGGCGTGCAGTGCGGCAAGGCTGCCAATTATTCGCGGCGACTCGGCGGAGAATGTTCGCGCGTTTTGAGGGAAGTGTTGGGCGCGCTCCGAGCCGGGGAGGGCAATCGCCCTCGACGGTTAATGCGCGAACATTCCCTGGCGTGACGTGGTGGACATGTCCTGAGGCAACCGCGACGACACTTCGCGACGGCGCGGGCGCAAAAGCCCCCGCGCGCCCTTCATAAGAAGCAGCGGGCGCCCTTCTTGCAGATTTTGCAAGTGTCTGGCAAGCTCCAGAAAACCATCGCGAAAAAGTTAGTAACTGCTGTTGTCAAGAAGGTAACACGACGCCGCAGAGGTGCCTCTAGAACGTGACGGGCGAAGGCCTTCCTCTGCTGACGTGCGTCGGCCCTACGGACTTGGAGCAAAGGACCACGAACCCGCACGCGGGGGTGCTGGTTTTAGCCTGATGCTCCAAGCCTGGCGGCTAGAGACTCCGCTGATTCCCGGCGCCTCTGGCTTAAGCGTTTCTAGCCGCGGCGCGGCACTGGCTGCCCGCGGGGCTTGGCCGCTTGCTGCGTTCGTAGGCGCCGGAAGGGCCTGTGGCGTCTTGCGCCTCTCCATCCGCGGAACCATCGCCGGGCAGGCGGTGCACAAGGGCCGCGGCCCGTCTTTGCATTTAGAAGATGCCGTCGGGGGACCCTCGCATGCTGCCCTTTCTTGCAGCGGTGACCGATATCGAAGACGGCCGCGGTGGCTGCAAAGATAACCGCGCGAAAGCGTACTCTCGCGCGAGTTGGGGTTGAGCACCGATCTGTCGAGAACGAGCGTTGTATTGAAAGTATTGCATTTGCATCTTGCTATCCCCTACAATCGTAATACTGATCCCACACGCATCTTCTGAAAAAATCTGTTGATCTGAGACAGAGTTTGCAAAATCTGGCATCCGGGCATTTTGGAGCTTCGTAGACAATTCTCGAAGGAAGAGAAGCGACAGATCTTGTCTTCCAAAAGAAACAGGGGACATTTTTTTCCCACGTTAAGTAAGGACGAACAGGCGTTAGCCAACAAAATGTCTATTCCAAATGATCATCACGTGAGAAGAAATTCCGGATGACCTATTGTCTGTCCCTGTGGGTACGTAAGGAGGAGTATAGCAGTGCGTTTTAGTTGGTTTCAAACAATTAAATGCAGTAAGGTCCTATCCATTCTGTCTCTAATTATATCGTGTTTCTCAGAAGCAAATTAATACCGTTTCAAAAAAAGGGTTTCCGTTTGTCTGCTATCTTTCACAAAGAAAAATGATGCTGCCCTCTGCGTTAGGCTTATTGCTAGTTCTTTCTCTTCGCAAGGAAGTTTGCTTCGCGTTGCGACTGCGTCAAGAAGTGGCGGCGCCCTGGGACGAGCAGCACAGAAGAACCGAACAAAGCGAGGGCAGCGACCACGAGATGGCCATTCGCCGGCAAAATTACATCCGAGACACTGCTACTGAGGATTACGAAGCGAAGCTGAAAGCGATTCAAAGTGACTATCGCAGTGTGAAAGCCAGAAGAACCACATTGGTGCTTCGCGCAGAAGGCGTTCGCGATGCGGCAAGAAGACCACTTGTTCGAGAGACTTGGCTATCTTCGCAACTCGAGTTGTGCCGGAACACGATGGAGGCATCCTGCACAAAAGCGGAAGACGCCATCTTGCGCTGGGGTGTTGCTTCTGTGGCTGGGACGCTCGTAGCGCGCACCGTACCCGCCGTCTACCAACTGCCGGCTGTCGCACGCCTCTGTCTTGGACTCGGAGCGGCTGCTACGACGATATGGGGACTTCCTTGCCGCAGGCACACGCCACAACTTTCCCCCGAAGCAAGCTATGCGGAGTATGTGTGTCGGCAGCATCAGCTCTTAAATGAGCTGGACCAGATCGCTGAGCATGTGGGGATCGAACTGGAGCCAACGATAGAGGCGATTGAGGCGGGTCTGCGGGACGAGACTGAAGCCCTGCGGATTGTGCGAGGATCGGCGCAAGCACCGCCGCTTGCGCGATTGCGGCGTGTGATGGCGGCACCGCACGAGAACGTGCCGGGCCGTATTCAAAATGCAGTACTAAACGACGCGATGCCTGAGAGTTGGGAGATACGCCTAAGTCAATTAGCCTTTGCGCTCGACGCTTTCAAGATTCAAATTGACGAAGCAGAGACACAATTAGAACGGCTTGATGCGGTGGGGCGACGGCCCGAAGATCACTTTCCTGTTGCCGTGTTGCGCTCATCTGTTTATTAAAGTTGCTTGGAGACGGCCCATGCTCTCCTCGTGAAAAATGAAAAGTACCATGAACAAGCTTGATCCGATCACGGTGTTTACTTGCTGCGATATGAAGCGTGCCCCTAAAATACAGTAGGAATTTAAGTTATCGCTGAAACTCATGCGTGTATTGATGGCAGAGAGATCACTCTGCTCGCTTACGAAAAGTTTGTCTGACAATCCGTAGGTGAGTGCTGCAAAATTTGTGACTCTGTGTAAGGGATGCCCACTCTACTTGCGAGTGAATTTTTGGTGAATTTTTTTATGCTTTTTGATCTACGTATTTTGTGGTCCCGAAGCCTACGTTTCGTTAACAAAGTCTGGGGTATCAAATCTAGCCACAATGCCTCAATAGCGGAGAACATGCCCACACCAAAAAAATGAGTATAGTTGGACCTCTTGTTTTCGAACCAAATGGTTTCCATGTTGGCCTCTCGTCTGGCGTAGTTATAATAAATTGTTGCGAAAAGCACCTTGCGAACCATGCGAATTCTGCATGGTGTGGTTGCAGCCGCTACAGCTCATTCTCGCTCACCTTCTTCCGAGTTTCATGTTGGAGAAGAGTTATTGGTTATTTTGATGGAAATTGGTGATCGTGAAAGGCAACAAAGTTCCTGTCTGTGATACGCAACTAGCACCGGAGAGTATCGTATGCAGCTGCTGTGCTTCCACTACGTCTGCGAATAACGGCTAGCAATTTGTTCCTGATGAAACTGAGTTTGTATGACGCAGGTTGCGTTGTTTCCTCACTGAACACCTTGCGAGATGCGTCGCTATAAAATTTTGTAGGCCCAGACGAGGAAGCGGATGTCGAGGATTGAACACCCATTTGAAATGACAGTTTCCAGTGACGAGCGACTGCCGGTCACCAGAGGAGAGTGATGATGTTTTAGACAGTTAGTGCTTCGCGAGAGTACGAGTTTTCTTGCTCCTTTCTATCAAGCACTCCCAGTATGTTTTTCGATTAATTGCGGATATCACGGAAGTCAGAAAAAATCCTGAGAAACCGGAAATCTCAATCCAACATCCTTGTCTTGAATTGATTTCCTTTTTGTTATGTGGCGTAGCGTCTTTTTTCCGTAGTGGTAGTCGTGTATTCAATTGTTTATTTGATGTAGGTGATAATATAGAAGAAGCACATCTTGCATCACTCGCTGGTCGTGAAGCATTGTTTTCTTATAAGAACTATAATTGTGATGCTATTTCGTGACCGTTGGTTTCTTCGTCTGCCGCGTCAATCTTCGCCCTTTGTAGTGGCGATTCTTATTGCTGCGACAGGTTGCTGGTCGATAGTTGTGGCGAACCCTCCTCCTTATCATGCAAATGTACGGCATCGGCTGCAGCGGCACTTCGAGTGGCCGGAGCCGTGCGACGATGTTAGACAAGAAGTACCAGCCATGGACCGTTTGACACGACGAAAATTTATATGACAGAGGAATGATTACTCATACTCAAGAGCTAGACTGCCCTCTAGGGAGTTGTGTATGTATTTACCCAGCTAGAACTGGATTCTGTTTCGTACTGGATCCGGTCTCGTTCTTAGAGAGTGAGTAAGACTTCTTCTGTCATATCTCAACGAATTTGTTGAAAGCGGTGGTCCATTTATTCTTGGCCGAGGAAGCAGGGTTGCACCCACTGCAGATGATTGCGGCACATTAGTCACACTCACACTTTGCATCCCCCGCATCACTCAGACGCTCGGGCGTCTTTTTCTAATTTCATGTGAAAACACCTAGGTGATACTTGTAAGGGTGTTAGATAAACTAGGGCTACAAAAGCTGTGTTTCTAAGAAGCGAGAAAAGAAGATACCGAGCATCAGCAAGACCTGCTGGCGATCTTAGACAATGTCCGCGTACCTCACTTGGGATTGAGTCACCTGTCATCGATCACCCTTCCCCTTCTAGCACCACGCGACGATGCTGGAGAAGGGTCCGTCGATGTTGAGGGAGAGGAGGAGGTTTTGCGCGAGACGTGGTCGGAGCCTCACTGCTTCGCGACAGCTGCGACAGTCCACGACGGATCAATTTCGGTCGCTCTTCGTTTCCCTGGGTCGCTTTCTAATGGGTCTTCACGAAAGCACGACGACACCGATGATAGATCACCTGACTTTGTGACAACACTGCATCCTGGGGACCTGCTGATTTATCCACCAGCAACACAGTTTCGAGAATTCCGTGCATTGTCGAGTTCTGCAGGAAGCACCAAAGGGAGCAGGAGTGTAGAGCAAGGGTTTCCGCAAATGCAGCGCGTGGCGGTGACCGCGCCGCTTCCGGCACGATTATTGCAAGTCCTAGGCGGGGACACGCGTGGAGGCGCCTGTCGCGAGGTGCGACGAGACCTGGCGTTGCTGGGAGTGCAGTTTCCTTTGCTACCGTCGATGCGAACCGCAGTCATCGAGGCCGCTAAGCGAGTTGCTGAGGAGATCGATACGGATGCCAATGGCGCGGTGGATGCGAATGAAGCTACTGCTTACTTCAAAAGCACCAATGTCGGGCGCGGCGCTGCGCAGCCCTACTTTCCGGACCTGCTCGCGTACCATGACCTCAATCGCAATTCAAAGTTGGAAGCAAACGAAATCATTTCCGGGTTAGCACAGTTTTCTGTTGATCGTTTTGAAGCGCGACAAAAATATGAGCAGCGCAGAGGGAGTAAGGAGAATACCTGAGAAACATAAAGAATCATGTCCAGCATGACGAGAACACTACTGTGGCAAGAACTTACACGTCAATAAACATGGCGTGTACAGCACTAGCACCATTGTGGAAGATTCTAAACTTGAGACCAACGCATACGGTGATACGATGATCGCATCATGCCCCCCGCGACCTTTCTACTGCATACATCGTGGAAAACTAAACGAATGCTCAGGGATGATATCAACTACACACTAAGCATTTGGAAGTTGTAATGATCTTTGTTCGTGTAGAGAAATGCGCATCACAGACTCACGCATTCACTATCAATTGTTGCACCAACAACTCTATTGGATGAAGAATCGAAGAGACACCTTGCATCCGCATATCCAGTGGAGCTGCGAAATGTTTTCTGAACGCCAGAGACCACTGTGAAGGTGAGATCATAGTGTAGAGCAGTCTGAAGCAAGCATGTTGTGGAATCGTCTACCCGGAAAAGTAAATCATAAAATGTGAGTCCTGCATATGCCAGATACGTTGTAGTGAATCCTACGACTGGAGAGATGGGACAAAGAAGTCGCCTCAGTACGAAAAGATTTGAAGCAACCTTTTTGAGGGACACTGTACGACAAGATCTGTTTGATTGTTTGCAAAAGTGCTGCCTTCTAGGAATTTCGTGGCGCGCCTTTTCTGCAGGTGCTCGCTCCTCTATCGAATCATTTTCATGGAGATGTTTGAGCGAGTGCTTCGTCGTAAAATTGTAAAAATGCGGTTTTCCGTCGAGCGAAAGTAGACGGTGTTGAAGAATGCAAATAACTAGAGACTCATGAGAAGTCCATCGTAAAATGGCGCACGCGAAACGCGGGCGTGCGGCGACTGGCGCACCGTCGAGCCGAGCCGACCTCAGGGGCCAGATCAGAAAAACCGATCATGGCTGCAGGGTTCAACAACTCTGGAAGACTGCTTCAGCAACGAACGTTTCTGAACGATAAACAACTTTTCCTAAGCAAGAAGCGGATGACGGTTCCTCGCTCCACCTACATTCTCCTTCGAAGCCACAACACATAGAAACGAATAGCCTTCTTTCTCCACATCTTTTCCGTCCTACACTGCTTCGACGACTTTTGTCTCTGTATCTTCTTCTCTGGCCTCGTTCTTCAAGCGCAGATTGAACTTCTGCCGCAAAAAGGACCAGCGCCTCCTATTTTTACAAGACAAGACATCCGACCTTTTTACGTCACGATGGGACAGGGTGAGTCGACGCTGAATAACTTTGGGCAAGCTGCTCCCACCTTTCCAACGTGGCGCGTTCCGGAACAATGTCGGCCCAAGCTGATTCCCCTCGAAGGCGGCGGTGTGGCGAAGCGCGCAGTTCTTCTGAACAACGAGGCAGTTACACTTATGCAAGCATCAAAGTACTTGGAAGCAATCAAGCGCCTCCGGTCCGCGCTGCACGCTGCACCAGACTCAGCAGCGCTGGCTGCGAATCTGGCGCTCTGTCTTGCAAAACGGAACGAGTTTGCTGATGCGAGAGCGATGTACAAATATATTCATTATCATATGCAGATCTACAGTCGAGCACTATATAGCGTCTTGCAAAAAGAAAAATGAATGAAAGAGGACGGGTGGAAGTCCATGTTCTACTCATCGCAGTTTAGCCTCTTACTTCAAATCAGGAATATTCAACTGTCTTGACGGTGTCAGAACTAAAGGTACCAACGCGCAGCCTCACACGCCATTTCTGGTCTTGAGTTTTCTGAGTCATTCGGACTGGCCTGGTGCGAGAGCCGGTGCGAGAACTACGGTGGGGCTATTGCTTCCTATCAGGAATTGTATCAGAAACACCCTGACGAGCATGTTCTTCTATACTATATGGGCGACTGCTTCCGAGAAAAAGGGGACTATGCGAAAGGCATCGAAACGCTGAACTTCTTCCTTCAGCAGCGCCCTCGACATTTCGACGCTCATCGCTCACTAGCCTCGTGCTACGAAGCAAAGCACGAATGGAAGAATGCGACTCGAACGTAGCTAACTGATCTGTCTTTTGGTTCGTAACTCCTTACCACTGCCGATGGCTCTTCTTCTCAACTAAGAAATCACCATCACACGAACATTATGATGAATTTTTTATGGAGTTAACGATAATCGTGTAACTCGAGAGGTCAATCTCCGCAACTCAAATGTGATTTTGATTTCAACAGATTCAATGGGCAATTGGCAGCATCATGTTTTGTGATCGTATAAGATGTTGTTGGATCTGCGAAAGATGGTAAAACAGGTACGAGTTTATTCTCAAGCAATGGGAGAGCGCCAACGCAAGTGAGCGCGTGCGAGCTGGCGTGGACTTTGAACGAGAGATGCGGCTGCGTCTGGTTTCACTGTTGCGTCATCAGGCGGAACTACACGAGCAGGAAGAAGAGGGCCGTCGAAACCCCAACAAAGGATACTCCCTGAGCATTGTCGGCAAAGGGAGTTGGGGGGCTCGCGCCAGCGGGGAGAGTGACATGGACGTCGTCAACGACGCACGCACTAGTCGCAACAACAGTGTTTGTGGCCTCAGTGGCTTTCGGTACAGCACGCGCCGCAGCGGCCGCCGCAGCAAGGGCGACGACAACTCGGTGGAGGCGGTGCTGGACCGACAGTCGTGGGGCATGCCACTGAAGAAAAGTCGCTTCTCCGCCATTAGAGAGGAACGGCTCAGCGAAATCGAATCTACAGACTCTGAGCGTAACGCGCGCGGCCGCGAAACGACTGTCCAAGACGACGCCGCGAGCAGTCTAATGGGCAGTGAGGCTTCACAGAACGCGACGAAAAAGGGGTCACACACGAAGGGTAAGGAAATCGTTTCTATTTACGAGTACGCCATTATTCAGCAGCTGCAAAAACTGCTGCAAAGAGACCCACACGATCTTGTCGCACTGCGCGAGCTCTGCTTTTGTTCGCGGAAGTTGAAAGACGTAGCGAAGTATGGTGCCAGGGCTTTCGAACTGCAACCGGATCCGGAACTAGCGTGTCACATCGCAGACTCCTATGCAGAAGTGCTTGAGGGACTCGTGGTACTGTCTTGTATAATAAAACTGAAGAAGATCTATGATTGCGGCATGGATGAGGAGGGATTGTTCCATCTCGATATAATGGTGTCTAGAGATGGGAGTGAATGTTACTTTGGCTGCTTTTTAGATTTGATACCGAATGCAACAAGAAAGATGTCGTGTGACAACCTCGAATGCCATCATTTTCTTACTTTCTCGCAGGGCTGGAAGAACTGTGGACTCGCGGCTATTGCACGCTTAGACGCAGACCGATCGCAGCGTGAGAAGATTGAAAAAGCTGTCCGTTTAGCAATATACTGGTATCGTAAGACTCTTGAAATGTCCGAGAAGCCTCACGTTCCTGCCATGCTCGCGTTGAGTCGATTGCTGATCAATACAGACGAGAGCATCTCGGTGAACTCGCCGACTGAGTCTGAGTTTCCACCGCCGCACTTGAGCGTGATCATGCCCTACAATGCCGAAGCAGGCGACGGGCCGCTTCTCGGCAAAAGCGGACTGCAGGTCGTCTCCGTGCCGCCGCCTAGTCACAGCGCCGCGAATGCAGTGGCACCAACAGGTGGCTTGTCGGCTTCCAAGGAAACTGCGATTGGTGCCTCGCAGCAGCTGACTCTGTCTGTACGGGGAGGCGTAGCGGTGTCCACACCGCCACCAGAGCGCAGCGTGCAGGAGCCGACTCCGCTGTATCCGCCCATCGAAGGAACCGTGTCAAAGGTTACTCCTGGTAGCAGTCGCATGCTGGGTGCCGCCGCGGCAATTCTGGACGACGTGCCCGCCTTGGTGGCGGAGGATCGCGCGAGCAAAAGCACGAGGAGCCACTACTCTGTAAAACCGACACCGCAAAAAGACACGGCAGTAGCAATTGCCGCCGCTCCAGCACAAGCCAGCGCGGAAGAGGGGGCTTCGTCGAAGGAAACAAGCCTAGTGCCGGCTTCCGCTCCGCGCAAGCGGTACGGTGAAGCAATGGAGCTTCTAAACTGCGCACGCAAGCTGAACAAAGACCCGGTGGTGCATATTGAAATTCTGGAGCTGTGCTGTGTTTGCAAGTTCTTAGCCGGAAACATATTTGCAGCACGAAGCTACGCTGCCGAACTTCGTAAGGAAAACGGTTTCAACCGCACTGCCCTGTTCATTCTGGCGGAGATTCACGTTACGCAACCGGGTCGTGCGCTGACGAAAGCAGCATCAAAAACGAGCGACTGGTACAAGGAACTCCTCGTCTGCACGGACTCAGGCGGTCCCGCACAAAGACAATTAGGTATGGCGAAAAGCAGTGAAAGAAAAAGACATGATATTTTGGCGATAGTAGTTTTTCTGAGACTTTCACTTAAGTATTTTCACGCCTAGATAGTCTTTTCTGCCAGCAAAGTTTAGCGTTCGTGACTTTTCTTCATTGTCGAGCGGATACTGCAAGCGATTTCGGAGGCCTACAAAACTCGAAAGCGGTTCGATGAGGCGGCAGCGTGGGCGCAGAAAGGCCTCCAGCAGTTCCCTACTAGTACGAAACTTCAGTGCCTCAAGATGCAAGTTGAGCTGGATCGGAAAACCTGGAACAATCTCCTTGACGGCGGCGGGGATATGATGGACTCCTCAGTGTTTGAGGATGGCCTCTCTTGGCTAGACAGTAGCGATGGTTTAGGTAGCAGCAGTCTCCAGACGACCCGCGAAATCGTGCCGTTCTCGGCAATGCAGGATCGAGCAGCACTGACAGAGACAGACGGGGCCTCGGAGTCGGCGTCTTTACTCAACGGTACTGGTGTTTCATCTAGAATCGCTCTACAAGAAATGAGCGGAACGTCGCCTGGCAAAAAGTTTCCGAAAAATAAAATTGCGAACGGGAAGAAGAAAAAGAAAAAGTCCAAGAAATCGAGGGAAGGGGATCGGAGGAGGTCGCATCACGCTCAAAACGACGACCTCTTCGAAGTTGAAAACGCGGAGAATGCTTTCTACGTACAGCTTTGAAAATAAGTCTTTCTGCGCATTAGACAGAGTCAACATAGGAATAGTCTGATGTGCTGTTGCAGAAGTAGAAATGCTCAGGTTTTCATCTCCAAATGGGTTTTTGTGAGATTACTGCGATTTACCACTAGAAAATCAAAACAGCGCGACGGCGGCGCTTTTTCTCCGTTTTCGGTCACTGGAACTGACGCCCTCGTCAACACGGTGCCACTGCATGAAGCTAACCTCGTCTTTCGGGATGAGTCTGCATCTGCTGTATCCCCTGGGGAAGAAGCTATTGAATCCGAGGACGTTTTTCGCGTCAAGGAGACGGCTGAGGCATTGCTGCGTGAGGGCCGTGAGTTACAGATGGCGTTGCGTCTGTACGAACGCGTGCTATATCTCACATCAGATGAGTACCGACACCAGGCTGCGATTGGCAGTGATCTGGACAGCGCCCTGCAAGCGGCGGATTTTGATATAGTTATGGCTAGCACTTCGCGGTATTAGTTGTGAGCGTTCCGTCGCACTGTCGAGATGATCTACCTTTTGCACAGAATGCCACACACAGATTAGCAGGATTGAAAATTACAGCGTCGTCTAATCTAGAGAGAAACGGGGAAGGGGTTTTGGCGTCGACAGGCACGTCTCGGCGCAGCCAGCGGACGGGTGCCGCGCTGTCCGAGGCGGCCGCTAATCGGTTGCAGGTCGATGCGAAGTTGTCGCTGTGTGACACTTTTCTCCACTTGTACGACTACGTTTTAGAGAGCCAGGTAGATTTGACTGACGAGGATGCGCGACGTGCATTGTTGACCTACGGTGTGCGTGAGGCGTCGCTGTTGCTCTTGGACGAGGACGTATTTTCAGTAAGAAGTGCCTTGAGCAACACGAAGATTTTGAATCATCAGTTTCAGCCAACGAGCCGAACCGAAGGCAGGGCTTCGAGTAAAAAGAGTATAGGCTTCTCAACACGTGGAGCTGGAAGCAAAGAAGCCGGCTTCTCGGTTTCGCGTGGTGGTTCGGTACTCTTTTTCAGCAGCGTGAGCAATGGCACTTTCGGTGACCGGTTCAGTGCTCGTGTGTCTGCACCAGAGATGCCGTGGGCTCCGAATCCGGGCGCGCGCAGCAGCTCTCCTAGCGTGGTGATTGGTCCGGGCGGTGTCGCCACTACGACCGGGAGCGCGCACAGCCAGAAGCATTTCGTGAAACTGGCGAATCAGTACTTTATGAATGCCGCAATGCATCTGCGAGACGCAGAGAAGAAGTTGAGACTCGCACAAGGCTTTGATCGGACGCGGTTCCTGCGTAGCGCTCGGGCAGGTGGCGGCGTAGCGGACGACTTCAGGCAGGATCCAGAGGGATTTCTTATCCGAAAATTCTTCTCCTGTGCAGCACACTTGCTGTACCGTCGCAGTGTACAAGCGGTGGAATGTAAAATACTGTCTACCGGGGGTTCGTCCAGCGGGCAGGGGGCCGCGCCACCCGCGATTACAGACGGCGCGGAGACGAAAAAAGTGGAGCCTGCTGTTGCCCGGGTAAGCAAAGAATCCGCGAAACTCTCCACTGTTTCTGTGGCACGGGAGAGACGTCCAACCGCTCCTCTGGATCCTACGGAACACGACGAGGTGATTGATTTTCAAAGGCACTACGCAGAACAAGCACTTCATTTTCTGTTGCTCGATGAAAACCTGCAGGACGAGCGGGGAACGGTGGTCGATTCACGCGACCAAGTGCTTTTGGCGGAACTAGGGTTCGTATTGCAACACGAAAAAGCGCTAACATGGATCCACAAAGCAACGCGTCACAGGCGAACTATAGATGAGTCGTCACTAGCCGGGTCCCCGCAGTCAACACAAGGTGGCCGCATGTCGGGTGCGCTGCAGCTGGCGAACAAGATGAGTGGGAGCCCGGTCACCGGAAGTGGTACGGAGAAGACTTGGTTTCAGCCGGCTTTGTACAAGCCCAAGCTCTTGTTGGGCAAGCACTACGCGAGTCTTGGCAATTACAATCAAGCACTGCATCACTTCAAAATCGCAGCGAAATTCTGTCCAGAGAAACTTTACCTTCGAACGATGCGCGAGAGTATACTGGACGCCGCCATACAGGCCCACAAACTGGTAATTGTAGATTCAGTCTACATTTATTTTCCATTGCAGGACACAAAAAGTACGTCGTCAGTTTCTGAGTAAAATTTCCGGAAAAGCACATCTATTTTTGCTAAACACGAACTTTTCATCTGTGTGAGTGAACAATGCAATACATCTTGGAGAATCAAATTTATCATTTAGTTCCGAAGGCACACTCTCACCACCTCCATCCTAGGATCTTCTAGTGGAAGTAGTTGACGAAAATTACGGCTCAAGAGTTTTAGAGGACATAGTGGCTACGGAGTTCGTGGACAGCCTTGGCGATGGCAGAGCTTCAGTTACGGCGGACGCCGCGGGCGAGATGGGCCCCGTTGTGCTGAAGGACGACTGCGATACAGAGCATCGCGCCACGCGGCTGGACGGAGGATCCTCCTACAGCGCTACAGTCGGTGGGGCGAGCGCGGATGGCGGTGTCCAGACATGTATGGAGGACATCCGGCGCATGGACAAGGTGAAAAGTCTGCTGAAGTTCGAGTGCCTAAAGCGGTCGGCTATCAAAATGCACAACTCAACGGCAGTGGATGCAGTCGTGAAACTTGTGAACGGCGTCCTCCAGGACATGGACGAGAGTGCAACAGCTATGCAGAACGAAGCCGAGAATGAGCAGCAAGCCGAAGGAAGCGGGGCAGGTCGGATGTCTGAGAGCCGTCGCGAGCCCGGCAGCAACGGTAAAGTGCGGAGTAGCGCACAAGACGAAGAATGTGCAGAGACGCCCGTTAGTGCAGACGCGCAAACAGAGCGAGGTGCACTGGAGGGTTCACACGCTAGTCGGCGCAGCATAGCAGAAACGCCAGCGACTGCAGCGGACCCAAGAAAAACGGAGCAGAGAAAAACCGAGCGTCCAAGCAAGGCAGCGGTTGCGGACGACCGGCCGAGCCGCAACGCGGTCAGCCGCCACTTCCGTCAGTCGGGGATCGCCTTCTTGCAAAATGAAGAGCTGCTGCAAAGCTGTCCGGGGAAGCGTCTCACGCTAGCGAAGTGGCTGCGCGAAGAAGAGCGCTACGAGGAAGCGTTTGAGCAGTACAACAAGAGTCAGGCAGCGGTCAGCACGAAGAGCCCGGCGGAGGCGCTGGAGCCTCAGGAAGAACACATTGCATGTGGGGAGAAATTTCGTCGCACCTACTACCAGCAAAAGCAGCTCTCTGCGCAGAGAAAAAGTGTAGCGGAGTTGGGGAATGCGCGTGAGAGCGACACGCAGGTCGAACAGGTCGACTCCTCGTTCCAACTGCACCCGAATCCGGAGCAGATCAAGCAGCTGGGCACGAATTTGCAATTGCGACCAGCGCAACTGCCGAGTCGGCCCACGAAGTTGCAACTGGGCAAGCTCGGGCTTTTCAATTTATCGGGGCTTCCGGCGAGCAGCGCAAAGGGCAGTCCCAATGGCGAAAACAACAATGCGGCACAAGCTGCTAGCGACGCCGATGGCGTCTTCGATCCGGACGAAGAACAGGAAATCCAGAAACTCGAAGGCTTAGCCTACTGTAGTCGGAAAATGGGCGAGTACGACCTGGCGCTCAGATACTACCGTCAGCTCGTTGCTTGCACCGATGCGAAAATGTCGCAGCTGGTAGAGCAGAACAGCCACGTCTACGGGCAGGAAGACGCTGCTGAGAGTCGCAATCTCGCGGGAAAACGCAAAGCATCCCAGCGCATGCGGCACCTACTCTACTCGCGGCACTTCCTCGCGTCGTTGTATTACGTGGCGACAGTCTTGTTCAAGAAGCGCGAACTGCAGGAGTCTATTCTGTTTGCCAGGCGCGTGATCCTCAGTTGTCATCTTATCGCGGAGGCGCATCGCGAACAAGAGGCAGAGTACCGTCTTGGCGCAGCGTACGTTGCTAGCAAAGCGCACCTCATTTTAGAGGATTTTCAGGAGGCGCAGTGGATGATCAAGCGGGGCTTGGAGCTCCGGGAAAAACCGGAGCAAGTGCACTTCGTATTCTTTTTGGGCATCATAAAGAGTCGCGTGCACGAGTACGCTGTCGCGAAAGAGCTGCTGGTGGAGGCGTTACAGCTGTCCAACCTATTTAAGAAAAATAGCAGCAGCCAAGGCCGCGTGGACTTGGTGCACGGCGCGGGAGCATTTGGGCGGCAAACGGGTCGCAGCGGCACGTCACAGCGCGGACCGCACGGTGTTGAGGGAGCAGGAGGCGAGCACGACGCCGAAAACAGCGACGCCTTGAGTCACCGGCTGTCGTTGACCATGGACAGCACATTGGCTGCCTCTCGGATTGCGGAGCAGATGCGTGGGAGCCTTGTGCCGTCAAGGAACCGCGATGTTTCCAGCCATTACGGTGCCGTAGCATCGGACCTCTTGAGCAACAGCACGTCCGATGCGAGAGACGCGTCGCACAATATTGCAGCAGGTGCCAGCACGCCTGCTTCGGTCGCCACCGACGCGCTTTTGCATCGCCAATCACACACGGCGAAGCAGAGTCTTTCGCGAGACAGCAAAATCTGTGTTGACATCCGCTTTGCCCTAGCCCAGCTCTACCTCTTCCAGGAGCGACTAGAGCTCGCGCGCCAAGAAGTAGAGATTGGACTGTGTGAGAATCCTCTGCACTGTGGGCTCTTGTCCACGAAGGCGCTGTTGTACGTGCTTCAGGAGCAGGAGGAGGACGTGTTAGAGAGCTGCCTCGTCAGCGTAGACTTAGTCCAAAAACTCTGCCAGGACCGCGCGAACCAAGCATGGTATCCGCTTCTCTACTATCGATTGGGCTACCTCTACATGCGCGCGGGAAACCTAGACGCATCGCTGCGCGCGCTAGCGAAATGCACGCGCTGTCCTCTACACACCTTGCCGCACATCACGAAGAGCATTTATGGTTGTGCGCACATACTTGTCTCGCTGGTGTTCAAAGCGCAACGGGATCTCACTTCAGCGAGGAATCATCTGTCGGATGCCCGAAGGTATTTTTGTGCCTGTAAGCGGACGCTCACATAGTCGTGTGTCGCATAAAGATTGGCCTTGTCAAAGTGTTTCACGACTTAAGCGATGAGCTGTTATGCATAATAATTTGTCGGATTTTTTCATTGCTGTGCGCATTTTTTTGACGTGCTATTTCGCTTTGCAGGTATCACAAAATTTTCGATGGATACATTGCAGCAGGCAAGAAGGATGGCTCTGAGCTGAAGACTTTCCTGCACGAAATGAGTCTAACGCCAGACCACGTAGCCGGTTTGCAGTCGTTGATCGAAACGATGCCGGTCCCTGACAATGTTGGTACTTGCAGTTGTCACTCAAATAGCTGTAACAGAGATATTGTTTCTTGGTAGAAGAACCACTTTCAGGAAGTTAGTTTTCGGAAATTTATTTTTCTAGACTCGTTTCCACTGATTATCATGGTTGGCTTTTTTGAGACTCAGAGTTTTGGTTGGCTGGTACTACAAGAATACTGGACATTGTATTTACAATAATCAGCAGGTTCAGTTCCTAGCTCACGAAGTGCGACGCCCTCTCGTCGTGCGCTGGAGGCGCCACCTCCGACGTATCCTGCGCCAGTGCTGGTAGCTAAAAACGTAGAGGCTGTTCCGGTGGTGAAAGCAGGGGCTTCAGATGTGGGCGGCCCAGCAACAAGTGAGTTGGCATTTTTCAATTCTGCCTCTCGTGCGGCAGTGTTGCGCGAGGAATCACTCACACCGCATGGTCTCACGCCTCGCGCGGTGTTTCAGAGTCAGGGACTGACGCCTCCGCAGCTCGAGATTCCCGTCGTGGCATCAGGCCGGAACACGCCAGGTCAAGCAGTCGCGCGTTCGCGTGAACCGATTTTACCCACAGTTTCACTCTTTAGCCGGTCTCGGAGCCAGTCAAGGGGTGTTTCCCCGGCGCGTGGTCGCATTCTGACGAACCCAGGCCCGAGTAACGCCAACAGCCGCGGCTCTTCGCTGTCCCGGATTCGCGCAGCCGCTCCCGCTGTTGTCGGTGACGTAGGTCAAGCGCAAGTGGCGATAGTCTCTGCCGTACCCGTTGGCCCCAAATCGAACCCAATGACTACGAACCTATTGGGCGGTGTGGGATCGGGCCTTAGTGCCCCATCCATTTCGGGGTTGGCGCCACTAGCACTACCGGCGACCCAAAAAAATTCTACGCCGTATCACCTGCCGGGAAGCAGCAGTACTAGCCGTAGCGGAAGCAAACACCAGGCCGCAGCAGCAGGGGGCAGCGGTACAGGCATCGAGGATGCCAGCTTGGCGTCGGGCTCTGCTTCCTTTGGACGAGCAGTTGTTGCTGCCATCAGCCGTGAACCGGAGCTCGTCTCCGGCAGTCCTGCGTCGTCTGTTTCCCAGCGCCAGTCGCCCACGCAGAGCTTTCCACCTGATAGGAAGCCGATGGAAGGCAGTCTTCGACGGGAGGACATTGAGCAGCAAGCGGGCTTGGGAGGGCCGTCCGGGTCATACACGCTTGTGCCGATGGCTGGAGCCGATACCTCGGTCGCAGAAGAGTTTTCTACGCGTGAACCCTGCCGGCAAGGGTCACGGCGCGTGTGGTCTTCGCAGCCCGTTCGAAACGCAAGCCCTTCTGCACCCGGCACTGCGCCTGCACTCAACGCCAATGCGGCCGGTCGCGGCGGTTTAGCTGATGAGAGAAGCGAGTCCACTGCCGTTTCGCGTAAACAGCAGTCCGCGGAGCATGGCGCGGCGGCGAATAATCAACGGCGTCCAGAGGTGCAGCTTGGATTCCGATTTGTCATCCAGCATGACGAGTTGGAGTATGGGTCAAGGTTGGGCTCAGGAGGTTTCGGCACCGTTTACCACGGTGTGTACAGGGGCCAAGAGGTTGCTATAAAGAAAATCAATATCGACGAATTCGGAAACATGAGCGAAACGCAAATTCAAGAGATGGAGAAGGAGATTGCGGCACTTTCGCAACTTAAGCACCCGAGACTTGTGAAGTTCATTGGTGCCTGCTTAGAATACCCGCACCTCTCGATCATCACAGAGTTCATGCCGGGAGGCAGTCTACACGCGCTGCTGCACATCAATAAGGTAACAGTCTCATTTGTCCTTTTTAGTTTTTATGGTCGACACGTATACTACAATTTGCTTCTCAAGAAGATGATGAAAATGTTTGTTGCCAAAATGAGTAGGTGTGATTCCGTTGCAAATGAAGGCGGTGTACTTCTTTTGCCCAAACAAGAAGAACTGAGACTCGTATCTTTTGCGCAACAGCAGGTCCGCCTTCCATACGACACGCAAATGAAGATCGCAATGCAATTCGTGGAGGGTGTTCGGTTTCTGCATACGCGACAGCCTAGTCCAATCGTGCATCGCGATTTGAAGTCCCTGAATTTGGTTCTCGATCGCATGTTGAACTGCAAGATTTGTGATTTTGGCCTGACCCGAACAATGGACAAGACGCATTTGAGCGTGAAAGATGGCGGCAATGGTGGCAGCCCGCGCTACATGGCACCCGAGTGCTACGAGTCGGCGGGTAAATTGACCGAGAAAGTGGATGTTTGGGCCGCGGGATGCATCTTAAACGAGATCTTCGGCGGCTCCTTGCCCTTCGACGAGTGCAACGCGATCCAGCAGATCGTGAAGAAGCTACTCGTAGACCGGCAAGGCCCTGTGATCCCATCGCACATCTCCGCACCGATTCAGGCTCTGATCCGCGACTGCCTTCAGTTCGAGCCGCCACAACGTCTTCCCGCAGAAGCGATCTACAAGCGATTGGAACAAATCGCAAGAGGATGACTTCCACATTCTCGTGAGATGTGGCACGATCGAAATCACGAAGTGTTACGGGGCTGGTAGCACTACTTCTTACTGGAGACTTCAGGAGAGCAGGAAGGACGTCAGCAGAAGTGCTGCTCGAAAGCATGTTGTGAAGCGATGGATGCGCTCTTCTTTTAAGACCACGAACCTAGATACATACTAGTCATAAAAGGATCACATGACGAATGAAGGAAATGGTGGCAATGTTGTAGAATCCGATTGATGGAATTATGGCACGACTAGATTTACTACGTATTATTTGAACGTCGTTTTTTCTGAACACTTTTTCTGTTTTTCGCACCTGTATCAGAATTCCGAAAGAGTTCAAAAGACTAGGCAAGAAGACATTATAATGAATCGCTTGTCCAGGAAATGTTGATATTGAAATTGTCAAAACCACTATGGAACTACTTACACATGCGGCTCTCAGAAATTGTAGATTGTTTTCTTTGTTATCGGGACTTGCTTCTAGCAAGAACTAAGAGCAGGCCAAAGCGCCAACTGTCAAAGGACAGGGGATGAATAGTATCACCACTCTACACGACGATCACTCTTTACGTACCTAAATACTCGAGGTTTTTTAATCTGCACCTGTTTCCACCCGCCTCCACTTTTACCTCGTAGAAATGATTAGCTTTCTTGTAAACTGTAGCCGGGAAAATATCCGAATTGTCAGCGATGATGAGCGAATGTCGACATCTCGGTCTCAATTGAAATATGAACTTTTTTTCTTGCTCAATCTCAATCCGTACTGTTTAAGATTTTATAATTCAATTTTTTCTGATAAAATTCCGAGTTTTCTCAGCTCATCGAGTTAGAGAATGAAAAATGCATATGTACGTAAAACCAATTAGATCGGATATCGTCCCCGTTGCTAAGACGTCGACCACATCTGCATGCCTCAACCTGATTTATGATGCCGTCTTTTCTCTTGTACCTTTGATGCCATATAAAACGTCGCAGTAATCATATTTAAATGAACATCAACTTGAGCATCGTACAAACACGATTCCGCATTCGAGCAGAGAGTAAATGTTTACGCAACATATATGATGAAACCGACGCATTATTTTCGTGAAGATAAAATTGATTTCACCAAACCTGGACCACAGCATCAAAGAGGCGTGGAAACCTGAATGCTAGCTCCAAAAATGTCAAATCATGAGGACATGTTTTCCGATGCTGTTCCTCCGACGACAGGTTGTAACCTCCGCTCTAGCAACGTGCGACCACATATGCGAGAAAAGAGTGGTTGTTTCCCGAAGAGTGCTGGCGACATAGCCGTCGAGAGCAACAGCCAGAAGTAGTGCCTGCGTTTTCCGTTGAGAATGTATCCTGCAATGTTGGAAACTTTCTTGTGTTTGCTTTCGTTCTAAATTTCCTTTGATGTTGCGGACTGTAGATTTTGTTGGACCACAAGAACACAGGCCTCCGTGCCTTGGTTCGTTTCTCAGTGGAGACACAAAGTCAGAATCTTGAAAGCAAGCAAATCTTGATACTCCTGCCTGAGACTTGCGATCTCTGGCTGGTGTAGTCCCTGTTTGGTTCATTGGGNGACACAAAGTCAGAATCTTGAAAGCAAGCAAATCTTGATACTCCTGCCTGAGACTTGCGATCTCTGGCTGGTGTAGTCCCTGTTTGGTTCATTGGGTAAGATGAATCATACACCAGCAACATAAGCATGTCAGAAGGGATCGGGCTGAACATGCACCGTACGACTAGGATCAGTACACACGTGCCTAGTCTACGCATTGACCACTATGATTATGCATTGAATGTGCATTGGAAGTAGCATTCGTGATCATTGACATTCATGTCTTGTGAGATCATCCCGATGACAGTCGAGCACGAGGCTTTGTGTGAGCCACTGAGAACAGAACAACACGACATCCGAGAGGCTTGAGCCATACATGACCAACGCCCCTCCTCAATCGATGCGGGTTGAAGTCCGTCTCACGTGACCGCCTCACTGTGTGTTGAGTCACGGTAATCACATCTCTTGTTTAGTGTATGTAACCTGGCTACGGTGGTTTAGAAACCAAAATAAACCGAATATATTATACTATAGTAAGCTAAATCATCCTCTTCCGTTTCATCGTCAGAGGAATCACAGTCATCTACGTTACTTGTAGTTATCGGGTTATCTACGTGGTGTAGGATAAGTCTACGCTGAGTGGCACTGCAGGTTAGTTTCGAAAGTGGGTCTGCCTTCATCAAGTTGGTAGGACAGAACACGATCTTACTAGCAGCGTCGCGCACTCTTCGATAACGTAAAGCATAGTGTCTACTTTTAGGGCGAGTGTCTGTTGCTTTGGCTGTTGTGATCGCAGACTGGTTGTCTATCCACAATACAGCATTGTCTAAGGAGGGAGACAAGCCGTTCTGTGTGTGTACCAACTGAGTTGGAAGAGGCCTATAGAAGTCTGTGAAGTCATGCATCTCACTGAGCACTATCGTGTCAGAGGCTGCAATATACTCACTTTCAGCCGTTGAGTAGGCTCTGGCCGTTTGTCTGTTACTTCTCCATGCTATGGGTGTACCTTTGTAGTACATTATGGAGCCGCTAGTACTCCTCATTGTTTTGATGCAGTTCGCGAAACCAGCATCACTGAATATGTTTACTTCTGGCATGTCTCTGCCTTCTGGTAGAAGTTTCTCGTATATTTTGTTGAATTCTTCTTCCTTTTCTGGTGAGTATTCTACTCCTTGGTCTTTTGTTGACACCAGGCATTTTAGGACTTTCTTGGCTGCTTTGGCCATTCTTGTTGACGTGGGTTTACTGACATGTCTAGCCCACGCTGCTACCGGAACAGAGATATCCGGGCGCGCAGTTACAGCTACCCATAGTAAGGCACCAACTACCTCACGAAAGGGATACCCATCAACTATCTTGATCCCGTCTTCAAGAAAAGTTGTTTCGTCAAAGTTGGGCGAGTAAACCGGTTTCCCTAGTTGAACTTCATACTTCTTAGCAATTTTATCGATGTACTGCTCCATGCACAGTCTGAACGACTTAGCTTCACGGCCATAGTACACGATCGCACCTAAGAAGTCGAACTTTAGCCATTCGAGACCCCAGGGGGTTAGAATTGGCTCGACTTCAATCGCACGGCCTGGAGCACGTGTGAAAATGAGGTCTAGTTCGGTCTTGAGTTCATCTTGGTCAGGACCTGTAGCAAGATTGTCATCTACATAGACAGACATCTTCAGGAACTTCCCCGGTGCTTTGCTGCTCGGTTTGCGCCACAATCCAGGTGCAGAAGTACACGGTTCCCAACCAAGACTGGCTAGAGTCTCGCGATACCTCTTGAACCATGCTCGTGGTGCGTCCTTCAAGCCGTATAGAGCTTTCTTGAGCTTCGCGATCTCGTATCCATGCTGTTTCGCCCAGATGGGTGGAAGACGGCAGTAGACATCTCGATCGAGTTCGGCATTGAGGAACGTTGAATCTAAATCGAACGGGGTCACATAGTCCCCCTCTGACGCAGCAGAAGCGAGGAGCAACCTATTAGCGGCATGTGATACCACGGGAGCAAAGGCGTTTAGCTCTCCCGAACGATCTAAATTACCGAGTACACAGGCTCTTGCCTTGTATTTTCCACATCTCTTTCGTGTTAGTATGATGGCAATTGGTAGAGCCCGCAACGCGGTTGCTAGCTGCTCGTCAGTAGCTTCTTCCCACGTTTTAAAGGCTAGTAGTCTCGCATGCTCAATGTCAATGACTTCCTTCCACTTTTCAGCTTCAGGACTCTTTAATGCATTGGCAACGGACAGCATCACATGTGATTCGACGATTTCCTCATCTTCGTCTATCTCACACGTGCCACCAATAGCACTTGCGAACAGCGCTACACTCTTTCTGAGTTCTTCCATCTGTTTCTTTGTTCTACGAATCCTTCCTCCAGCCTTGTCCTTGGCTCCTTTCGGTCGGCCACGCTTCTTGCCGTGTGTATGGCGTTCGCCTGCCACAACACGTGCGGGAGATAGCGCTTTCGATCTAGTCGGACTAGGTAAGTCAGAGATTCGATCCTTCGTTTCAACTTTCCCCTCCTCAAGTGAAACACCTTCAGAAGAGTCAGTCACGTCGGATTCAGCCTTCTTGTCTAAGGTTTCAACATATAGTTCTTCGGGAATGCCGGTCGGTCCACCTGAGGTGCGCTCCGTGCCAGAGAACCCCGATTGCTGATCCAGCCTTTGCACTGACTGCCCAAACAAGGGGGAGCCCAGCGACGACGCTCCACACTGCAAGTTTTCCAGTTCATCATACTCATAGTAAAAGCCCTTTCTATCTGGCGTAAGCCAGTCTATGTCCTTTATTAGATAGTCCTCTCTGAACTTGACGTCTAGGGTAGAGTATTCCGCCCATCGATATCCAAGCTTGCAACGATCGTCATGAGCGAAAGTAGCAACCAACCAACCAGACGACTTCGGACAGAGTCCAAGGAAGACGCCACGGCGATATTTGGCCGAGAGCTTGGGTTCAGGAGTGTTGGCTTGGATTTGTTCACGAAAGTAAACAAGACAACCAAATCGGCGGAGCATGCCGATTTTGCTTTTGGAAGAATTTCTACCAGTTCTTGCTTCTAGAATCTCTATTGGACTCTTTCCATCATGTTCTGGCATTTTAGCGTAATTATGCGGAAGACGATCCCAGCAGTCACTAGCGTATTCAACACAGTAACACCAAAGACGTCGATCAACCTTCGTTAGCATTGTTCTCACGCTGCCAAACAAGGCCCGCATAAAACGTTCAACAGTCCCACTCATTTCCGGATTATAAGGAACAGCCGGACTGTCTGAGACCCGCAGCGATTGCATGAGTTTGGTCATGTCATCACTACCGAGGACTGGTTCGCCATCCCTCCGGATGAACCATACTACCTTGTCATCTAGCGATAAGGAGTAGTCCTGTCGAATGCCTTTTATGACTTGTTCTATTTCCTCCACGCAGTCACTCTTAAGCTTCAGCGGTCGACAAAGCGCCTTCTTAATTACGTCACATATGACAACTAGAACACATCGCATAGATCTTACTGAAACAGGTTTTATTCCTACAGCAAAGTCTATTGCAAGTAGTTTGAGGGGTTCGGGTTTGTAGGTAGTTATGTCTCTAGAGTTTGCATGGGATTTTCGTTGTCCTTTATGTAGGTCACATTCTGGGCAACTAACTTGTAAACCATCTATGTGAAAGTGTCCACATCTCCTGTGTAGTTCTAATCTCGTAAGATAGCAACTAGAGACGCCTTCTTCTATTGATGTGCAAGTGAGACCACTTTCATGTTTGTTTTCAAAGAAATTGCATGCGAGTGCGGGTAGCTGCAAGCGTGGGTGAGCTCTGATGGGTAGCATCTGGCCGGTGTCCGTGTGCACGATACAGCCACCAGTGCCTTTGGAGTTAAACTCCCACCCTAATTGCGAGCAGTTTCCGTCTCCTAACCATGGCAACATGCGATCTATGTTTCCAGGTAGAGAATCATAGTAAACTCCATTCTTTAGTCCAAGTACGTTGTTCTTGAGTTTTCCGACTTTTCCGTCTTTAGTGCCTGCGCTACCTGTTATTCTACAGATGTTGTTACCAATTTCATCAAAATCGTCTTTGTGTCGTGATAGATATTTGTTTGCACAACTGTCAACTAGAGTTGCTTCTTCTGATGTTCTAGTGTTCAATGTTGTGAAACTATATCCATCTGTATTGTAGCTATCAGCATAATTATCAGCATTTGTTATTATTTCATCTTCTTCGAAATTCAGCGAACACTTCCCAAATTCGTACGGTTCCGTCGCTCAGCTTCGGTTGTGCGAGTTCATGACGTTGAGCATCTCCGCAACCTGCGACATGTGGATCATGCCACTGCTATTACCCTTTCCACCTTTGCCTCTAGAACTACTAGATGAGGCTCCGGTAGTCCAGCTTCCCTGTCCCTGTTGAAGGGCTTGTGTGTTATGCCAGCACTCGGAGGACTTGTGTCCGACCTTGTGGCAGCAAGCACAGCGGGGTGGATAGGTATTCTTTCCTTTTCCTTTATCTTTCTTCGGCTTTTGTCCGCCGTTCTTTCCTCCTTTGGGTTGGTACCCGTAGGAATTGTAGACCTCGGCGATTGCCTTCTTCTTTTCTTTCTGCTTGAAACGCTTGAGGGCGTTAGCGGAAATGAAGGTCTTACCATCTGCCTTATTGGCCTCTACCTCGTCATCATCCTCATTCTTATCATCACGAGGACGCTTGTTCGAGGTTTCCTGAACATTGACCGGAAACGCTTTCCCGAAGGAGTCGTTCTCAATTTTGTAGGTTCCCTCCTCGATCAACGTTGTGAGACGTTTCTCAAGTCGGTCTCCAATTTGGTCAAATGTCAGGTCATCTTGTTCTTGCATCCGCTCGATAGTCGCTTTGAAGTTCTTGCAGAACAACTCAGGCAACTTCAGCAGGATCGCTCCGTTCTGTTGGTCAGCGTCGGGCAGATCTGCATCCGGCGGGAAGACGGTGGGCGATTGGTTCATGATGTCGCGGATCTTCGAGAGGAACTCCTTGACATCTGCAGGCTGGTCGCTGTTGTGGAACTTCATCAGTCCCTCCGACAACGGCTTGACCTTCGTGCGCTGCTCCTGGCGATTGTTCGCGTTGAAGTTCCCTTGGTCACGAAGTAGAACAACAACTTCACCAGCATCCATATCGTCCACCGCGCCATCATTATTCCGATTGTCGACAAACGACTTGGCCGCACCTTTCAGACTTCGGATGATTACGTCTTTCAGGTTGCGCCACTTCTGGCGGGTCGTTTCTTCACGACTGGCATTACCTTGCGGTATACCATGTGGAACGGCCGGCACGTTGACTACATTCGTGTAGTTCTCAAGTAAGCCTAGGCGACTAGCTTCTTGACGTACGGCTCGTTGCCACTCGCGCCAGTCGGACTTCTGTCCCAACTTCTTGAGGATCTCCTTGGCCTCGCAGGACATTTTGATGGATTTACTTATTTACTACACTACTTCCAATTGTGTTTACTTTTGCCGCTCAAGGGTTAGACCAGTGTTGGACCACAAGAACACAGGCCTCCGTGCCTTGGTTCGTTTCTCAGTGGAAACACAAAGTCAGAATCTTGAAAGCAAGCAAATCTTGATACTCCTGCCTGAGACTTGCGATCTCTGGCTGGTGTAGTCCCTGTTTGGTTCATTGGGTAAGATGAATCATACATCAGCAACGTAAGCATGTCAGAAGGGATCGGGCTGAACATGCATCGTGCGACTAGGATCAGTACACACGTGCCTAGTCTACGCATTGATCATTATGATTATGCATTGAATGTGCATTGGAAGTAGCATTCGTGATCATTGACATTCATGTCTTGTGAGATCATCCCGATGACAGTCGAGCACGAGGCTTTGTGTGAGCCACTGAGAACAGAACAACACGACATCCGAGAGGCTTGAACCATACATGACCAGCAGACTTTGATGTCTGACGAGTTTTTCAAAAATTGTTAGGGATTGTGCGGGCCTGTGCGTACTAGTCCTGCTCTCGTCGTTTCGCCTGAGTCCTTCTTTTCTGCTTGCCTTTTTTCTTTTCCTTCCTTTACCGACTCTTCTTTTTTGCAATAGAAGAACATGTTGAGAAGATGTCAGCTCAGTACGTCACGACGACGCACGCTTGTAGGTGTGCGCTGCATCGGGGAGTAGCTTGCGGCTCTCGAAGATGAAATGATGGCCGACCAAGCGGCTACGCGTCTCCTGTGGGTGGCGGAGATCGACAAGTCTAGTCGCCGCAATAGTGTTGACGTTTCGCGTCGTCTCTCGTACGCTGGAGCAGAGGCGACTGATTTCCGTGGCGAGTTACAGGAGGTATTCATCCAAAGTACAAGATGAAATTGAAGACTTTTTTAGCCTTTATTAACGGTGGATCGGTCTTTGTTGCGTAGAAGACAACTTTCTTACGATGATATTTCACATTTTTTTCCTAGGCCTTAGTCCGGCATGTCCGAACAGCAGAGCCAACTGACCAAGTGATTGGGCGACGGGGTAGTGTTAAGATTCAAACAAGGCATTCGCAGCATCATTCTTCTTCTTGGCTATATTTTCTTAAGGAGAAATTTATGTAGACGCACGAAAAGGAATGTTGCTAAAAAGGATGTTGTGAGGGTGTTAGTTCCAATGTCGCTGTCTCTTTCGTTACGATTGTGAAGACCCTGAGCGACGTGACTGGCACGTTCACTGCTCAAAACGAGAAATTGCTGATCGAATCCGACGATGAGCTGGACGATGCCACTTATTCGTATCACCAACCGGTCGACTCCGCGCCATACCACTACCTACCAGCCGAGAATCCAGCACAGCAGAAGCGCAAGCCTTCGATATTAGTGAACGGTAAGCTAAATCGCGGGACTGCAGGAGATGCCGTCCGAGTCGCGGAGGTGCAAGACGGTGAAGGTGATGAAGCGCAGTCGGGTCCCCCTAAAAAAGGCCTTTTGCTGCGGAAGGGAACGCAGCCTGTGTTAGGTCGCGGCGCTGATGCCATACTCGATGCGGCGGACGAGGACGAGTCGCTGCTAGAAGTAAGTGATACAGATGAAGTTGACGCAACGAAAGCAGCGACAAAGGCTCCAAATCAAGGCTCTGGCGACGCGGAGGTATCCCTTTCAGGACGTCCGGGTGCAGCGGCAACAGTGGCTGCGGATGCGGCAACTGCAATTGCTGGAGCAACGGCTGCATGGGAGGGGCACGCACAAGGAGCACCTACAACCGGGGACTGCGCGACTCAGGAACGTGGTCCTGGAGAACTGGATGTCGACGCCGCAGGGTCGAGTAATTCAGAGCAGGCAGACATGAAAAGCGCGACAACATCCGGGCCACTAGTCCTCACATCCCAGCCGCGGGAAGATTCGCGCATGGAAAGTAAATCTTCCTCGTCCCTCGATGGTGCGACATCTGAAGAAACAGCGGTGGCGTCTCCCGTTGAACAAATTGAAAGTCGCGCTTTTCCCTCGTTACTCTACCGCTCTGCGAGTGCGGGGGACATCATGAAGGTACTCGAAACCTAAGTTTATTTATCTGCGACTGTGTTACGCAAGAAGATCAAGGTCCAGCCAAGTCGTTCGGTGCTCCGAATTCCTTGAGTCGAGTCGTTTGGTTCTTCTCTCTTGGTCTGTTGGTTCTCCGCTTGCGTTCGTTTTTCTCTCTCTGGCTGGTCGCCTCTCGTTGAATGGTGGAAGTCAGTGCTGTGATTGTCGTGGGGATCAGGCTCAAGGCTCTGAATACGATGGCGACTACGATCATAGCGACCGGGGATCCGTTTGAAGCACGGCAGACACTTGGCAGGAGATGCCTTTTCTCCTTTGGGTATCTCGATGCGATCAGGATATGAGAGGACAAACCCGCGGAAAGAGCTCACACCAAGACGCGCGGGGAAGCCTGGCGCGAGTTCTTAGCGTGTGCCAGGCCCGGCAATAGTGCCCCACCGCTATGGCGGTACCTCGCTTGCGAAGAGAGACGGCCGCACGTCGCACCTGAGGCAGGCGGCCGCCTCTTCCCTCCGCCGACCGGATAACCATAACGCCGGGCCCACCTCGAACCGCTCCGCGGCCACGCTCCCCGGAGGGTTACCGGGTGACAATCTCTGACGGTGCCAAAACAGGGCGCCGCGCCGACGCGAAGGCGGAACAGTACGCGCATAAAGCTGGTAAGGGCCGCGAGCTTCTCCCCGCCGGCTCCGTCGGGCCGTGGGCGAAAATGCCAAGAAGGGCCAGCGCGCCAGCCATGTCCCAGAGCGCCACACCAGCAAGGGATAAAAGCGGAAGCATGCAAGGGCGGCAAGGGGAAAGGCAACGCGTGGAACCCACCGGGGGGCGAACGACTTGCGCCGGGGCTGATGTTGCGGGGGTGTCTGACTCCGTGCCACGTGCAAGGTGAGCGTGCGGAGGGCGCCGCAAACAGCACCGGGGGCCTTGTTGTGTTATTGCCGCGGACGCTCCCTCTTATGGTTACGGGCCCCAAGATGGCGACGCCTGACTCCCTTGCTTCTGCCCATTGCCTGGCATGCCGCAAGCAAGGCGAGCGCCTGTCGTTCGCCTTATCTATGTGTCGCACGCATCCCCGTCGGGTGAGAGTGAGAGCCAAGGGATGAGCCCCGCGGCCGCCGGGTGGGAGTGGTCGCTTTTACGCCGATGATGGGGCCAGCCTGCTGAGGGGAGACCATCGCTCGACTTTACCAATGCGTGCCACTCTATTGTAATTGCCGGCAACTGACTTCAAAATATATGACAAGACACAGGCTGTTTAATGTAACGCCTCCACCAGCATCACTCGGTATGTAGTTAGACGAATTGTGTAGACCTACTGCGAAAGTTGTTCTTGTCATCTTGTGCAGCGTAGCACCCTGATGTGAGATTATGATGGCCTTGACAGCCTTCGATACCGGTAAGGCAGTCGCTGCCACGACAGTCGTTAGACAATATATTCCGACAACGGCCTTCACTGAAAATTCTGCCGGATTCGAATCCCGCCGAGAGCTTGGTCAACCGAAAAAACAGAAGAGGATCTCTGCAGCGAGGACGGAAAAGCATTATCAACTTAGGTACTCCATTTTCAATGTTTACGCACCTCCTCCACTAACACTTCAATTTCACAATAAATTGTTTCGACGAGATTAGTAGATTCTCAACAAGTATTACGACCGCAGTTGAGTGCGATCTTTGTTTGTGCTACAGTGAGGAAGGAAAAAAAAGAGTAGCTTCTTAGCTGTGTCAGATGTAAAGGATGAAATGATGAATTTGTAGGTGCGGTGGTTGAGTTTTCGCGATTTTCTTTCGAGCAGCTGGAGATCCGGGATACTGACGACGAGTCCGTGTTTGGGCAGAACAACAGTACAAATACCATCGTCGGAAAAGTACCAATCGGGCAAAGATTTTACTTCCGCGCCTCGGACGCCACTGTGGACTGGCTGCGTCGGGTGTCGAACGTTCTCTTTGTTTGGAACTGCTTTTTCACAACCTTTTATGTCATGTTTTACCCGCTCCTTGTTGCATCAGATGGAGTGGCGGACACGAGCACCTACCCGCGCCGGGCGCTCGTCTGGGATCATCACTACTCATCATCTTCATTAGCAAATAATGGGAGACTACGAGAAGAAAGGGAACTCGCAGACTCGGGAGAAACGAGCTCTACAACCAATCATGTTGTTCTACAAGACAATTGGCTAGCAGAGCGGTCAAGAAGAGATGCAGTGAGCAATGCATCGAAAAGTCCTTCTTCTAGAAAAGGTTTGAAGCGAGACGTGGGTGTTTTTCCATCGTCGACTGCCCAAAGTCTATCCCCTCCAAGAAGAAATCTTCTCGCGGGTGCAGGAGCGTCGTCAAGGAATCTCACATTCTCCCACTCTCGTGCCCGCGAAGTTGTCGGGTCTCCGGCGACTCGATCCAGCACTGAAATACACGACCACTACCAGACAGATGTCGAGGTCTCCAAAATAAATCTAGGACAGAGTGCAACAGGAGCAAAACAGCATGAGACCACTATGTCGAGAAGCGGGGCTGAAGACCTGCCACGTCGAAGACGTAGATACGCATCTAACTCTGGAATTGATCTTGACGCGCGTTTGCGATTGCTTTCATCAAATTCCGGATCGTCTTCGACCAGCAAAACAGACGCTGCAGTGGTCACGGTGTGCTTGGTGGATTTGCTTGTTTTTGAACTTCTTTTCACTTTGATCCACATAATTATGCCGCTGCGGACGTCGGTGGTGCTGTACCAACAGGGGAAAGAGTACGTGGAAATGCAGGACATCAATTATGTGACTGGTGATTTTTATACGAGCAAGTTGCAAGAATGTTTGCTGTAGATCAGATTACAATCCGCTGTAACCAAGCTGTGAAAATTGCGGGGACACGCACAGCTGACTAGATCATCAGTCAAAAAGGCGCGATTTCTTTTTTCTTGCGGTAGTTCTAATCAGGACGCCTGGTGCTTTCCCAGCATGAGTACAAGTGGGACATATTTTCTATGAGCAGCAGTTTCATGTGGCTGTCGCTCGTTGCTGGTGGTGGGTGGGCACCGTTTCGCTTTCTGGGCCTTCTACGACTTTGCCGATTTGAGTCTGTCAAGAAATACATGCGGGATAAACAGGTACTTTTGATGTGCAACTATCGAACTCTTCTACTTCGTCACTTTTCTTTTTGTTCTTTCAGGCCACGATTTTCGGAATTCTCCATTTTGATTTCACAAGCGTTGATGAATATATATTCTACGAGTAGGTTATTTTTAGTAGCATCAATTCCTGGAGGACGGCAGACTTATTGGAAAGACTTACTCGAAAGAACCCTAAATCAACCCTATTATCCTGCGCAACTGTGTAAGTAATTCTTATTCACGACAGTGTATGCCGGACGGGCGAGTATTGTCTCCGTGGCGTAGTGGGCTTTTCAGCGCAATGGAGCTTGCCTTGATAAATTTTTTTGCCGTTCACATCTTCGCAGTGATTTGGTTTATGGTTGTTCATCGTGCGGATGGCCAATATGTATTCGAGCTCGACACAGAGGAGACCGATGTGATTTATGTCAATTTTCTAGTTCTTGCTACTTAACCTTCGTATGCAACATCATGACATCAGGTGGCGGCTGGATATAATCATCGAACTGACGGAAAAAATCGTATCGATAGCGATTTCGACATTTTTTTGCTTCAACAATTGAATACTGCCACTTGCTGACGTTCTAGGTTGTAAACTTGCATTTTGTACTACTCTTTCCTCTACGGATAAATTCACTCTGCCCCTTGTTCATATTCCGACATATTACTTGCTGTCGTTACGAGACGCGGTTCTGCTGTTTTCGGCGTCGCCGCCAGCAAGCATGACAGCCAGACAAGACATGCCTCTAGTAGCGACGCAAGTCTTGCTGAAGCCCGTGGGCGCGCTGTGTCAAGCCGTGATTTTCGCTGAGATCGTGCTCATCAAGCAGCGGATGAATATTTTGAAGAGCAAGATTCTCGAGCAGGTACCTACGGAATCCCGTAAGTCGTCTACTGTCGGTGACAAATCATTTTCTGCGGAAAGATTACGCCAATCATTTAAATTTTGGATTATATCTTGATAATGATTGCGTTTTCGCGAGAGTAGTCTTATTTTCCAGGAATAATGTTTTTACCGATGTTGATACTTCAGCAAACAACGATCAATGCTGCGATGTCCGTGTTGCGATTGCCCGAGAACTTGCGGCGTAGAATAACCATGTATCACCAATTTTTGGAGATTCAGCACGATGAGCAGGCCTGCAAGCTTTTGTACCACACTTCGTCTCGAGCCTTGGTGTTGGAGGTAAAGATCTGTCTTTTCGCGCAGTTGATCGAGAAGGCGCCACTGTTCTACGACCTGAAGCCGCACGGCGTGGGCGAGATTATTGATTCATTTCAGGAAGAGGTTTTCTCTCCTGGCGATTTTATAATTCGTGAAGGCCAGAACGGGCGTGAGATGTACTTTATTCTCAAAGGGCAGTGTGACGTGTTGATCAACACCAACAAGACCCTAGCTGCTTCTGGTGGTGCGCCTCCTCCTGGCACCGGGGGCAGTCAGAGCACTACGGCCCCAGCACCAGGTGGCGCGGTAAAGGGTGCAGGAGCAGGCAAGGACGGCATGAAGTCGCCGCGAAGCTGTGGAGGGGACGTGGAATCCAAAAAGGCTTCCAAAACCAGTAGTGCGGCAGGAAGCAGCATACCGAATCTGGCATCGATCATAGCAGGCACGGGCACAGGCGGGAACAAAACGATGAGCGCGACGAGCCTGCTGGCCGACGCAGTAGCCGGTCTCACTCGAGGGGCCGTTGGGCAGGGTGGAGGCGGAGGCGGCACCGCAACTAGCCCTACTGGAAATAGAAGTCCTACTATCAGCAGAGAAAACGCGAGCGCAGAGTCACTGGAAAGAACCGGGGCAGAGCCAGTACCAGCCGCCTTAGGAACGAACTTGCCTGGCAGCACGGTTACAAATCTGCATGGAGAGACGACGCCGCCACGACTTTTCAACGGCACAGCTTCGATAAACACTCTACTGGGGTCCGCTAACACGACGTGTGGAGTGGCCGGCTCTTCACGAAATAACGAGGGTTCACCACGCAGCCCTCCTGGCAGTAGCAACGGCGGTGCGTCGCCGGCCGATCCGCTGTGTCTCGAACAAGACAGCTCCAGTTCGGAGGACGCAGGCGGCGACAGTGGAGCATCCCCGCGCAGCCAGTCTCCTGGCGGGTCAAAAAAGAGTCGCAAAAAGCTAGTTGTCGTGGCGCAGAAACACGAGGGAGACTACTTTGGTGAGATCGCGCTCGTCAAGAAGGGCGCGAAGCGCACAGCATACATTCGCGCACAAACCTACAGCGTGGTGGAAAAGCTGACAGATGAAGTCTTCGTAGATCTAATTCAAAACAAGCATCCACTTGCATATGAAAAAATTGTGGCGCGCATTGCGAAGTTTCACAACATCCCGCACGAATCGCCGGTGGCGAATAGCAGGAAGAGCAGCCGTGCACCGTCGAAGGATGCGCAGCGCAGAACGGGAGGGTCTAAGTAAAAGTAGTTGATTACGTACTTCATCTAACACGTTGTAAGACATCATTCTAGTCGTTGCTGCTTGTCAGTCTATAGAATACTCTAGCCAGCGTTGATAAATATAAGTATACGACCCTCTAGTTCTCCTATTGAGAACAAGCAAAATTATAGAGGTCCCAGATCTGTATGAGCATTTAGACTGATGTTTTTTTCATTCTGCCAAGCACCACGGCAAGCACACGGGTACTTGTGACTAGGGTTATTCAAAACGCTGCAAATCGAATCAGCGTAGAGGTTACTCAAAACGTTTCAGATTCAATCAGGGTAGAAAATTTACTAGTCGTATTTTTTTCTTAAAGTTGTCAAAATATGGCGCTCCGCCTATTCGTTAGTCAGGATGATTCGCTATCGCTGACATCATATAGACACAGACTCTGTTGTGGCATGCATATTAATCTTTTTTTCGAGTGTTATTTTGGATACAAAGTCCGGCTGTAGACACATTATCAATCGGTGGTAGTTAATTTGAGTGATACTCACTTCCCATCTTCGCTATGCACCTTGTCTACAAAGTTGAGTACAGTAAGTCAATCTATTGTCGCTCAGTCACGCGATGTCAGCAAGTTGCTTCTTTTTTGTTACCACAGTCATGCACTCAAGTGAACATGGGATACAAAGACTTGCTAGTGCGGGATAATATTATCAACTTAGGTTTGGTGTGTGCAAGTCTGCACGCATGCAGCAAGTGGTACACGACCCACTAGCGTCGCAAAATATATGTAAAATTGATTTTTCCCACGATCAAGTAATTCTGCTTTTTTTGCATCAATTGTCAATCGTACCCACTTCGGCTTGTCACGCGCTTTGGTAGTTGTTACAGAGCATTAAATTGCAGCCACCCATAAGAATGTATGAGCAGCCAGCCAAGGGGGAGCGTTACCGAGCTTGGTGAATCTGACGCATGTTGATGTAGCTCTGGTGCGTTAACGCTCTTTGCATTCTGTGCTACTATGCACGAATCAGGTTAATCCGGCATCTTGCAATGAAATGAACAGAGTAAGTACTAGAATCACACGGTCTGCGCATATCTTGCTAATGCGGGATCTACTTCAGCGAAGGGTGGAGTCGAAAGTTGCGTAACTGTGGGATTTCCAGCTGGGTGTTATCTAGCTGCGGTCACAGGCGATGCATTTAAGATTGCCATATCAATGAGCGACACCAGGAGACCTCCCCACTAACGAAAGAGGCAGAGAATGCAGTGATGTGGAGCACTGCGAGGAGACGACAGTGAGCCTTTGAGACAGACTGAAAAGATAGCACCGATTACCGAAAACACAAAAAGGTTTATTCAACCACTCAAGAGAGTAGCTCCGTGTGATAGAGAAGTCCGAGACGCGTTGTAAGGACAGTCTGAACATGCGTTTTGAGAGGCTACAGTGACAGAAACTAAAACTAGATCTTAAAATAGTAGTAAAGATTGTAGTCTGCATGGTGTGAAACTGGATCAGTAAACATTTCCTTGACGCAGCCAATCACGGCTCCGGACTCGCGCGGAGCCGCCGCTTCGCTTAATCGACTTGCCCGACAATCTTTTGAGATTCCGTGACCTCTGTAGTAGTGGCCTGAAGAACGCTTTACGCAACGTATAAGCGACTCGGCTCTGGACCACGTATGCGACTCGGTTCTACACCGTTTACGCGTCTCCGTTCTACACCGTCTAAGCGAGTCGGTTCTACAACGATTAAGCGGCCTTGCTCTACGCCGTCTAAGCGAGTCGGCTCTACACCATTTAAGCGGCCGCGCTCTACACCGTCTAAGCGAGTCGGTTTTACACCGTTTAAGCGGCCCCACCCTACACCGTCGAAGCGAGTCGGTTCTACACCATCTTGGCGAGTCGATCCGTCACCTTTAAATCGGGTCGTGTGGTCACCGCCTGAGCAACTCGTCTGACGGCGGCAGGCCATTCGTTATTTGCGGCAACCGGCCGCTGGTCGAATTTAGAAATCCATTGGTTCACGGCATCGATGCAGAAGGTCGGTAAAATTTTCGACCCACAGGAAGCTGCACCTGTCGTTGTGAGCGCTGCTTTTGATATGTGGCCCACAGGTTTGTAGTCGGCCGGACTTCTTCATAAGTGATGGCGCTGTCTGATGGCGCGAAGCTGTCAGAACGCTCTCAGAAAAGCGCACCAGCGCGAGATGACTTCGGAGCTGCGCTTGTGTTTTTGGCGCGGTTGCTTCTCCTCCTTCTCCTTATGGGGGAGTTCGGTCTTGTTGTGCGAGGACTCGTGAAATTTAGCTACGCTGACCTCGCGTATTCGACCAAACCGCTGAGATTGCTGCTCGCACTGTACTTCTTTGCATACCGTTCAGTACTGGACTGTTATCTTCTGGGAGTTTGGGCTTTTGGGGGCGCGTGTTTGTCCGAGGACGCATTCGGCGCTCTTGTGTGCCTGCTCACTGTCACGGATGTGTACACGGCGGTCGTCTTCGGATCGCTGCAGCCGCGGAAAAGCAAGGCGCTTTGGACTTCTCATGATCGCTTTGCCGCACGAATCAACGGGGCACGGACGTGGTTCGTACGTTCCCTTATCTTGGTGTTTTTGGCGGAGGCGCTCTTCAACACAATTTCCTTGTCGCGATCAACAGATGACCTGGAGGTGACCTCACCGAGCTTGATGAAAAGTGATGGTGAAACAGCCTCATCTAGTGCGGCACAAGAAGAACAAATCGGCAGTACTAGTACCGGGAGTGATGCAAGAACCGGCTCCGAAGCAGAGAACTCCGCAGAGAAGACAAAAACAGCGACGTCAAGTCATCTTCTCTCCCCGGGTGGGGGTGCCCGGCTGGCGTTGCTAGGTAGCCACTATGTCCTTCAAGAGGTTGCGAAGGTGCGTCGCCGCTGTGACGTGTTACTCCGAGACGCCGCATGGGTTCTGGTCGAGGCCCTTTACCAAGAGTCCCTTTCCACCACTACACGAGATCGACTTGCTGGCAACACAGCTGGCAATAGACGGTTGCCAAAACGCACAGGCAAGGCGTCTGCCGAATTAGCGGATAGGTCGACATGGGTATCGTCTTTCAGTGAAGGCGAATCGGTCGCACTGCTGTCGACTTTTTTAGACCTGTTTCCACCGGAACTCGTCGAGCGATGTATGCATTACGCAGAGCGGGGCAGGCGTTTGGCAAATGATGCGCTTGAGGCCTCCCAGGTCAGGACTTACCTATTTGCGCCGCTGCAACCGCACCTGCATCAACTGCACGATAGCGCGGCACCGGTGCTCGGCTACGCATCGGAGCTCCTCGCTGTGGCTCAGAGTGCAAGTAGCACCATCTACGGGATAGACGAGCCAGAGGGAATCGCGGAGCTTCTCCAACCTCCTGTAGAACGCGTTCTGCGTACCTTGATGGCAAAGAAAATCTTCTGGTTCTTGCACTCGGCGCCGGACCCAGCTAGGGATCTATGGTTGCTTGACCAGCATGACGAGCCGCAACAGAGTGGCGCGAGCAAGGAAACAAGTACGGATGAAGTAGACGAGGCAGCTGAGGATGCAGATGAGGATGACGATGTGCGCGACGACGTGACAGACGCGGATTCACGAGACGGCAAAAGCGGGACGAGTGAAACTGATGACAGTACAGGCACGCCAACGGGCAGAAGAAAAAGTGCTGTTGTTGATCATGATTATGATGAAGTCGGAGGCCCTATCGAAGCGAATCCCACGACGAAGGGATCTGTATCAGACTTGCTACAGGAGCCGGAGGAGCTCGCGGCGAAGTACGCCGATCCGCATGAAGCGTGGGTCGCGTCGCAGTTGGGTGAGGGTTGGAAGAGGGGAACCTCGTCGCTGATCACGATTCCAGTAAACGAGAACCTCGCCTTTCCAGTGGACCCCGACGATCCCGACTACCAGGAACAAGAGCGCATTCTGCGGCAGAATCACGAGGAGCAAGAGGCTGAGCAACAGAAATTGCAAGAAGAGGTGAACGCGCGACTTGTTAGTGAGCGACGGAGACGGCGGGAGCGTCGCGAAACCGCACGTAGGAAGCGACATCCGCTTCACCGTTACAATGTTGTGGTTCGCTCAGCGCTGGACGTGTTGCGAGATTGGCTCCATCGCTGCGATTTCAAGGACCTAGAAGAATATCTGCGACACCACATCGGCACAAACGTCGTTGTATTCTAACTTCATAGTTGGGAAGATCAAAACTTCAAATTTTGTGTTCCTGATCTGTAGCTTGTAATAGTGTTCGACTTCGATGACACATTCTTGACCAGGACGTGCTTACTTAGATGGCCGGGAGTGAAAATACAATGCCATCTCTCTACTTCGCAAGTATCGTCCACAAATGCTACACAGGGCTCAGAAAACTGGGACAAGTTTCTTCGATGCGAATCATGCGCAGACCTTCGGCGGTCGTATAGACGTGTGAGTTTAGACTTTCATCCAGATCGCTTTCATGGTTCCTACTGCAGCGATTTTCGCGCGGGAGCTTTCCGAGTCCTGCAGAATTTATTGGAGGAAAGAAAGAAGCGAATGCAGTGCGACATTAGAGAAAGTTAGATATTGACACACGCCTCTTTCCCTTTCCTATGCGCATAATATGCATATGACTCGGATTTGGAGGTATATTTTTGATTTCGTCTCTCTGACAACACATCATGATGTGCGTGACGCGCTTCCTGCAAAATTTCACTTCTGAGGAAAGTTGCTGGGTCGCTGTTGTCTTTTCGAATGAAGAAAGAGGCAGGTGGTCCGAGAAAACGGCTTTTTTTTTGTCTGAAAAACATTTTGAAAATGGGGAAGAAAACTATGAGTGAAATGAGCACTGCTTATGGAAAACGGTTTCTTCCCAATCGAAAGGAAAAAGTGTAGTTGACCAATGAAATGTACGGCAAATAGAGGCCGATGAATATGTCTGATGTTGAACTCAGATGCGCGTGGCTGAAAAAGGAACAGCGCTGAGTTATCTGCCACAGCTTTGGTTTACTACCTTTCTCTTCTGCGATAGGCGAGAGAGAGAAAGCTGGATTCTCTTTCTCTTGCTTCTCTGCCACCGCATAGAAACCATGCTCAGGTAATAGTACTTCGCTAGATGGAGTGGGCTCGCAGCTGAAGAAAAAATCAAATTTCATGGTTTTCATCATCGCGCGGTTGCCCGCGTAAGGGCATGCGCCTGGCATAGCGAAGTTGTTTGGGTAGCGCCTGTGCGTTGAGGGATTAGAAATTTAAGGGGACAGGAAGCGTGCGTGGACAAACCAACGAGGTTACAGGCCGGCCTGTCGTCGATAATTGAAACGAGTGGCACGCAAGTTTACTGTCTTCCACAGAAATAAGGCACATGAGAAACCGCAGGGCTTATCTGACTTCTGCTGCCGAAGCCGTTAGGCATGCGTGTTGCGTGCACTTCGCAACCTTTTCGAATTGAAGCAGCTGACACACGTATCGCGTCAACAAGGGGCTGCGCTGTCAGCCGTTCCTGCGTGCTTCAAGACGCTCGCATAGACGTTGTGACAAGTCACAGGCTTAAAGGATCTTCTAGTTCTGGAAGATAGTCCACTCCGACAGCGAGGAAAAACAAAGGGACCTTAAGACAATAGACGTTGCGGACCACGTCATAGTGGCATCTGAAAAATCCAATACTCTTCATAGAGAAGCGATCACTTCTTGCGCCGCGAAAAATCTTCCAGCGCTAGTATCTACTCTCCTGCAGCAGGCGTTTGTCTTTTCGTACACACCTACACAACTCTTTGCAGCAGCAGCTGCTACGCCGAAAATGAGTGGAGGTGGGGCGCAGGGCTTTCGCATCTTCCTCGTGGATGGCGAGGATAGCGACAAGAAGCTGGCTGGAAGCGTTACTTTCCATGCGTCACAGAAGGAGCGGGACATCTCCTCGCTGCTTGGCCAGGTTTTCTCACTGTCCGACGATGTACCACGCGCCGAGTACACGTTGGTGGCCGTTGAGAATGGTCGTCGCGTGCCGCTCACCGACGATCAAGTGGCAACGTCGTTTTTCCAAGACGCAGTCACGGCATATCCTATGATTGAGGTAATGCTTTTTGAGTCACGTCGTCTACGGATGAGGGAAACGAGAATATTACAACATACCTCTTCACCTTTCATGTTGATTGGTAGAAGACATCCTATAGGTTCTGTTGCCTCAGGAGCTACGTGTAGATCAGAAGACATCCTTTGACCTTGTGAAGTCGTTGAGTCATTCTGCACTCTACATTTCGCTTTCAGCTGCACAAAAGCAATAGTGCGAAAGAACAGGAGGATGTAAAGAGACGGAAATCGATGAGGAAGGACCAGGTATTCTTTTAGCCGGCTAAATTTGACGATAACGTAGAGCCTTGACCGTCTTATGAGTAGAACAAATCATACACAAGTAATTAACATCTAAGAGTTTGCTGGTACATTCATATTTCTCATCATGCATAAGATAAACAAGAGTTTCTACGAGTGTGTTACAGGAACAGCATGAACGATCAATTCAAATTAGAGGTCCATAATCATGTCTTGATTACAAAGTAGAGTAACAAAATCGTGGAATGCTTGCTTTTACATCAACCTCTGCAAGGTCGACATGCTGGAGAATGAGAATAGAGAGCTGAAACGCGGAGCGCAGTTAGTGGAGCGAAAAATGGAAGAATTTAAGGCCGAAACTAAGCGGCAGCTGGACGAAATACGAGGCGTGCTAGTACCGATAGAACGAAACGTGAAGCAATTCATGTCGCAGATCGAAGTAGACACTGCAGAAAGGTACTTACTCACACTCTCTACTGCTGGTTAGTAAATGTTACTTTCGTTTTATGCGAATTTCGATTAGTTTTCGTTTTTAGCAGGACCGCCTTCAATGAATATGTAAACCTGAATTCAACCTGACATGAAATCATTGAACAATAATTGAGAAGTTTCACCTGATTTGCAGCCGCTGTTCGATGGAGGTGAAGATGCAGAATATGCAGCGGATAACGGAGGAAACTAGCGAGAGAGCCACTGAGCTGGAACGTAATTTCAAGCGCGAGGTTGGCGGGTTTCAGTCGGATGTCTTGAAGCTCACGTCAAAGATAGCCAAGCTAAGTGAAAATAACGCGGAAAGCGAGGAGCAGAGAAATAACTGGCTCGAAAATATCAAAAAGGGCTTCCAGTCAGTCAAGGTAATGATAGAACAAAAATAGCTATTGCATTTGGTTCTTAGATTATCGAAGGTTGACAAGGCTATTTCTGAACTTACACAGGCGCTGCTGCTGTTTCAGTGGTTTCCATAATTCAACTTCCTTTCAATTTTACAAGAAACAGAGTGCAACCTGGGAAATATTTATTTACGTCCACCAAGCCGACTGGTTATATTCGATCTTGAGGTTTTCTCTGACATTACATGAGAAATTTCTGGTGTCACTAAACAATCAGGAATCCGTGAGTGAAAGCACAAGAGATGTTGGGCGACTCAAATCAGAGAAGCTGGACGTTTCCAAATTTCAAGCGGCGGTGGATACACTGTAAGAATTTTGATAACTTTTCCATCCCACACTTCAACGTCGTCTGGTATGGAGAAACTTGTACGACGTGCTTGGTTTTTGTTGTAGGATTCATTTTGAATTTCAAAATCATCATGAAGTAAATATGATGGTAAGTCTCATCAAGATCCTACGACGATGATCATCAGAACAAAGCGATGTGAAAGTCTCGAGTCGGAGCTGAAAGTGTCTAACGATGCGCGCGACAAAATTCATCGGGAACTGTTGACCAGAATAGACGCTGATACCGTGTCAAACAGCGAGGCGATGTATGACAGAGAAATAAGTACTAGTCGTAGAATTTTGTAGACTCGACCGTTGCCGGGGGCAACCGACTACGGGAGGGCGCACTGGGCTGGTGCTGGTAGTCGAGTGAGCTGTCAGTGGCTGGCATGACAGCGGCCCCGGGGGTTCTTGTGTTTTATGCTTTCGCCTATGGGTCTTCAGGGTGATGCTTGAGGCTGTGCCGCGGGCTCTGCTGTTCAGCTACAAAGCCGTCTACAAGGGCAGCCGACTGGGGGCCAAATTGGTGTGGGCTTGGCTTTTGGTTGGGTCCTGCGGCCTCGCCAGAAGTGTCCCAAATGTCGCGCTTCGCGGCGGCTATCGCGACCCAGTACGACCCATTTTTTGGGTCGGTTTCTAGTTGGTTTTGGCAATCAATGTTTGGGTACGACCCATTTCCTAGTCCTGTGACTGAAAAGCGGGCACTTTTTTAGGCTTCAGCTCATTAGTTTCTGGCTCATTTTGGGTCTCAAAAAATGTGTCGTACAGCACCAAATGTCGGCACCTCTTGTCGACATCGGGCAACCCAGTACGACCCATTTTATTTTTCCCTTTAGAAAGACCGCCCCTTTCTTTAAGCAGGAGCAGGCAGCGCCACCAGCGTGAAATGTGTACGCAGAGGAGGCTCCTCGAGCCCTTCCCTCGCGTGGCTTCTTGCGCTGCTTGCGGACTCCCAGGCGCGCCAGGCTCTGAGATTTTCCGCTTGGTTGTTTCCTTGCTCCCTATTATCAACGCGCCTATAGGCAAAGGCTTCGGCTTCAAGTGGCATCGAGGTATTTTACAAACAAAGTACTTATTTTTCTCTCATACGATGCAACGGCTGGACCATCGAGTTCGCCAAGACATGACCAATATGGAAGCCAGACGGAAAGCCTACAACGAAGAACTAGATCAGGTACAATTCCAAGTGCGCGGGAGTTCACAACTTGAAGATCGTTCAACAATGTGATGAAACAAGTTCAGACATATGAAAGAAAGATTACCTTCATGTGTAAGGCAGTCTGTTGTAGATCGCATGCAGAAGTAGAGTTGCACTCACAACCAAACACGACAGCTCCTCGAATTGCGACTAGCGGAAATAAGAGCAGTGGTCGGAAAAGTGGAAGGGGAGAAGGCTGACATTTTGGAGGTTGAGGATGTGCGAGCTGGAGTTTCGACCGAGCTGAAAACTTTGGAAAATGGTACGCTTTGCAAACCGAATCAAGGTGTTCCTGTAGAGACCTATCTGTACGAGTCGAATCATATCTGGACGAAGCGAGTTATCCATTCATGCATCTCCTAAGCAATCAATCTACTCATAAAGGACCGAAACAACTAGTCGTAATTCAGGTCTTGCCGTGGTGAACGGGAAGTACGACGTCGTCAAGAAGGAGCACGACGAATTCGTCGAGGTACACCAGAATGTATGGCTCCTATTGATCCATCATTAAAAGCATCTACTTGAAGATGTTTTCTATGAGGCAGCAAAAAATGTAAGCACTAACTAGGGAAATTTTTTTTGTAGGGGGCTTATCATTATCACGATAAAAGGGCGTCTACCTGAAAATTGATTCTGATGGCCTTTTCTAAGGAAGAGAGTAGCCGAGTTTGAAAAGGAGTTTGGAAAAGCTTTGGTCCAGACCAAGCTTGAGTTCCAGTTAGAAAGCCAGAAGACGGAGGAGGGATATCTAGCGAGTACGAAAATGCTCAACGTGCTTCATTATGAATGACAAAAGGCCCTGATAATAGTCTAGTGGCTTCGACGATAAGCTTAACTCCCGATTCGCTATAGATTTAGATTTTCAATTATCAAAGAAATGATAACCCTTATGAAAAACGAGACTTTTTTCTAGGTAGGCAGCCTTACGGAACTTATTAACACGACCTTTATCATCTGTAGTGTTTGATATGATTTCTATCCCATCCTTCATTGTTTGCTATTTACGGCTTCATGTTTGCGATTATACTTTGATTTTGGATTGGGAGCAGCTCTAATGTGTGAAAGAGCTCGGAGACTTCGTCACGCAGAACGGCCGGCATATATCTTTGCTCCAGCATGAGCATCAGGGGCTCAAGGAAGGCATTCTCTTACGAAACAGGACGAAGTCTATAAGAATATGTTAGCTCCCATAGCCTGGGAAGCTTAGCTGTACTTTCAGTCGTGAGCTACTTCGAGCATATTTCATTATGAGTCCATGGCATATGAGTCGGTGTCCATGGACCCTTGCGTACAACTTCGCTGGTTCATGGAATGCATTGTTACACTTTCCTCCTCCTAAGTAAATATATCAACTACTTTCTCGCGTCTCTTCATGCTCCCTTCTCGACAGCGCAAAAAACACGATGAGCAAGAACATGAAGAGCTTTGTTGGAGACTATCAAGGCTTCGTCGATGAGCAAGATATATGGAACGAGGATGCGACGAAAAAAATCACCAATATCCTCCAAGCGATGCAGCCGACGAAACTCGAGTGGAGGATCGAGGGTACGATGGTTTTCAATAGTACGTAGTTCTGTAGTAGGAAGTGTTTGACTTCTTCATGGTAGAATATCAACATCAAACATTCTTGAGGTCAAGTCTTGTGTTAAACAAATCTGTCTTTCAGATGCCTTCTACAACATGTTGTGGAAGTAAACATGTCTGAGCTTGAGAAACTGAAGATACTGACCTTTTCAAATAGAACTGGTCTCCGTTTCGATCGCCTAATTGGCCTGAAATTCAATGTTGAATTATTCAGCCATTTCGCGGAAATTAGCCGATGTGGGAAACACACCGTGCATCCGATCCGAATCGTTCCGACTTAATAGTGTGCCTGATTTGAGACTAGACTTTTTCCTAGAAGGCCTCGACTCTCGCATTTATCAAGAAGGCGTCAGTGCAGTGCGTCTATACGCACCAAAAGGCAGCAAATTCAAGTACATGTTTATACTTGATAATCTCAATTTTTTTTCTGTAGAAGTAAAGTAGCTAATGGGCTTTCTTCAGGTATGTTTGCTTAGATCAATCTTCGAGATGATGCGGTATCTTGTCCCTTTTGATCCCGACCTTGTTGTCTCTTAAAAAAACGAGGTATGAGGTCGCTATAGGACGGATTTGCGATGGAACGAAGATATTTGAGGGGTCGACGTCCGAGGGTCTCTTCTGGGTGGATCTCTTCTTCCCGGACTGGCAGAGCGAAATAAGTTTGGACACGATAACGATATCCTGCGAAATCTTAAGGCTTTCGAGTGTTTGAATTCTTCTTTTTTCACAGGGTAGGTTCGTTTTCAGACCCTAGCTGCGGAAAATTTTGAACAAATTTGGTACGATCAGAGATCCAGCAGTCGAGTCGTCCCATGTTCCACATTCTGCAGGCTGTGAATCCGTCACTCCTCTCCTGATCATTATCCTGGTTGTACACACTTGGATGAGTTGTAACAGAAAGTTGTCAACGAATCCCTTACAGCTCTAAAAATAGTGGAAAATATGCTCTCGCCGGCGGGCCAGGCAAAGATGGTAAAACTGCGGACGGAGTAGTAGTAAAAAGCTGCGCAGGTGCGGGCGGGAAGCAGTTAAGGTTTACAACACTACATCTGGTTCCAAGAGGCCCAGAACCATGCATGGCTTCATTTCAAGGGGAGGCATCCCGGTAGACTAATGGCGCCGTCTACAGCCTCGTCGAATACGTTTTGTATCTGTAAACTAATCTTTCTTATCTGATCAAATCATAAGCTGCATAAGAACCAAAATGTTCCAACATTGGAGAACATTGTTGTGGACCGAATCAATTTGACATTGATTTATTTTAAGGCTGCGATTTTATCGATTGTTACAGAGGAAATGATGTGTCTAGTTGCAACATGGGCAAGCACGGCACACGTGGAGAGATGGTTATTGAACATTCAAAGAGAAATCTTTTTTAGCAAAGAGACGTAAACGGGCTTTGTGATATATTTTCTGGCTTTTTTCTCGTTCAAGAAAAGAACTATTTCGCGAGTTTTTGTAGTTTTAAAACAGGGGGTTGTAAGAACTGATTTCATTTGTTTTGGGCTTGCGTGTCGTGGGTAGCAAGAGAAAGAAACAGTTTCATTTGTTGATGATGTTACAGGTGGGGCAGACACGACGTGATGATGTTTCTGATCGTGGGTGATGGGAATCGTTCGGAAATAGATATGATGATAGCAACAATTGAGAATATAGACCTCCATGGCTAGTTTGGACTGTGCATGATTTTTATGGTACAGGGAAAGTCAGCACCACTAAATTGAGATCAAGATTATCCTCAATGAGATCAAGATTATCGTCATATGACATATACACGGACGCATGTGCATAGGCTGACTAGTCGAATTCGATGATAAACAGCATACTCATATTTTTCTGTCGAATAATTTTTGCATTGTAGGTCATTGTTTCCGACAGGTAAAACATCGCAAAAACGATTTTGATCTTACTTTGTGACGAAAACGGCTCTTCGGGTTAATGTTGCATATGAAATGCCTCGTGCGACGAGTCTACAAGTCGCCGTCTTACAATGCCTGCACAGATTAAAGTTTCCTTGAATTATAGAAACAGACTCTCAACAGGAGGTGAATGAACGACTTGCATGGGTGATGCTTGCATTCTTTTCATCCAAGGTAGCAATATGAGATGATCGAAAATTCCCATCTGAAAGCACAAGAAGATAGTAATATCGCTTTTGGTGCAGATTCTTCACCTTGACAAAGTTTCAATTGGTTTCTGTTCTGTGATGTAGGATCAAATTACTGACAGTGGATTGACTCCGGTCTTGTGGATGCTTGCTCTATCTCTATTCTTGCCATTCAGTTTCTCCTACAAGATCCTTCTTAGAGCTGAGATTCTGCCTCTCAGGACCCACCCTTATTTTTTGACTTGTTGAACTGTTGCGAGGGTGTGCTAACCAAGTTTTCCTCTTCGCTGGATCTAAACTATTATAGCAACTCACCTCGTGTCACACCACGCCAGGCACATCGGTCATTCAACAAGTGTTTCATAATATTCACTTTTTTCAAAGTCTGGTCGCTGACGCGGTGGGCGCGGCATAATTTGCAATTCATCAGATACGGTTACACGCATTATCGTCTTCGTCCTTGAGTAAACTTATAATTTAAGTATCAATAATATTACGCTGACCGACGTAGAAACATCATGGGTATGTTTACTAAAAATTTTTGGAGAGCACCATGCCTGCAGGTCTTATCCGTTGCTTCTCCCCTGTGCTTGGTCGCAGCGCTTCGGATGCATAGACGAACCAGATCGGTCGCGGACGAAAATATTGACGGAAACGAAGATGAGCCTCCAGAAATTACCAACGGCACATTCGGGGCTAGCGGTTCCTCGAAAATATTGTCACTAGGTCAAATATGCGGCCACACCGATAGCCCTCATGTGCTACCGAATGAGGTCGATGATAGGGAGGGGGAAAATCTACAGGAGGCGAATCTTGAGAAGTCGGGAAGCTCTCTTGCTCACGCTCAAAATGGTAGCTCCGCTGTCGCTTTGGAAGAAACAGACGACGGCGTTGCAGAAGTAGGTGTGGAAGCTAGTATGCTTGTCCCGGAATGCGACCTGCTGCGGTGTAACGTCGGGCTTACCGTTATCGATATCTCCGAAGGGCGCATGACAAGAGCGACAGCACATGACGTGGTCGGGCCAGAAGACATACCAGAGATACTGCAAAAGTCGGCTCTAGCAGTCGAAGACCGCACAAAAACACAATATATTCGCCTACCCTTCTGGTGGCGCCGATCGCCGCTGCGCCCTTTGTCAACCGAAGACAAGAAACAAGTAGAAACGGAACAAGTACATCTACAGGGCACTCATCTTTATCACCAGGAAAAAGCGTGTGAAGAACGAGACAAGAAGACATCTCCTTCGGGAACGCCGAGAGCAAGCTCAAGTCTAGCAAGTATTCCAGAAGATTCTCTTTGTCCCACCGAGGGGAGCTGTAGCGCGTCTCGAAGCCGTCCACGAGCGTCCCGCTCAAGTGGAAGCGGCGCCTCTGCCGCGAGCACGGCGTGCCTGTCTTCTCCGAGTACACAAACTGACTTCATGGCGGGACCCGTGAAAGCACGGATCAGTCGACAAAAGGATTCTCGTCGTCGTAGTTCAAGCACCAGTCGTGGAGTGCAAAGACATGCTTTGTATCTCAGCGAGGACGCGCCAGGTCGTTTGCACATATATGACGAAGAACGCGATCAGTTTGTTCCGCTACTGTTGGATCTGCGCAACCTTGAGGTGAATGATTGTCCCGCCACTCCCTTGCGGTTATCGAGCATGGCGCCGCAAAAGGCACAGGACTTACTTCGAACAAAAGACTTGGGAGTAGCTAACGGTAGTCGTGCGCAAAAATCTTTAGCCGCTGTGAGCAAGAAACGGAATGCAGTGGCAGATGAAATCTTGGAAGGCGTGAATTTTCTGGTAGAATTCATCACTTGCGGTAGAAGCAGCCTGACTCCACATAAAATATTCGGCTCTGACGTGTACCTCATAGAGTCTGGGGAGACGAGACCAGGTGACGTTGTATTCACGTTGACGCCAGTTGTGCAACTTTTAGTTCTGTCTGGTGCGCTCGAAGCCGACACTCTTAGTGTTGGTAATGCCGGAGAAGAGAGCTTCAGCCAGTCTTCGGGACTATCCGCACGACCAAGTGATGCGAAAAACACTGTCCCTGCTCCAGAACAAGATCACGATGCTGCTGTAGAAGCTGCTATTGATTTCATGGAATCCTTTTTTGGGCCGCACGTGAAGTTGGTGGCTGTGGAAATCGAGCTTGTTCTCGTCCCACAAATGAAGGCAGCAATAGCCGACTATCGATCCGGGCGCACTGGTGAGAAGAACATCGCAGATGCCGCTGCGGTCTCACGCGCATCATCAAATTCGCACTTTTCGCTTCAGACGCGTCGAATGCTGTTGTCAGCGGAGAGCAGCATGACTGACCTGCTTAGTGCGATCGACGAGTGGATCCTGACTTTGCCACTGGCGAAGCGCTTCCATCGGTACGCAGAGTCAGGCGAGCACTTGCATGCCGTGCTACCCCCTTTTATTGACGCTAAGCTTCAACCATCGAAGTCTGATGCCGAGTTTCTGAGCGCGCAATCGGACTCGTCGAGATCTTTCATTTCTGCTTTAGAAGAGGGAGAAGGCACAGCAGAAACATCAAGCGAAAGTAAGGACGAGAGAGGAGTTTCCTCGTCTTCGTCATCATCATCTACTCGTTCCAGTGTACTGGCAGCCCAAGGGGACAAGCGAAGCTTCGAGGTGCACGAGCTACCGCTTTTTTTGGAACGGGACGTGAACCTTAAAGCACGAACGCGTGAAGACGTACAAGAGCAAGAAGACGCAAAATGCGTGTCATCGCATGTCATCGAGCTCTCACCGACGATGCGTTTGAGCGAGGTATTGTCACCGACCGAGACGGGGTTGCGCTTCTCGCTTCTTCTGTGCGCAAATGTGTTGAATGCCGCCAGCGATGCAATCTTTGACGCAGCTGCATCTGCTGACGCCGTCGATGCTTCCGATGGGAAGGCCGGTAAAGGTCACGCTACTGATAAGCCTGACAGCGTTGTTTGCGCTGCGCAAAAGGGCGAGGATGCTCCTGCAGGCAGGGGCCTGCTGCAAGACCTTCTTAGCACAAGCAGCGGGGAATTGCGAGAGCCAGCAGGGAGCATTGAAGCGTCTACCAGTGAATCTTCGCAGCGTAGTACGGGTTCAGTCTGTGCAGGACTACTAAAGCGCGCCTCGGCAGCGGGCGCGTCCTCCTCGACATCTTTTGCGCTTTCGCATTTGCCAGCTGCAAATATTCAGTCACGAGCTTCGTCTTCGCAGGACCTGCCGCAAACTTTGCCCTTTGTCGAGCCCACAGCAGCACCAGGAACAGGCGAGGGAGGTGTGCCAGCGATCGGCGCGCAGGCGTCGTGGGCTCCACTAGGCGACGGCGGTGAGTCTGTCATGTCTACTATGCGATACAACAGCACGACCAACACTTGGCAGATGGTGCCAATGGTCTGGACAGCAACGGCGGATGGATTTCCAGTGCCAGGAAGCAACGCAGATGAACCGCGAGCGAACTCGTACGTCCAAAACTCGTATGTTGCCAGGGGAGTGGACTCGTGGCGGGGCACCGCGGGAGTACCTCGAGGAGCTGGCTTCGATCCGGAAGCACAACCTGAGCCGCAACAACAAGATACTCCTTTCTATAACGTGCGTATCCTTTGCGGCGATGGGAGGCTGCGAGCCGGCGTTGTAAATGTCGAAAAAAGTAGAAGTGCAAAACGCCCGGAAAAAGGAAGTACAGAAAATAGAAGCACTTTCCTCAGTCGCAAAGGAGATTACTCGGCTAAAGTCCGTACTTCACGTGCGTGGCATGATTCATGGCACGATGCCAAGAAGTCGTGTTGGACAGGCAGTAGCGAGGCATTGTCGTGGCAGCATCCTCATGCTGCATCTTCCCAGGAGTGGGAAGACGGCTGGTGGAGCCAAAGCCATAGCACATGCTCTGAGCCAGCTAGTATTGACTACAATGAGTTATGCCTGTGGCTCCACTCAGCGCCGCGGCACCCTCATGACGACGCGAAAGTACACGTATGCGAAGCTTCGAATACCAAGCATCATGGCACTAACCAGGGCTGGGCGAAGGGGCCTCTTACCGGTGAGCTCACACGAGAACGACGACTTTCGCGAGACAGCGACATTTGGGAAGCATCAACCACAGACGCGAGCACTGCGCATTCTTGGTCCCGTGTGAACTCGGACCCAGTCTTAGAAGGACCTTTCGAAAGAGAGCAGGATCTTCGATATAGTCCAAGTTTCGAAGCAACTGCGATGTCCACGTCAGGTCTAGGTGGACAAGATTTTTCGGGTTTACCGTACCATGGTATGTCTTCCTTGTGGGACACGCCGGAAGCGTTGATGAACCTGAGTGAGGGCAGTGCTCCTGTCTTGCCTTTTCCATACGAGCAATATCCCTATTGTGCACAGCCTTTGCTGGGAGTCCCGTATTCGGAACAAGAAGCTTCCCCTGGTACCGCGCTTGGTTATATACCAAGGGCGATGGAGGAACTGTCATCACAGACTCAATCACAATCGGAGTTAGGATCTCCGTTGATGCAGGGATCTCGGGTAGTGCACGTAAATTTTGCGGCAGGGGATCGGCCGCAGCAAGCAGGGCACGCGGCAGGCTCATTCCAGACCCCACAATGTTTTAGGCCGAATGTCGAATATGACGAGCGTACCTTTGCACACATGAGGAGCACAACCGCTAGCACACTTCCAATCGTTCCGCACGCGGAGCCAGCTACTGTGGGCGACCCCAACACGAAGCATTCGCCCTTGGCAGGCGTGACTCCGGTGGGCCATCACTTACTGCAAAAGTTCACAGAGATTGGCCGTCAGATGGTGGCCAAGGGTGGGGGTCGCGGCGCCAATGGAGCAACTACGGAGGTAGATACGGAGATACACAATGCCACTTCACCCGGCGGCCCCACCGGCTTTCCTAGTGAACTCGGAGAATGTGGATCAACAAGAGGTATCGACCCAAGCAGTCATCAGTTTGGGGACCGGTTTCGGCTACCAAGTAACCACTCACGATACGGAGATGAGCCTGACGGCAGCTTGTCGCCGCGACCTTGGCCGCGCAGTGAAGTGGGGCCGTATCCGTCAATAGCTGCGCGACGAGAAACTTCGCCACATCACTTTGTCACTGAGGTAGTCGGGAATCATGATGGAACCGCGAGAAGGAATCAAAGTGAGCATGTAGCGCGGAATAGCAGCGGCGTAGAGAGCGACGAAGACGAATCGTTGTACTACGCCTGGCGACGCAGTAGGTCGATCTAGCTAGAGTGTAGTGGGTGCATTTTACTACTGTCTTTCTTCGCACCATTGTCTCGTTTTCGTAACCAGTAACTTCAGCGAATAAGTGGTCAGCATTGAGTAATGATAAAGGTCGTAATATAGTTTTCAGGTGCCTAATTGTAGTATAGATTTGTTTCAGCGTTTTTTTGATAAACATGGATGTTCGTTTCATGGGGCAAAAGTTACTCGTTGTTCCTTTCTACTTGCGTATCAAAATTAATATCAACTCGACTCATAAGAGTTGAGAGAAAAGTTTGTTGTTCAAAAGACGGCTATGCTTTTTTGATTTCGTTTCGCTTTGCCAGTCCTTTGATGCATACAACTTTTACATTGTCCGAGATGTAATGACTGAAGAGGTGGTTGCAGCGTCGTTCTTGCAACGAACATGCAACGTTTTTCCCGCCAGGAGAGGATTGCTTTGCCATGAACGTACAGCTTTTACGACGTTACGGGTTTCAATATCATTGATGACAGCATCATCTGCGGAGTCTCATGTTTGAAAAATACTGTGCAGGAAATCATGCTGGAATGACATCAATCCCGTACCTAAACGTAAGCTTATGCAACTAATGTATCTAACATTTGCGCATCATATATTACTTTTTTTGAAAGCTGTTGAGTTGAATCAACTACTGGTGCATATACTTATTCTCGTGTGTAACTCATGCCGATAGTCTTTAGGTCGTCCTCAGGACGCAATTACCTTGGAGGAATTTTGAAGACCATTACCTCGTCTGTCAAGGGGCTAAATCAACGTTGACCGCCTCGCCAGAAGACTACTTAACTACATATAACAGTAATACTGGAAACAGCACGACGGCGATGGTCTACCATGCAAACTTTCGGAATTTTCCACTGTGTAGTAAAGCGCATGCTGTAGGCGAATGAGTTGAATGACGAGCGAACCGGAAGACGCATAGGGTTTCAAATCTCAGACATGAGATCCCAAATAAATTTTTTCTACTTTACTTCGCGTTGAAGAGGTGTCTGCAAGCATTTAGAAAGCAACAGTGTTCTGTTCAAAATGGACTATGACCTTGGTTAGTCTCGTGAATCCTGGTTGTTATAGATGTTGGACAGAATGACTGTGGGTCTACCAAAACAGAAAAAATCACAGAGAGTAATCGAGCGACACTTCCTTTCTAGGCGAGCGGTAGTAAATGTGGTTGAGCTTGTGTGGATTCTGTGCGTACTTGCGGATCACGCCTGTTTTTGTCCTTTCACGGGACATGAGTCCGACATGCACTGCTCTTCCTTGGTTCACAGCTGTCCTTTATCCTCTCCCCAATTGATGCACATCCCTCATGCCAATCCACATTCTGATACGTTATAAGTAGGATCCTTTGTTGTAGCTGTAGATTGCATCTAATTCTAATTTCTATTCTGGCGTTTGCGGTGGTATCTCCATATGTGAAAAATTGGTTGACTAGTTGAGTTTGAGTTTGGTTTTCGTGACTAGTAAAAGCTGTCATAGAATGACGTGTTTTCGAGTTCACAGAATAAACATAGTTCCAGTTTATTTCGTCGGCTGTGCGCCAGTCAATTTTTTTATCTGAAAGTCTTCAAAATCTTGGTTTATTCCTTACGGATTATTTTTAGTGTCTTTTTTTCTTTCCCATGATCATGGCAGCCACCGAGACTATCTAAAAAGATAGAAGATGGAGTTGTTGCCCGTGACATCTACATCGGCCACTAGTGGGTCACTTGTTGCACAGGAGAGGTCGAAATCGTCCTCATCCGGCAGTGAGCACCATGAGGGAATGAAAATGCGCAAGGCTTCCCGCGTGACACGAAATCCACATGCCTCTGAAAAAGCACCAGCGGACGAAGCTGAATTGTCGCGGAGGTGTCGAAGTCGGAATGAGATGGTGTTCGAGCTCTGGAAAAACGCGGAAGGCGCGCCCGTCTCGGATTACGCGAAGAGCGGGATGTACGAAGTGCGTTTGCACCAGCATTGCCAACGAGAACACCAAGGAGATAAGATAGGTGATGGCGCACAGCAGCTGCAGGGAGGCAAAAATGGAGCTGCACGAGGACCCGTACTACAACAGAATGGAGGTGCTGGAGGAGAGGCGCCTTCTGCGTTTCCTCTCGCGGACATACGAGTTTGGGGTCCGAGGCAGTTTCAACCTGGCTACAACGACGAAAAAGTTCGATTGGAGTTTTTCTTTGATGGAAGCTTTGACTATTCCAACGAAGAGCTAGTGGAAGGGTTCACGCGCGGCCTAAGACAGTGTTTGGAGGAGGCGATCGCAGTCGGGATCAAGGAAACACAAAGGGAGTATATGGAGGAACACGTCAACGGGAAAATGAGTATTGGGAACAACAACAACAACAACAATCACAGCAGTTCAGGAGCTTTCGAGGATCAATTTGACCATAATAAATCGGACGACGCGCTTTCCTCTACGAATAAAACAAGCAAATCCGGTGGAGGGTCAACGGGCTCGAGCTTTGCCGGATTCTCATCAACTGAGTCACTTCTTGGAGAGGGGTCTTCGACTCCACCCTTGAATCTTGAGGTGGAGCACTATCGGGAAGCGGGCTGCATGATCCAATTTGTCGTAGCGCGTTGCTCAGTGGGCGTCGGAGCAGCGGAGCTGATAGCTAAGGCTAATCATAATGATCCATCACTTGCTGTATGTTTCTCTTGTTGTTGATTCTGAAGTGAGAACCTAGGTGAGATGCACACATGACATGACCTAGGTAAAAGGAAACTAACAACAGTAGCAGGATGGATCAAGATTGCGTCTAGTAGCTCTAATCTATGCCAACAAGTGTTCCCAGAGTATTTCCGATCCAAGTGCAGGGCCTTCCAAGTGAACGAGACCGCTCCAATGCCTCTCTGGATGTATCCACTATACGTCCTGGTTTTCCTTTTCGTGCTTCTCTTACTGATGGCGTGGAGACAGGCTTTTGTGTAGTTCATTGAGCAGTTGATCTCCCATTCTTGTTGTCTTGTCAACGACTGACGCGCATCATGTTGTAGTAGCATCAGATCTTTTATTGAGATTAGAATGCCGGATTGCAATGTTGTACCTCACGTGTGCAAGGAAGTCTGATGGCCGCCAGGCATCCTCCTGTCGAATAATTACCGGCGGCCGTGTTGTTTTCATAATACCTCCGTGTTCTTTGTTGAGAAGTGTTTCTGTCTCTAACGCTAGCGGACATGGAAAGCAACCGTAGGTATCCGATAGGATTTGTAGTCCTCGAGAATTTGCAATAATTCTTACTAAGTGCGAGGGCTCATCCATGCCAGTCAAGAAGATTATCGAAAGACCCAAATTGATCCTTTGGAAGATCTCAAAAAGAACAAGGATCGCGCGAAAAAGCAAGGATTGGATCTGCTCACACCAAAAGCTCTTATTTCTTTTTCAAGTAGAAGATCATCAGTAAAGGCCTCCTCGGAAACGTACCTGATTCTACCTGTTATTTGTCGATAAAAATATTTATGATGATGCAGGTCCTCTCTAGATTCTAACTCCTTCGAAATACTGATCTTGGAAAGTCCTCGGTTCATCTTATTATGATGATGCAGGTCGATGCGAAACTGGGGTAACACGTAAGCATAGAGTATATTTCGAATGAAGATTACTCATGGTGGACCAGTAATTAGCGTGCGACACAATGAACTAGAATCACTTATGGCATGTACGTCGAACCCGTCATACGCGCTTAACAACTATATGGAGAGCAAGTAATTTCATAGCGTCTCTAGTAGAGGACATGAAAAATGGGAAAGCGCACGCGAGGCGACAGTAGTGATGATGGGGAAGACCTCCTCCTCCTTACATGTATGGGATACCGCAGGAAGGAAGCGCGACAAGCACTTCAAGACGCAAGCGGAGACTTCGATGGTGCTTTGCGTGTTTTAGAAGCATCAAAAAGCGCTGAAGTAGGGGCAGACGAGCTATCCTGTCCTCCCAGGAGCACAGCATCCGCCGCTTCGTCGAGTTGTTCCCCGAGTGCCTCATCAAGGAGCGCTAGCAAAAGACCTAGAGCGGCAGAGGATGAAACTGCCACGAGTAACGCGACCGGTTTGGTAGAGAATGAAGTACTGGATTACGATGGCCTGCGTCTGTGGCCTGGAGGCGACGGCAAGTTGTACCTCTTCGCGCAAGCGGTAGTGGACGCGGCGACCCAGAGCGTAGAAGATCATGAAGAGGCTGCGTCGGCTTCAGATCGGTTACCAGATACACAAGCCTGTGAGCGAATGAAAACCCTTTTGCGGGAGTACCTTCCTATCGCGGGACACACGAAGAAAGACGGCAGTTTTTCCATCAAGGCGATAAGCGATTTCGATATGGAACTGTATCGGGGAAAGAGGCTCCTGCGTAGTAATACTTTTGGGAACAGAGGGCGAGTGGATGGGCGCAACGTGGAGATACAAAAGTCTGGAAACTTATGGGTTTGCGACGTTGGTAGCCAACTGAACCAGTCTGCTTTGCAGTCTGACCTAAAAGCCGTTGATTTTCAGAGTTTACTTGCAGCCACCAGCGCAACCAATAAACAGCGGGACGACGCTATCTTCTGGCTGCCTGTGAAAGAGAGCGCTTTGGATAAAACAATGGAAAGATCGCCAGAAGATGTCGGAAGTATGTCTGCTAAAAACCACAGAGCGACTGAGGATGCTGTACTTGATGACGGTGCCAACAGCGTTCTTTCCTTTCTCGATGACAGCGACGACGATGGTGACGAAGCCCAGTCCGATTCAGGGCTGAAAGGGCCTCTACGCTCAGGAAAAAGGAAATCAGATCATAGCAATTTCGAGAATCTGCGCAAGGCTGCCGATTGTCTGATAGAATTTGCGACAGAGTGGTGGGCGGAGCACGGAACAGAGCGAGCTGACGAGGCGTCTTCTGCGGTGTCATCTCCTGTGGGGAAAAATGCCACGACGTCTATGTCCTCAGCAGTGACAACACAGTTGATCCGGCCAGTTCAAGCGATGTTGGCTCGCTATCCGGGCAACGGTGCCAGGTACGTAAGACACCGGGACAATGAGACGGTTGACGGGCCGCGGAGAAAGATGAACTACCGCTGTCTCACGGCGATCCTGTACCTTTCAGACACGTGCGACCAGACACCGTGGAAAGCTGAAAATGGTGGCCAGTTGCGCGCCTATCTCGAGAACACTCCCGCTGACCCTAGAACGGTACTTTCGACGACATCAGAGAAAGAGAGCGGATCGACAGAGACAACAGCAAGCGTTTCGACGGGAGTCAAAGCAGAAGGAAATCCACCCAAAAATAGCACTAGCATAACCAGCATTGACGTTGATCCTGTATTCGGCCGCATCGTTTTGTTCGCGGCAGATATTGTGCCCCACGAAGTCTTACCCTCATTTCGTGAACGCACAGCTCTCACAATGTGGTTCATGTGTCCTATGCCCAATAGGAGAACAACTTGAGGCGTACTGTTATGTCTACCTTTAAGAACAATATCAAAACCTCAAGATGATTGGGAACCTAAAGTGCTCGGCCACTCGTCCAGGATTGATGTAGCATGAGTTCATCATCCAGCCTCACTGTGGTGTTCTATGAATTGAACCCCTTGTTGGGTGGATCATCACATACATATAACATGATTGCTTGCGTTTCCGCGTGATGGGCCGAATTTCATGATGACTGTGCAGATGAAATATATCCAGAACGTTCTGTTTGTCATCGGTCCCGTCTTTGAAAATTGAAAGAAACAAGAAAATGCCATCGGTGCACACATTTGTGGATCTCTCCATCGCTTAATCGATCGTCGTAACATGGAGTTGCAAATCGTTTGATACTACGTCTCTCCAATATCTCACATGTAGTTATTCCTGACAACTTGGTGGAAAATAGAAGGAAGCATACTTTCTCTCTCTGGCGTAGGAAAAGAACTTCGCATGAAAAATAATTCTCTTGTAGGAAAAACGAAGATATAGGCAAAGATTGTAGAGTCATGTTATATATATATACATCCTGAAATACGTTAAACGTGAAAACTTGGAAAACACGATCGTGGAGTTGCATGGACGAATTTGAATGATTGTCACAAGAATCTGTATGATATCATCCAGAATGAATGGCTCCTATCGGCGTCTTAGCTGCTCCAGAGGAGCATGCAATAAGGTTTTGATCTCTGTGTAGGATCCCGGGAAACTGCAGCGGTTGTAGATCCACTTTCGAGAAAACCCGTTCGCGAGTATGAGCGGTCGATTCGGCAAGAAAAAGGAACAAGACGCAGAGTGGCTAAACACCAGCCAGCTCTTCGGCGACGGCGAAACTGCTTTCGGGGGAGACGCGAAGCTTGCGGATGAACGACGGCGCGCGTCGTTCGGTGGCGCGGTGTTCTCCAGTCCGCTCGAGAAAGCACCCGCGGAAGATGGTGAAAGCGACGTGTGCGGATGCTCAGACGTCCATGCAACGTACGACGATGGAGCGGTGGACGGTAAGAACGGCATTGACGACATTGTACGGGAGGACGGAGCGTTTCGAAGGTTAGAAGACGAAATTGGATTTGATCCGCCAGAGGGAGTGACTCCTGATATTGGACAGAGTCCTGATGTTGATCACGTCATCAAGAGTTCATCTGCTTGCTCCTGTCCCGACGAATTAATTGCAGTATCTCCGATCATGGAAGAGGCCGGCGAAGACTACGGTGATGCGGCGCGTACTTTCAAAGACGATGTCGGAGTCGATCCAAGCGTCTCAGACCCGGCGGCTGGCTCTCCGAACGAGAGTAGCTTGGTGTTTCAGAGCGTAGAGCCAGTTGTTGCGGAAAGTCGACTAGGAGGATGGAATCGAGGGAGTGCATCGTCGCCGTCAGCCTCTTTGGCATCAACTCGGAAGACTTTGACATTCGCAAATTGTGCTACTGCATCCAGTGGTCGGGAGGCTCTTCCAGCAAGCTCTTCCAGCAACAACCCATTCGCTGTATCTAGAAGTGCAACTGCGAGCACCTTCGGCGGCAGCGGGAGTAAGCAGTCAAGCGCTAGTGTGAGCAGTAGTCTCACCAGCAGCCCGACCGAAGAAAAAATTACGGCGCACTACGATAATGCCAAGCAGCACGTGGGAGGTTCTTCCCAACATGACGCTGCTGTTGAATCACTTGAAAACGGTCCGGGGGCGTCCTTGCTCTTCGGTACCGATGAGGTCGCACGAGCTGGTTTTTCGTTGGGATTCGGTTCTGGAGGTGGCGGCGAATCATTGTTCGGTTCTAGCGGAACAAAGGGCAGCATTTTTGGCCACAGTCGTTCATCTCTCTTTGATGACGCAAGAGGAGACTCTGGCTCCATTTTCGCGTCTTATGCTGAAAGGAAGAAAAGTATCGAACAGTCTAAGAACGGGGAGTTTCCACGAAACAAGAAGAGTCATGTCGCGACCTTTGGAAGCCTCTTCGACAAAACAGACTTCCGGCTTGCTGACCTGGAGGAGCAAAATGGAGGAGGAAGGAGTCGCATGTTGACATTGTCGCAAAGATTCGACAATACAGGCAACAAAGCTTCTGTTTTGAGCCCCGGACATGTTTCGTCGAATGACAATGATGCGCTAGAGATGTCTGCAGATAAGGAAAATGTCTCTTTGCATGCGAATACTAGCTCTGACTCCGAGACTGAGTCGAGGCGCGGATTAAGTCGACAGGCGACCAAGGAACCGCGTGCGGCATTGAAGAGCAGCAACGACGAAGAGGAAAAGCCCGCCTTTCGCACTCTTCTGGACCGTTTCAAGAAGATGAGTGTCAGCAATAGATCTTCGCTCGAAGGAGTTCCTACAAAGTCACCAGGGCTGGTTTCGCCGAGTAAGCCAATTGGCAGCCCGGATAGCCAATCATCTGCGGTCAGTCAGCAAGCTGTCGGTGCTCATGCGTCGCCGCCCACGTCTGGTAGTGGCCTGCTTGAGGTGATCGACGACGAGTACAATGTCCGGAGCGACCGAGCGGAGAAGTTGCCAATTCCGGGTGGGCCGGAACCCTCAGAGCCTAACGTTGCCACTGCGGAGGCTGAAGAAAGTGCGCTTGCCGAAGTTGCAAGCCCCCAGGAAGAGAGCGCTCTGGAGGGCGAAGATGTAATTCCGCAGGAGAACGGCGATGAAGCTATTTTTCCTGACCACGAAGACGACGTTTACCCACCGAAAAGGGTGGACGAAATGAAATTGCAAGAAGCTGGAGCAGCTGGTAGAAATAAACTAGATGATGGAAGTCATGCTGTCTATGAGTCGTCCGTGAACAGCATGGAGGTCGTCCATCCATCTGCCCTCAATCACGGTAGCACAGACTCAGTCTCGTCAAAAAAGGCTGGCTTGCCGCCGAGGCCTGCAGAAACGCAATTTCACTCAACACGAGAAGTACCGGGGGACGACAAGTCTTCACTCGTAGAGCGCTCTGCTATAGAGGGTTCGCTTGTGGAACGATCAGTTTTTTCCGCAGCATCTCCGGTGGATATGCGGCTGCAGAATGAGAGTGAGCAACCGTCTGGCAGTCGTATCGACGATGAGTTTGACGCGGACCTGCTGACGCCTGAGTCTGACATTTCTTCCGGCGGCCTCGCTTGCGCGGGAGAAAAGGAAGGTCGGCCAGGTCCTGTACGCTTGGCGGTCGAAGACGAAGATCACTTTTCGGATGTTGGCTGCAATAAGGCACCTGCAGCGTCCACCGGAGCTACATGGGGGCACACCGAGGATGACAGTGTTCTTGGAGGTCAGAACACAAACTCCAAAGAGGTAGAGGATGGAAACAAAGAAACCGCTGGTCGACCTTGTCATGGTTCTGAGGAAGGGAATTTCAGCTCTTCATCTAGAAACAAAGAGTTCGAAGCTCGTAAGACGGCGCTTCGAGCAGGATCCTCGCCTGCTCTCTCGACTTTTGGCGTCGTCGAGGAAGAAGCTTCGGTTGTGCATGAGGTCGGAGCAGTGAAAGCCGTGGAGCGAGGCCGCACCTTGATGGATGATGACGAGCTGTTTGAGGAGGACGCAGAAGCAGACACCAGTTTAAAGACTGGAGCAGCTATCAAAAAGGACTCACCACTGGCGGAGGTGCGTTCTGAGATGAGTATCGAAGGAAAGAATAGTGCATCAGCCTCCAGGCAGGAGAGCAGATCAGGATCATCTACTGCGAACCTGAGCACTTTGATGGAATCAAATCCTCTACAGTCCAGTACGATTGTTTCCTCCTCGTCATGTCTGCAAGAGAGCCACGAGCCGGAGAAAGTGGACACGAAGAAGACGCGTGGGCTGCAGTGTACGCCGGAGAAAGAGAAGCCACGCGCCTCTGGGTTATTTGCTGGAGTGGAGCCTCCACCACAAGAAGCGACAGGACTCTTCCGGCGATCTTCATTAATTTCTAGGCCGTCACTATCGAATCGGATGTCCATCGCTAGCGCGGGTCGTGGAAGCGAGCTTCAGGCTGCGCCAAACGCTACCAATAGCAGCGTTTTACTGGAGCCGCAGTATTCGAAGCCGACACAGGACAAGGCGAGTAATGCAGTGGACTCTGCTGCCAGTTTGGCAAATGATGTCAAGCTCAAGGCGAATGAGTCGGTGCCCGAAAACAAAGGGGCGACACACCGTGAAACAGGACAAGGGGAGAGCATATCAGGTGATCCTGATGGTTGTCAAACCACGGAGCAAAAAAACAGGGTTGGCCCAGTATGTGGCCAAGAAGACCATGTAGGGGATAATAGTCTCAGTCGCTGTGACGAGGAGGAGTTGCCAATCGGGATGAACAAAAGCAACGACCAACTTCCACCAGAAACAGTTTTAGATCCTGATTACTCAGGCGTACCGTTGTCCACACGGCTCGTTTCCTCAAACGTCAAAGAGCGTGTCTCTGCTTGGCACGACATCACGCGTCACTTCTCGGAAGGGATCGATCCGGAAGGAGCTTCCATCGGACGCCCGCCAAGAAATTTCTTGAATTATGTTCCGGTTGAGCAGCTGCCAGTGGGGTACGAGGCGGCGCTGCATGCCGCGACAGCGTACGCGACATGGGTTGGTCAAGATCGTGCGGCCTGGGAGCAGGAAAGCGCGTTGGAGTGGCGCAACCCCTATGCAGTGGGCTCCACAGAAGAGCAGCTAGTGGATTTGACGAGCGAGTTACTGGATCATAAGCAAATGGGAGAACGCAAATTACAACTACTTTTCATAAAACTCTGGGTCGCTGTCGGAGAAGCGCTGCCGCGGTCGATCGCAGACGTGTGCGCACAGTTGATAAATCGACTGCAGCAGCTAGAAAAGCGCGTAGCAACGGCCGGCATGTCGACAGCTGTATCTTCCTCCCCTGCACCGAGCGGCCACGCAGCAGGGTATGGCTCCGGTACTTCGTCTTCGTTCGGTACGGCAGGGCAGTGCTCGGCAGCAAACGCTGCGGCGAAAATAGGTGTGGCCAAGAAACAGATGGTCACTGTGATTATGCTACTTGCGAAACTATTAGAAATGTTCGGAAATCTTGCTGCGAAGACAACATCCAATTATGATCACAGATTTGGGTCGTCCGGTTCATCTGCAGCTACAAATATGATTTCGGTCGAGAGTGTAACTCGGCCGCTTGCCCTTGTGAGTGTTAAGCACATCCAGGACCGAGTTTTGCGTGATATCTGCTACACAGCGCTTGCGGAAATCCAGTGCAGTATCGGAGAAAAGCAGTTGCTGGAGTGGGTTGGGGGGCGACTCTCCGAACCGCAGAAACGCGAGCTGCAGCGACATGTCACCACGAGAGTCAAGGGATCGTGTAGGGCAAACAACAGAGGCAGCGGATCGGTACCGACCAACACTTCGCAGGTGTCTAGCACGCGGACGTCTGCTCGCGGTGCGCCCAGTGCGAGTTTCGGCGCTTCTGCAGGGCGCAAAACTCCTGCCTCACGCGGCATCTCAGGAAGCGCGCAGTCGTTCAGATCTGGGTTTGATGCGATTTCGAATAGCGGGTGCGGAGACGATGGTACTAGTATTTTTGGGAAAGGTACCGAGGGTCGAGATAACGACAACGTAGAAGCGGAGACCGAGACTCCCTGGGAAGATTTCCCTGAGTTTGATTTGATGACGAACTTGCCAAAGCGATACGCACTTGCTGCCTTGGAGAGCATGACAAAGTGGCAGGACAAGAAGGATCATCTGGCGCAACTCTCAAAAGTACTCCACGGTCAGCGACGTTTGCGTCACGATGATTCGATCGCAGTACTTTTGCCGGCACTGTGTAAACTGCTAAAGGCAGAGCAGAATCACATGGTGCTTGCCGAAGCAGCGCTTATTGTGGCGAATTTGGCGCGGGGCTTGCCAGTCCCGACGACCACGGAGACGCAGACAGGTGCAGGTAAGATATTTGGCGTTAGTGGCGGCTTCGTGGGCACGCACTTGCTTGAGAAACACGGACGAACCATCTTGCGAACGTGCTTTGTGCGGCTTAGCGACAAGAATCTATGGAAAGTTGTCGAAGATGCAGCTTTCACAGTGTGGAAAGCAATTCGTCCGGCTGGAGATTCGTCATGGCAGAAATTACTTGAGGATCTCAAGTTCGAAGACACGAGTCCGCATGCCAGACTAATGTCCGTCCGCTTTCTCCACCGTTGCCTCACTTGTAACAAGGGGCCTACCTGTTCTATAAGCTTTACTTTACCGGAACCGCAGAGGCTTGGCGATGTCCGTGCAATTGCGTTGAGGGCTGGCAGTGAGGATGCTGAGAAACCCGTAAGAGATATGGCACTGGCGCTTCTGGCAGATCTGTGTTTTGTGGCGGGAACCTCCGACGAGCCCGAGAAATTAGGGCGGGAGATCTTCGAGGATCTTCCAGTGTCTCGCAGGAAAGCCTTCGAACAAGTCTTTCGGGAGAGCCGAAAGAGATACAAAGAGACCGAAGAGAAACGAAAAGATGCCGGTGGCCCGCAAGGCGATACTTCTCTGCAAACCCACCAAGATGTAGCTTCAGCGTCTGGAGGTAACGTGACCACAGGAAGCGTTGTTCGCGGAAGGGATCCATCGCAGGATCCACCCAATCGGAAAAGCTCACCACTCTCTAGTTCCACAGGGGCGCCTCCGCCCCGCAGTGGTAACTTGTTCTTGACCTCGAGTGGCTCCAGCAGTTCTTCTGCGCCACGTGGCCTGTCCAAGTCTGCCTCCGAGAGGAGGTTGAGCTTGCGTGGCGTGTCGGGTGGCAGAAACAAGTCTGCGGTCAACTCTTCGCATCTCGGCATTGGTAGTTCCTCTTTCGGTTCGAGTACATCCTCCTCTTCGGTGTTCGGCGGAAACAATTCGAGCAGGCTGGCCTCGCCCCGGGGCGGGGCCCAGCGCCACCGCGGACCCGTGTTGCCACTCACGTTGGCGGACCGCGCTGCTGGTTTATCTGATGAACACTTTGCTGCGCTGCAAGAGCCACTGTTTGAAGCGCCAAATCGTGTCAGTGTGACGGGTCTGCAGACACTTGCGCACGCGTGGCAGCGCGCACCGCCACCGGCCAGCGCCGTGGAACAGTTTGCGATGATGCTGTACGAGAAAACAATGCACTTCGCAGACGCTCGGCCGCTCGCAGGTCGCGCATTCTTTCATTTCTTTCAGGTCCTAGCGACGGCGACCCCTTCATCTGCGTCTCAGAATCAGACGAGAGCCTCCTCTGGAATGGGAGGGGGAAGTACGCCAAGCAGCAGTAGTGGCTCGCTCGTCTCTCACCGCGTGGGCCGTGTGATTATCGCACGCATGGTGGAGATGGCAGCAGACCGGCGCATGAGTGAAGGCGTGCGTGAGACGATGCTAGATTACGCAGAGCGTCTCGGGTGCGGCTTCGTGATGGAGTTGGTTTGTAGCGGTGGTAGCAGGACCTCCGGTTCGGCTGGGAACAGCAGCTTTCTTGGGGCTTCTGGTGGGTTTGCAGCTGCATCCTCGAGTACTCTCGTGCCATTGAGCGGCTGCTCCAGCGGCCAGTTTCAAGGGAGGCGGCTGAAGCACGTGGAACAGAGACTAGGGCTCGTCTACGATTTGGTGTCCGCTTTTGCTCTGCAGAATGCCGGTGGCATCGTGCCCGCAGCGTTGGACTTGTTGCGCGAGGGATTCGACTCACGAGTCGCCACAGAGCGTAAAGCTGCTTTTAAACTGGCAGATCTGCTTTGCCGCTACCGCCCAAGCGCGTTTAATGCCGTCGTTCCGGCAGTTACGAACGACGAAGCGTTCCGCCGACTACAAGAACTCTACGCGCCTGGCCGATGGAGCGCCGAGGATCGCCCGCCACCGGTCCAGACACGAGGGCCACTAGTCTCGAGTCGAAAATACTCAGGCGACAGCTCGCTTGATGGCAGCCGGCTGGAGTCGCACTCCTTCTCGCGCCACGGAAAGCGAGAGTCCCTCGGGAGCAGCAAAGGAGCATCACGCCCGTCGCTTTCCTGTACCGCGAAGGAGCATGCCCCATTCACTTTCTCGACAAATGCACACGAAGAGGCTGCTGCAGTCGACCCTGCAGAGACAGCCAAGTCAGAGGCGCACGCGATTAGCAGCGAAGGTTGGAAGTCCGAAGCACAAGGTTCACCAGTATCAAAGGGCTCAGACTCTTTTGTCGAGATCGAGAAGTTGCGGAGGCAAGCATATAGGCAAAGCGACATTACCCGTGGAGTTATGTCCTCCGGGGTCTCTCACCCGGGCACTAACGCGACTGGATCTGGGTCTGCCCATGCGGCACCGAGTTCGGACGCCGACAAAGGAGTGCAAGAGCGGCGGATAGAAAATAATGGCATGCACGAGCAGGTGGCGGAGCGCGATTTTCATTCTAGGGAACGAGAATACCAACGACAGATAGAGGATTTGAAGTCTCAGTTGCTGATGCAGCAAGACCGATCGTTGATGTCAGAAGCGCCTTCAAGTATCCATCCGGCACTGCAGAATACGGGCGCGCCAACGGAGCACGAAGCCAGTGTGGTTGAGCTCAAGGACAGCATCGTGGCGGCGATGTCATCTTCGGGACGACAGACGATGAAAGCACTAGCTGCGGAACCAGTTGCGACGAGGCGGGCTGAGGCAGAGAGCCTTCGCCACGCATCCTCAAGACCACCAGCGGGTACGGAATCGGCGCGAAATGCAGAAGATAAAGGTGGCAAAGCATTTTCATCATCCATGTTGCAAAAGGACGGCGCCCGTGCCGCCGACGCGCCTCCGGACTTGAAGATTCGAGGTGATGTGGTCGAGGCCTCCTCGTCTTCGTCAAGTCGCGCTACCAGCCGCACGGACCTCAGTAGCACGTTTGGTGGGGGTGCAGGCGCGTCTGGTGCGCCGCCGCCGTCGACATCTTCCCCGAGCTGTGCACCGGGTTCCGGGGGCAGCAACAAGACCCCAGCATTCGGCTTTGATCCACGGAACCGGGCTAGCCCACTGCCGCCTCAACTAGGAGGTGCCGGTCGTGCCGTCAGCGGAAATGCGCGACGACGATCGAATATCGGGGGCGCTGCGGCGTTAAGCACGCTGCAAGTACCGGCGGGGTCATCGGTTCGGTCAGCCTCGCCCTCGGGCACGGCTGGCAACTACGGACAGTCACGGAGCAGCACGCGAGCACCAAGCCCAAGGGGGGGATGTACTAGCTAAATTTGTGCTTTGGTGGAGGTTGAAGAAGGTGTAGTTGTGTATCTTTCTTCGGCTTACAACTCTCAATTAATAATGAAAGAAGATTTGAATGTCACTTAAGGGCCCTATCACTAGCCCGTTTTTCGTTGCTTTTTTTGTAATTCTCAAATTCTAAACCAACAGTGTCTAACTCCGGAAGCACCCGTGATCTGTCGCTACGATCCAGTCGCACATCTACGGGAGGCAATGCTGCGACCCTGGCAGCTGCCATCCGCACATTCGAGATTTTTGAAGCGCCACACTACACACCTGGTTCGCGCATTGGAGGCAAGGAGCAGAGGCAGAACGCCTTTAGCCTTCTTTGGGGACCTGAAGATATCCCGATCGATGGCTGGAAGCAGGTAGAGGTGGAGATGAAGTTAGCAATTCCGGAAGCCATCTCGAAACTCATGTTCGATTTTTCGAGGAACGACGACGTACTTTTTACAGGCATGATTTAGTTGCTGGAAAAAGGAAGACCGAGATTTCAATGAGCGTTTGCGAACTGAAAAGCAACAATGAACTCTGCGTCCTTGTAAGTAGTCCTGCCTCTATTATGCTTTTTAACGAAACTATTCAGGTTTTAGTCGCTTTGGAGGCGTGGTCGCAGAATGTCGCAACTTTCGCGCTTGAGGTGATCGAGATTTTGGACCTGATTTTTCGATATGTGACGTTTGTGATCCACAAAGTAACGAATATGCGTGTTGTGAATGCGTCACTAGATTTACTTATGCGGGTGTTAACACTGCTGGACGAACGGAATTACATTCCGACCGAGAAAGAGGCGATGACGCTTTTGCCGATTTTGTGCGAGAAATTGGGGCACAATCAGCGCGCCGTCCGAGATGCTCTTTGTGCGTCCTTGCGTCGCTTCGTGCGACTCTTTCCCAGAGGTGATCTGCCCAAGTGTGTACTGCTCACTTTGGTCCGCGGCTGTGCCAGTAAAAACAAGAAATCCGCGTGCGACCTGCTGACTCAGCTAGAGCAGATGTTGCTCCCCTCGTCGGCTTCGTCACCTGGTGGTGGTGGCGTAGGCGGCGAAGTTAGCGAGGAGGCCGTCGGCGCGCGCGCAGACCAGGAGGATAGCAGCCGGCTATGCCTCATGCTCGCAAAGAGCCAGCGAGACGTTGTACTCTTGACAAATCTGGTTCAGGAGAGCATGGGAAACCCGGAAATGAAAAGACTAGGATTGTCGATCTTGTACGCGCTGCTCCGAGGCCTAGACTACGAGACGTTTTACCACTGCGTGCGCAAAAACATCAAAAGCGGCACCGCGGTTTTACAGCAAGTGGATCACTGGATTTCCCGAAGTGGCGCTTCTTTATCGCGAGACCCAGGAGGGCCTTCGTCGGTAAACAGCAGCATAAACCACGGCCCTGGGACGAGTGTCAACCATGCCTATCAGGTGTCGAGCTCGGGCAGTAATAGTTGTGCTGTTGGCGCACACGGGACTGGGCACAAAAGTGAACATCGAGATTCGATGGACAGAATGCTCTTGAACAACTCTCAGTTAGACCAATCGATAGAAATTCCAAGGCCACCGAAGCCAGCGCAGCTAGCATCGCCGACCAGTCGCCGACCCTCCCCGGGAGGAGGGTTCGTAACGAAGATGACGAGTCCTGGCGTTTCGTCGCAGCCGCGAGGAAGGTACTGGTCCACTTATAGATACAAATGTAAGTTACTGTGCAATTTGCGGTGTTAAGTTGAACGAAATACTTGTTCTTCTGCTGATCGACGCAGTAAGTACTAGGTAAATTTTTTTGGAGGTGTGTTTGCGCAGGGCCAGGGGTTCACTCTTCGCCTTTTTGTCTGTCATCATCAGATTACACGATTTTCATTGTGTTTTCTGATCACTTCTTCAGGTTCTCTTCCGGCAGTCCATCAGTGCGGTCGTCGAGTTCGAGACTGTCCTCCGCCAAGCCCGCGTACCCACCTCAATACGGCGCTCCTGCGGTTGCCTCGTCATCCTCGTCGAGTCGGGAGCATGTCTTTACCAAACTAGCTGAGATGATCTCGCGTGAAGATGATAGCTGCATCGCAGCCCTAGAAAACGATGCTTTTCGGCTCCAGGATGCACGGCGGAGTGATGTGGCAATGCTGGTATGCTAGAGAACGTCTCACTTGATCTTTCATGAAACGAATGGTATCTTTAGCTAGCGTCTGCTCATTGACAACACGACGCATATCTGCTGAGGAACTTATTCTCGTCTCATCGTTGATTCATTGTCGCTTTATTGAAGGTCGTACATACAAATTTTTCCATACATACTGGCGATGTCACACAACTACAGTTTGAAGCGCTCACTCGATGCCGGTCACTCTCGCTGGTGCTGGCTTTTTTGAAAAGTTACATGCGAAAGAAGGCAGAGGCTCCACCTCCCGGAAAAGGGGAAGCTGTCGCGAGTCATCTACTGAATGATTTTGAATTCTCAAGCGCAATCCTTGACGTGCTTGGGCGATTGCTAAGCGAAGTGCTGATGCTTGATTCACCAGAGGTATAAGTTCCGTTCATTGCGTAGGATAGCGAAAAAATTCAGTTTAAGTTTTATATCTGTCATCGTAGCATGAAAAAGCTAGAGACCGAGCAGCATCCAGCCTACTTGTAGAGCATATCCTTGTCACACTACCGCCTATGTTGACGTGATCAGGTTGCTATCAAGCTTTGGGAGCGGCTGAATGAGCGCAAAAGAACACTAATAAATTTGGGGAAGCCGCGGCGTGAACTAGGTTCACAGCTCCGCGAACTGGAGGGGATTTGCGATGATGTGCAGGCATTCGAGAAAAGCGGGAGTGTCATAACGTCTTTTCTATGCTCGCAGTCGGCGACAGCGGAAGATCGTGAAGTTGCAATCTCGGACATGGTAGCCTGTTTTTATAATATGCGGCCTATTTTTCTGTTTTTCACATCAAGATAACTCTTTCGTTGGTTCTTGTAAGTGAAATTTGTAGTCTATCCTTTTGTTGTTCTCTTCTGGTTTAGATTATGATACTTATTGTTGGTTCATTTCATTTGCAGGTGAAGCTGCTCGAAATACATTTTCCGTCCCCGTTGGTGCCAACGCAGTGTGCACCGGCTGTCATTGCAGTATTGGACACACTAGTACGGGAGCCGCGCTTCATGTCGCTCCCTGAGCGGTGTTTGCGCTCACTGCTCCACAAATTGCTCGTAACGCTGAATTTATCGTCTGCGTGGAAAGAAAAAGTCGAAAATTGGAAGCCCCTTCTGGAAAGCGTGAACCTCACAACCGTCTTGCTGATGCAAAATATTCAGAGCGTGGTCTCACCGGTACTGTTTTTTTTTAGAATTGTTCTTCAAGTATAATTGTATGTAGTTCGCCGTGGATGTTGTTGTTATCACTCATTTTGTGATTCGTTTTCTGTGTATAGAAGTAGCTTGTCGTCGACTGTTCATCACAGATGCTGGCTTGTCGTCTAGTGCTGTCTTTTTCGGTGATGCGAGAGCGTGATATTGCAGATAGCCTAATTGTCAAGTGTGTGAAGAAGCTGAACAAGGGTCTGGTGCTTCCGACCGACGCGGCCGCTGCTGAGGCCCGACTAGGCTCTTGGTGCCGCGATGTTTTGCTTGAGTTTGCAAGGTCCTGCGGCGAAGTAGACCGCGACGCTCTCTCACCGGCCGTCCGGTGCGGAGCGGCCATTTTCGACGGCCTCTCTGCAGCCGCGGTTTCCTCTCAGTTCGATTTGCGCTCTAGGCTGCGAGACATGCTGCTCCAGGAGATCGCGGAAGAGTTACCACCAGATGCGAAAACGAGGCTTCTGCTCGAAGCCTTCGTGAATCAGTCAGTCGCAGGAGCTGCAGCTTGATTTCACGAACAGATTTTTATCAGACAAGCCTTGATTTTCTTGAGAAGCTGTAGCTCCCTTGCATCTGTCGAGTGCTACTGCGTTCTCCTAGAAGAAATGAAGGTCGTGATAGTGAATGTATGTAGTTGTCAGTGATTACTTAGTAGAATGCGGCCTATGCGGCGATGTTAGATTTGAACCGATTTAAGAAACTGCGACGCTTCAACGTCAAGCTGACAGAATCCCGAATTACAACTACTGTATTTTTTCTGATTAAGGATCTCCGACTAGGATTAGTGTTTGTACTGATAACTTATGAGAATGTGCATCGAGTGGTGCTAAAGCAATGAACATACTAGATTCGTGCAGTAAAGAAAAACAAAGAGGTAAGTTGTGTCGACCCTATGTATGAATGTATGAATACTTTCTTAAGAGAAGCTAGTCCTAGTGCTAGCTTTACCTTTACATCGACCGCAACTGCGTAGGGAGATCGCTGCAGAACTCGACAAAATAGACATGAATTATGTTGTAAGCTCCGACTCCACGCAGAGTATTCCAATGGCGTCACGCGGGCTCCCATCGGGAGGTGAATTCGGAGGCGGAGATACGAGATACCTAAATACTTTGATCGTAATCACAAGGTGTCTCATTAGGGATTTTTAGAACGATAATGAATCAACACAAAGATATTTAGAAATAGCGGCTTCCTTTCGATGTAATCACAAGAAGAAGTCGAGTGAGTTAAGTAGCCAGAGCAATCACAGGTAAGGAGAAACGGCTTCCGCACCTGCGGAACACACAAGACGAGGATACTAGAAAGAACCACACGACTTGCTCCAGTGATAGTAACTCGATGAAGAATGAGCTGAAACATGTTAAAAGAGCATCGAGTCTGACGGAAGCGCGTATCAACGTGTTCCAACTGTCAAGGTAGAAGTGAAACGAGTTTTTATGAGAAGCTCTGTGACCGGCATAGTGTTGTTTTCATTGCAGGGCATCGCGGTGTTCGATATGCTACAGTCATATAAAAGAAGTAAGATGGAGATGACACGGAGGCATCTATCAAGAACCTGTGTTAAGCGAGGAGGAACTGGGGAGCGAGACAAATTTTGAGCGAAAGTCTTGTCAAGGTTAAATAGAGAGTACTTTTGTGCAGCTTCTTCAATAGAGCACCAAGAAAAAGGACAGAACTTGTCTGAATGAAAACCAAAAACTGGGAAATATATAAGTGACTGCCTATCTACTGAGCAAGAACTGATTAAGTGTTATCCACACTAGCATTTTGTATCATGTGCTGAAGTTTTGACTTTTAGTTAGAAGTTGAATGTGAGTTATCTTTGGAAACTCTCCATGGTTTGCGAGAGAAATAAAGCGGAGCGAACGGGCAGTGGGAGTTGAACTTCACGGCTAGAAACGCGATGGACTCAGGTACGGCTTTTTTTCTTCGTCCAGGTTTAGCGTGTTTGTAGCCCCGCATGACGATAAGCGGGTACTATTCAGACAGTAGTTAGTTGCAAAATTTTTTTCTTGAGATTGAGCTAGTCGTGAATGAAAGCAACAAGCTTTTGGATAATTGCATATGGACACTACTGCGCACGAAAAAGCAGCCTATTCACCTCATATAATTGATGAAGTTTTTATGACCTTACTACTTTTTTAGCAGGCGGCGATCCATCGATCGGAGGCCCAGTGGTCCGGAAAAATAAGAGGGGCAGTTTTTCGACGACGCAAAGGAACCGCAAGGTCCCGGACTCAACATTTTCCACTGATCAAGAAGTCTTCTCCGATGGCACAAACGCAGCCTCTAGTGTACTTCCGAGTCTGCGCTTGGAGGATGCGCAGATTGCGGAACACTATATTTCTGGTGTCGCCGTCGATGTGCCTCAGCGGTACATATCACACTTCTACTCCGCCCCTGGTGGGAAGGGAGACCTAAGAACCCCTGGGGGGGCGCCACCTCTGTGTGGACTAAAACTGGCGCGAATTTCTGCCCCTGGTGGGACGGCGAATCTGCTTGCGCGCCCCAGGTGGGACGCCTCTGCAAGAAGGACCGCCTGCGCGCTTCTTTTTGCCTTTGCCTGCGTGTTTTAGCGCGCTCTAGACGAGAAAGCGCGAGGCCCTTACTGTCTTCCCTGGGAAATACTTGGGAAGCCCTCTGCGTGAGGTTTCTGGTCGCTTTCCTCCGATGATGCACAAGAACGAACACGAAGAGAGACGGCCAGCCCGGGGCGCCCTCCTCCATTGTGTGCCAGGGCAATCGCACTCTTGATGAGGTGAGTGACCCGCCAAGGGCGCAGCAGGAGCAGGGGCGCGGTGGTGATGGTTTCGGTGCTCCGTGTGTTCTAAGTGTCCATGGTGAGGAGAGGCCCACAGCCCCGGCAGGTTGGTGGCGCCTCGGTGTTTTCCATGAGGGCAAGGGGGTCGCTGGGTTGCAGGTGCGACGCCTTGCGTGGCTTTGTTGGTTGCTTGTGTTGCTTGGTTGTTGGATGTTTGTCGGACAGTCTACACGGCCCAGGTGTGTAGCCTGGTCGCTCACCTCCCCCTCGTAGGGATGAGGTGGCCTCCCGCCCTCTGTCTCTGTTCTTGCCACCTCCACGCACGGTACAGCTACCTAGGTTGGTAGCTTCTCTCTGGGCTCCGATCGCTCGGCTCCGGCAGCTGTGTTGAGGAGGCCAAGGCGGTGCGGTCACTGTTATTGCTGGACGACACAGCTGAACACCTGCCGCCGGCTCCCTGGTTGGGGTTTGTTTCTCTTCGCTCTCTGGAACACGCGCGCGCGTGACGGCATGGCCCCTACCCGGCCACAAGTTCCCCTGGAGCTTCTACACGGGCGTCCTGACTTGCCGCAACCGCATCGCGTGAGCCTTGTATGTTCATTCTAGCAGGCCGCTTGCTTTGCCGCACACTAGTGAATAAGGCCCACCGCGTTGCCGAACTCCTTCTATACATACATACATATCACACTTCTATCCTGCGAGCTGTAGTACGTTGATAATGTTACTGCTACTAGGTAGTAGATAATTACACAAGATAACGTCTGTGTCTATCTTGTTGATCTTGCACTGCCACCGGACAAGATGGGGTCTCTCATACAAAAGTTGCATTAGCGTAAACTTAACGTTTGTAATAGAGATTATTTAAAGGATTCCACTTAGTCTTAAGAGGATTTATTTCACCAGGTACTCAGTATCGGCAGACGTCCCTATTTTGGGAGCCGGCGCTTATGGCGTGGTTTACGCAGCTGTGGATCGACATACTGGGAACAAAAAGGCGATCAAAAAAATCGAGAATGTTTTTGAACACTTGCAGACGGCGCGAAGGACTCTGCGAGAGCTTCGCTTACTGCGGTACCTTCGCGGCCACGAAAACCTTTTGAATCCTGAGGCAGTCTATTTCGCTCCAGATGCTCAAGCCTTCGAACATCTCTACCTGGTCACGGACTGTGTTGACACGGACCTAGGAAGTATTATCTTTTTTTTTTGGCGAGAATGAGCATGACTGCAAGTGGAATGAGAAGAACATTATGTGAAGACAAGTCTGCCGTAAGCTCACTGAAGTTGTTTACTGAAGTCTGATTCAGAAAAATTATGATCCGGGCTATCCTCCTTGAGCTTGAACCACTAACGAAATGTCGAACAACTCCACAGATCTCCTACGGCGGCGTGACTTGCGAATGGAGCAGACGCATCATATGTTTCTGCTGTATCAGTGTTTACGGGGTCTTAAGTTCATGCACAGCGCTTGCGTGATGCATCGAGATCTCAAGCCGAAGAACTTGCTCGTGTCTACCAACTGGGACTTAGTCATTTGCGATTTCGGACTAGCTAAGATTTTACCGGAAAAGAGTCCGCACACGAACACTGAAGGTCTGGGTAGTGAAGCAGTATTAGTTAAGGCTTCTGTGGATGACATCCCTCCTGAGAAGGGTTTGACGAGTTTCCTTTTTAGAAGGCTTCTCCAAGGGACGAGGGTTTCTTTGATACCTGTAGGGAAGTAGAAGAGAGAAGAAATTTTGGCACTACGTACTGCAAATACTGGAATGGCATGTTAGGTGTAGGTCTAAGTTAGGAGACGAGTCAGACCCGGACGCAGTGATGACGCAATACGTTTGCAGCAGGTACTACAGAGCTCCCGAAGTCCTGTGCGAGAAGCGGAGTTACGACTACGCCATCGATATGTGGGCTCTAGGCTGTATTTGGGCAGAAATGATATCTACCGGGAATATCTGCTTTCTAGGAAATAATACACAGGTATTCATCTTGTCGATGATCTATTTTTCCCCGACTATCTGGAGTACATGAGAACTTTACGTTTGTGATGGATTTCAGCACCCGCCGACTCGATTTTGGTCGATCACACATACTTTATTTTTTTCAGGGTGTTTTGCGCAGCATAATCCGCGAGCTCGGTGGCCCGCCAGTTGGATGGCTCGACGACGTCAGTAGTGAGAAATGCAAGGCGTTCGTTATGCAGTGCGCTGCGGAATTGCCGCCGGCGACAGAAATGCAACTTCATTGGGATTACGCGAATACTGGTTTTTTTCCCTTCAGTCTGGATACTTCCATGTCGTTGTTGGCTTCTACTTTTTAGATGGTCAGATACAGACGATTGTAACGACACATCATGAATTAGAAGGTTCTTGGTAATGTGTTGTACTTTGATATCCTTTCATCTTCGTCAGGTCCGGAGCATGACGTGGAGGCCGCTACGACTGCATTGGACCTCCTTCGGATGTTGCTGCGATGGGAGCCCGAACAGCGGCTGACAGCCTGGGGAGCGCTGAAGCATCCTTTTTTGTCCACATTGCATTGTGAGGAAGAAGAGCCTGTCTGGTCACGGGATTCCGTCGACTCACTTCGGCTTCGCGTTGAAAACGGCGCTGCGTCCTTCGCCGACCCACACGCCCGTGAAGGAAGTACTTTAATTCATAAGCTTCTTTGCATTGCTGATTTGCAGATCCAACGTCGCATGTCTCCGATATTGAATCGGGCCGAAAGATGACTTGCTCAACCTGTTATCTCAGGTTCCTCTTTCGCAAATAGTGCACCGAGCGACGCGCTGCCGGTTCCCCCTATTGACTTTGCGTTCGACTCGCGCGAGTTGGGGGAAACTGAATTGAGATTGGAGTTGATGCGAGAGGCGGCTTCGTACTATCCCCACGACTGCTGGCGGTGTTATTTCGCGCCTGATCCAACACCTGGAGAACAAGCCGTGCGGGAGTTTGAGGTATTGTCGTTGCCGCCCTATTCTCGCAAAAAAAGTCGCTCAAAAACGCGTCGGAAAGTGTCGAATACGCCGCTTTTGAAGGGCGTTCTGTCTGTGTGGCAATTTGCTCTGACCAGTGGCGAAAGCGCATCATCTTTTTCTACTACGTCTTCGGGAGAGAATCACAACGGCAATGAAAATCATACTCTAGCATCCTGTTCCAGTCATTCCGCAGAAGCAGTCGCTAGTACAAGCAGTAGTAGCTCGTCGTCGGCATCGGACGTCGCGACAAGTACACCGCACCATCTGAGTGGAGGCCGCAGTGTGGCAAGTTTGACGTTGGTGGATTCGCAGGCCACAGTGGAACTGTTTCAAAATGGTATGCTCACATTCGCCGCCGAATCTCAAGGCTGCACTGGCTCGCTTGATCTGCGCTTGTGTAAGATGCAACTAGGGATACCCACTCAGTGCATGCACGCAATGCCCCAGCAGCAAGGTCTCACATTCTTCGCTCTGGTGCGCGATGGTGGCTCTTCGACCGTCTCGACTGGGAGGTCCGAAATTTCTTCCCGAGAAGGCGGAGATAACGAAGACCAAGGTGGGGCTCGAAATTTAAGGCACCTGGAGATAGGTCATTTTCACAGATGTTGATTCTCGTCTCAGTGTAAGTATATTTTTAAAGAGGGTTTGTTCGATCTTAAGCTTGATTGGATTTTGATTTCGACTATGAAATACAATTATATTAACATTCTGTTTCGCTAGCCGTAGTTCTAAGAAAAAACTTCAGCGAGGATGAACAACAGGACACCATTCTTGTGTTTGCATTGGAGTCCGCAGAGATGCGCAAAATGTGGGTGAAGCGTGTAGGCAAGTTCACGATCGAGGAAGAGCTAGCGCATCAGAGACCAGTGAATGCGAAGCAGAAGCAGCGGACTCGACTAAGCGTTGTCGAGTCGTCGAGTAGCTCTCAGTCCGTTGCTGCGGCCCGAGATGCCCTGTTTATGTTTTGAGCTGAACTAAGTTTTAAGTAGTCTTCTTGCCAATTTCTACATAGTTTAGGAACAGTACAACCGTTGACGCTGTACCTGCAGACGTTTATTTTTCCGTTTGAGCCGGTCATCGTGATTAGAAGAAGAATTAGCTTATGAGGAAATATTGGATTGCTTCCTTTCATCTCTCTGAAGTCGGGCGGGAATAGCTTTGTGGAAGCGGCGAGTGGCAAGGCCGCCCCAGCAGACTCTGTGACGACAGTACTGCTCAAGCAGGAGATGGCTGCTTGCGGTCACGGAGACACCTCCTCCGCATCTGGAAGTTCAAGCAGTAGCGCCAGCACATCAAACAGCTTTTCTGAATCCGAAGAGCCCTCTTGGGGCCAGCAGCGTGCGGCAGCGGCGGGTGGCAAGCAACGACGCGGATCTATGGTTCAAAGGCGCATGTCCGTAGAAATGCTTGTGGCGCAAATGGAGGCCTTAACGCTCGCAGGAGGCCGTCGCGCCCAAGGTAGCGAATCTCTGAAGCATGGAGGTTCATCCAGAACGGATTCCGCAACGGGAAGCGACCCATCTGTTAAACAGCAGCAGAACACTATGTCTACCACTAGCATGCCTAACGATGTTCAAGGTCCCGACACAGCAAATTTCTTGCAAGCTCATCTCCAAGACATGAAGAATCAAGCTGGGATTTCAGCATCTGTTGATCGAGTAGCACCTCCAAGTCAGGTATCTCCAGGTTGTCGCAATCGTCGCAACTCCCAGCTAGAATTTTCCAACGCGAATCAAACAATTGTGGTGTTTGACTGGGACGATACTTTGTACCCAACGACTTGGGTCCGTAACGATTTTCAGCTCAGCTACAATTATGCGCAAGGATTTCATGCAGTAGATATATAGTAGCTAGGGTCCTTTTCTCTGGTTGTGGGTTTATTTGGTGAACCGGTGCCCCGTAGCGAATAAACCTGGGCGCACAACCAGAGAGCTGCGCACTCACCGGAGGCGTTGCACAGGGCTCCGGCCTGCCTTCGAAGGTGAGACCTATGGGGCTGACAGGACGACGATAGTGCCTGCGCTTGATTAATTTTAGCAGATAGGCGGATACTTGATGATAGTTACTCTTTTCTCTTTTCTATCTTCCTTTGGCCTTTCTTTTTTCTAGTTAGGTCTGCTCCACCACAATTATGCGCAAGGATTTCATGCAAAAATAATGATGAACTCACAAGGAAGATTTCATTGGGCAATAGGGCACTGCCGCATTCAAGGACTTGCTTCACGGTTGTAAGTAGAAAGCTAGATCATGATGTTCCTTCACTTCTTCGCTTTTTTCCTGACTCTCCAGTGCTCGCTTTAAGATCGATATCCTCTGGACTGGCAGCTCTCGGAACCAATGCTGTCCACGGTGAAGGCGAAGTTGGCCCAGTTTGAGGCGGAGTCGGAGCTTTTGTTGCGACACGCCGCGACGCATGCGGAAGTTCTAATTGTCACACTGGCGAAGCGGCCATGGATTGACATGTCTGTTGAGCACCTGACTCCGAAACTTGGCCAAGTTGTCAGGGAACTGAAAGTACTTCGAATGGTTTTTACTGGCAGCTGTTGTACTATTGTTTTTGTTGGTGGTAGAGGCTTATCGAGTTTCAGGTTGTTTTGTCGATGAATCACAGTTATATAGTTTTCCTAGAAGTTTCAAGTTTACTTTCTCATTCCGAAATGCAGATTCCAATGCTTTACGCGCAAGAGTTCTCTCACTTAGCGGAGGGCGAAACCCGAGAGCAGCAGTATGCGTACATGAAGGGATTGGCGATTGCGTCCGGTGTAGATCGCTTCTATTCCCAGTACGCGGGTCAGACGTGGAAGAACGTGATATCTGTCGGCGACAGCGATTTCGAGCGCATGGGCACGCAAGCGGCCATACGCGATTATTATTTGCGATTTCTTCAAAAAAACGCTGGGTTGTCGCCCGTCCGCCTCACCTCTGCCGATCAGCAGAACTTCATGCCGACACTATTGCAGGACGATGACGGGCAACAGCAGGAGCACCAGGGAGATGACAACTTGGGGAGCGCAACACAAGCTGCTGGAGGAAACAAGACGAAAGATCCAAATTCGCCGACCGCTTTTGGTGTTCTGCCGACGAGCTCGTTGGCGCGCAGTGCTGCAGGGACTTCTGGTGAGCAGTACTCGATGACATCGCAAATTGAGATGGACTTCGACAATCCGCTTCCCGTGATTTCGCTAGAGCCTCTGGACGAGGAGGACGAAGCAGCAGGGCAGAATGCACATGCAGCTGGTGCGCAGAGCAAGAGTCTATTGTTTGCAGACGACTTCGACGAGGCACCAGATGAACTCTCAGTCACGCGAACCTCGTCAAAGGCAAGCTCCCGAAGCACAAGTCGCGCTGGTAGCAAACACGCGTCCGCACGAAGAGGGAGCGGTGGAATGGAAGCGATACCCGACGTGCAGGAAGACCAGGTGCAATTTTTAAGGGTTCCAATGTGATCGTTCCACAACGTGTATCATCCTTGGATTCTTGACCAGGTTGATGTGAGAACTAGAAGAAGTTGCCTATTTTTTTCTCGAAATATTAACAAGATCGAATCAGTGCTGGTGTTGCCAATAATCAAGGAGACAACTCTGGTTCGCGTATTCTTGTTGTACTGATTCGTGGTCTAATTGGCACGCCGCCCAAGCCTAAGACGAAGGGTTTCGTGCGAAGCCCGGTTGATGGGCGCACCATGCGTGTTCGCTGTAAAACGGTGAAGCTTTTGGAGGAACCGACAGTCGAGGAGCTTTTGGCGCAGGTCTCTCTAGTGCGGATTTGGCTCCGTCCTTTAATTTTGATGAATCGCGGAGTGGATCTGCGTCTTTCCACTTCAGAGCACGACGAGGAAATTCAGCAGATTCATGCCCTCCTCACAGGCACAACGCCGAGCACCGATCTAAACTGGGTGCATCTCTCAGGGCTTTCGGAGCCGTAAAAGAGAATTTCTCGTCTCGACCATGGGTTCTCTTCCACCGCATGAATGAAAATGGGCACATCAATCAAATTTACGAAGTTGTAGCTGGATCTCGATAGCAAATATCTTCCTCACCAATCTTCTGGTTGCCTTGTAGATGATTGCCAAAAGAAGTTTGCATTGTTCTTGATAAGAAAATTTGTTAACCGTAATTAAGTCACTCAGTGTGATGGTTCGAGTTTCATGGGGTCGTTGCCTAAATTCCACGTTTATCTTTGCCCTATGGCGGGCGTTGTATGCCAGCCCGGAAGGTCCAGTCTGGCTTTCTATTGACCATTTTTTGGCTACTAGATTTTCTAAGTTGGAACATGTTCCAGTACGGAGCGAGGGTATGACTTTTACCTCTTTTCATTTCTGTGAGTTTGAGCTCTTAAATTTGTGTATCTCAGTGTGTACTTGATTGTTTTGCCTAGTTTGAGATCAAGGTGTGTATCGGTTTCTGGTGTGTTTAGAAAGAAACAGTGAGTGATGTGGAGGTGTTCAACTTCAGTGTGGCCGCGCCTCCATGGGTGTGTAAGTATGCAGACGAAATGCATCTATTCCTGGACTTGTTACTTTAGAAGCAACCAATAGAAGAAGTGTTTTTGTTTTTCCTATTATTATGCCAAGCTTGTTTATCTCCTTGAAATACACAGACGGTGTGGTGAGTCGATGCTTATCCTTGATGAGACATTTATGATTTTATTATATTAATTTTGCCATTGCCAAGATGATCGGCACGCGCCTGTCTCTGGGCGCCTCTGATCCTTGCGATGCCGATTGTAAATGAGTAACGACTAGTAACAAGGTCATACTCGTCTCTATAGAGAACTCGTTATTCATATGAGGAAGTAAGTAGATTTTGAGAACAGCTCTTCTAGGTAAACTTCGCGTTTAAAAAAACCACGTTATTGGGTATGAGAGCCGACAAAGAGCTCGCGGCGGACGGAGCAATCCCGTAGAGATTTTCTCAGCCGAAAATAGGCGCACGTCTTGCGCGTCGAACTTTAGCTTGATCTTACGCAGATTACAACGAGTTTCAGGGTTTACATTCTGTCTACTTTTTTTTTTGAGCTATTTAAGTATGAAAAATTTGCTAACCGTTTTCAGTAAGAGAGAAAGCGTGATTTATTCTTTCCGTGCATCTGTCGGTCATACTTAGTCCATTTGTTGGGTAACTAATAATGTCGTAGCCGCAGTCGCATTTTCAGGCACAGATATATGCGTCATACACTCGTAATATTTTGTCGAGCATTGGATAGCAGTCTTGATAGAATGTTACGGGAGACCCGAAGCAGTTGCATTGTGTCGTGGATCCCCTTGGTGTTGGTGCCTTAGCTTTTGACATTTGGTATAACAAGGTAGGACTCTTTTCCGGAAGATGAAGAGAAACGTAAGTCGTGTAGTTTCGTAGTGCAGGATGGTCGCATTGATAGTAGCAAGTATGCTGTATGCTCACAGTGACGGTGGGTTCGCAAGTATTTATAGTATAGTTTGTGGCGAAGTTTAAGTTGTTTGCTCATCACATCGGAGCTGCATTCCGGCTCTCCGCGGGGTAATTGCATGGAACTATTGCGGGAAATTGTAGACCCAAGCCCCCCCAAAAAAAAAGTGCGAACAGCGAACATGAAGGAATGAATGAGTCACAGCGTCTCTTCTAGTAGAAGTTTGGCTCCAGCGCATCGGTATGTCTGTCTTTCGCATCTTGATCGGATACGACAACAGCATAACGTCGGTAGAACTGAGTAAGAGCGAATGTTTCACTTTTAACTTGTTCTATTGCACAAGCACATTTTCTTTTCAGAATTATAATTCAGTATTCTAGTGGTCATGCCATTGTTTGTGCATGGCAGCACACCTTCAAGGTACTTACGGAAGCTTTCGATCTGTTTCTTCTTATTTGTTGATAGATCGAGACTTCCGGGACGAGGGCCACCCACGTCGGTGCTTTGGACGGAAAGGCTTGAAACTCGATGCGCGTAATGGAGAACATGAAAAGTAGCGGTTTCATAATTTTATAGTAGAAGGACTAAGTAGTACAAGTAGAAGGACATACTGTGATCGAGCAAATCGTTTGGTTTTCGTGGGAGCGTGTGCATATTAGCTCCTTCCTTTCCGTGCTCGTTTAGAGATCTAAGCATAGTTTTTTTCAGGGGAAAGTACGAGGAGGATAATTTTGATATTGGCCTTCATAGATGAAAATTACGCATTCTTCTAGAAACCACGCTGAGCATGTGGTCTATTCTGCGTTGGATGTACATGGCGATGGATCGACAGTCATATTAGAAATGGCCTCGTGGCAGCTGTTCTGGTCGAGAGAGAACGAGGTGTGGAACACTCAGGGGTGTGGAATATGTATCCAAATTGCGAGGCGCGGTGTGAAAACAAAACTGTGCAAACACGCTCAACAACAACAAGTGAGACATCTCTCTTGATCTTATAGTCAAATTTCGTTGCCCTACAGATCTCGCCACATAGTCTCGAAGATAGAAATTGACACCATGATCGTTATTCATACTTATCTTTATTGATTTTTTTATACCACTAGGTACTAGATATAGATTCGGATTTCAAGTGCCAGCGTGGGCCTTTGTACAAACGAGAGAATCTTTAGTTATGTGAATTGCTAATACTTACTAAGCGACAAGGACCCGGAGAGCGAAATGGAGCTTCCACGATAGTGTTTCGCAAGCAAGATAATAACGAAACTCTATACTCCCGTATGTAAGCAAAGCTCGTTGTTCATGATTTTTTGGTGGTTGGAGGCGGTTGGTGTCCGTGATGCAATGGAGAGTAATTGTGTCTCCCCTTTCGCTAGCATTTATCTGAACTAATACATCACCATCTAGGCAGTGTAGAAGGTTGACCGACGAACAAATGCTTTCGAGGTAGTCACAAATAGAATCCAGTCCTTGTATCTGATCTGCAGTATCTAGTATCTCTCTACTGCAAGCAATAAAGATAGAATTATCCACAGAAAAACTTCTCCTGGAAATAAGCTAAGAGGAGATCAACATTACTGCTTAGCTAGAACAAGTAAGGAGTCAAGCCAAGAAGATGGTCTATTCCGAGCAGCGTTGCAGGTTGTCTGATGTGCCCTTTGCCGGTCGCGTCGTGTCGTGGAAAGGAAACTATGGTTGGATCGAAGCACTCGAGCCAATCGATCACCCGCAACTCGACCTTCATCAAGGTATGCACTACTACATAACCCACTCTTTATACAGGTTAGTTTTTCCCTCATATCCAGCCTAGGTGAGGCCCTCCAATCAACACACTACATAACCCACTTTTTGTAGAGGAAATCAATAAAACGGTGTATGATAGAAATCGTCAGGGAAATCTTAGGCATGCTGCCGAATAGATTCGAACCATCAGCGTCTTCATAAGGATAAGAGCCAGCTGTCTTACGTTTACCTGTTGCGTCAACTTAGTTGGTTGTAAATGGTGAGAAGGACTACTTGTTAGGATGCAGTGACGACGACGGGGCAGAGAAAGTTGACTTCTTGATCGAAAAAATCATTAAGATGAAAATTGCAAATTCCTGAATGAACTTGAGATATTGAATGAGCTGCATTTCGGATATGATTTAAAGATTTCGAAAACAGGTAGAATTTTTTGCCATGCGGAGGATTTGCTCGGAAAGAGTAAAAGGCGTTTGCGACCGGGTGTGATTTGTGAATTCTTTTTGTATCAAGACAGCCAGGGTCTCGGGGCGGAGCAGGTTATCGCGCGACAGGTAAGATGAAATCTCTTCTGTAAGAAAGTCGAAGTTTCACATCCACTGAAAAGACGATTTAGATCCCCCTTATATTCTGCTGTGGTCACCACGCTATAATTGAGTAACTACCAGTAGTATTGTACTGGAAATTCTAGTAGGTGGTGCGGATTCTTCTACCGATCGCGGAAGGAAAACGAATATTTTCGGAGGATGGCGCGAATGTACCGGAATTCGAGGACAGGCACAATGTGAGCGTTCGAGCATTTGAGTGGTAATTATATAGATCCCGTTCGACGGAATACTAATTTTCTTTCGTAAGAATCAGTCTTCTGTCATATTTTTAGAAAACGAAAAAGATCTTTCAGGAGAAAACGAGAAATACAAATTGCTTGACGTTGTACAATTAGAAGAACTCCTATTCGGCTGCTCTTACTCAGGTACAACGAAGACGGGACGCCTGGCGTTCTTCCCTTCCTCGTGGAGTTTTGGGGTCGACCAGAAGGCATTGTAACGGCAATTCGAGAGTTGAGGAGCGCCTCAGGGAGTAATCTGGATTTCTTGGTACCTCAAAGTCGGGTCAACTTGTTGGATCTGCAGAAGCTCCATCGCATGTCCGGGTGCTCTATTCATATGAGCAATTTGACGGCCATCGACGATCCAATGCCGTGCTATCCGCTCAGCTGCGAAGGCTCTGACGAGGCACTAGCGAATCTAGTGTTGGGCCTCATCGATCAAATATGCGATCCGAGTTAAAGGGCCGACCGCGGTTTTTTTTGTATGTGTAAAACAAGTCTTTCTAGTTGACACTTGGCTCATTCGATTCTGATGAAATACTATTTATACACTCATACGTTCTACTTAGTCGGATCGGCTAGTAATACATTACGGAGGTGTACATGTTCAAGAAGATATCCCATGCGTGCTGTCATGACAACGCTTCGAAGAATATTCTGCGCTATTCGTCCATGATTGATTTGCGTGGAATCTGCGCATGCTCCGGAGCAAGTATGTCAGCATTTTGGCGAATTTTTAAGATTGGAAGTATGTCATCATAGATTTTTTTTCTGCGGAGCACGAAGTGTCCACCTTCCCAAAACGATGATGGTAAAGAAAATATAAACTGTAGATAGCCGTCGAACATTTTGTCTGTTTTGTCCCTCCCATTTGATTTTTATGATGAGATGCTCCTCCATTGTCATTCACATCTAAGACGAATATGAATCCAAATGATAACATCTAAAGTCACAAGTCCTCTTCGTTTTCTTAATAGTAGTTGTAATGAAAATCGCATGATGTTGAGGACTCTCTCTGGAGTATTCATCATGATGTGCGGAGTCTTTTTTTTGTCTTTCGAAGAAGTACAAGGAGTCTGTTCGCTCTAGTGGCTGCGTCTGCTCCCTCGAGCCATCGGCACTCCACTAGTATGAGTAATTGATTCCTACTTGTTTGTCATGGTGGTCCTACGGCCTTTTTTTTCTGACTAATGATAGATCTTTTTCCGGATCGGATGATGCGTTCATCCTTTCACGGCTGATGCGAATATCGCAGCATTTCTCTCCTGTCAAGCGGTAACACATCTAAAAACTGTGTACGGGATCTTTCATTTTCTTCAATCATCAAGTTCATTCAGCATTGGCATAGATATTTCGTTTTGAAGTTAATTGTTTAATATAGAAGATAAAATATTCAGTGTGAAAGAAGGGATCGCTCATCAGGAGTCCGGGCCTCTTCGATGCCAGTCGATATCCTTCACAGACATGACGTTCATGCGGAGTTCGCTTAGAACCAGGAAGGCAATCTCTCACAACTTTTCATATGCAGCTGCTGCCCATATTTATATAATATCATTCTCATGAGAAAATGACACCCTGAGAAGTGGAGTGTTACCTCGACAGTGTGTTTGTGTCTTTTTGCTGGAGCAGAACAAGAATATGTTGATGAAGAAACGGAGAAAATAGGCGTGTTGCTTTTAACGTAGTACAGACAAAGAGCACCGGATCTGATGCTTGACATGAAATGGAACTGCATGACTGCATCGTGGGAATACTCGTTTCTTTCGTCGTCGTGTCGAAAGAACCGTCGATGCCGAGAGCCTAGTATTTGTGAGACTTACAGACGAGTGGTCGTTTCACATTTGATCCAAAAGAATCTAATCTCAAACTGGAATGTCATAGTTAGCATCTACCATATCTATCTAATTGATTCTTACCTCTCCTACTTGTACTTAGAGATTGATTTTTTTCTTCAATCTATGTCTTGTAGCTCACTGAATACCAGAGTCTAGTATCCACATTAGTTCTAGGTATAAATAACATACAGTTTATCCTTGGTGAAGCAACATTTTAATTGCTATAAATGTGAAGCTGAAGTCGGAGTAGCGAAAGCTCCTCGTTGTTGCAAGTTGCTTCCTTGACGGTGACACTGAAGAGCATGTCGCGGCGTTGCTGTCCACGCGGCGAGGCCCCGCCTTGGCAACGGATGTTTTTGCAAGTAGTGCTAATCGCGATCCCGGCCTTCTCCAGAAGTAGGAGAGATCCTCGTGCCCGAAACCCTTTTCTCGAGCTGGCCTCCTCGGAGCCGGTCCGCGTCAATTCCACTGTCTCACCATCAGTTGAACCTCAACCTACGCCTTCCTCTGACTCCGCCTACAAAGCGACGGCAGACCCTGCCCCTTCGGACAAAGTAACGGACGACTCTGCTTCTTCGGACGCGACGAAAGTAGATCCAACGTCGTTTCTCGATTTGAACAAAGGTGAGATAATACATAGAACTAGATTTTGTACTCGATGTAGCCTCGAGGTAACGAAAAAATTTGTAGAGTGAGAAAGTAAAGTAAAAATTTAGAGGAGCTGAAAAACGATCAATTTAGAGGAGCTGAAAAACAAATCTTGATTGGCTTTCACCTTTTGGTGAAGGTTTAGGCCCTGCGGCGCTCAAAGCACTAAGTAAGACAGCCGGTTAGTTTTCACCTCGACAATATTAGGCTTATCCCGTGCAGCAATATTTTCATCCTTTGAGGGAAATCGCTTCGAAACTGTGGAACAAATCTCGACCCTATCCTCACGCATCAGGCAACTCAACAACGGTTGCGATTTCGTTCGATGGGGATGCGGAGCCGATCTTAAACGAGGAGAGGCCGAGTGCGGCGGTACCAACGTCGTTTGCCTCCGGCACTACGTCGCGAGATACAGAACCTCAACCGGCAACTTCGTTTCTTCATGAGAAAGAGAATGCCATGCACACTGCGGACGTATGGATGCGCTCGGATTTGTATCCATCGGAACATGTGATCAAGAATGATGCTGCTTTGCGGTCAGCGGCAGACTCTGCTTCTTCGGATAAAGCGACGGGAGAATCTGCTTCCTCCTACAAACTGACGGCTGATGCTCAATCCTTTTACAAAGCGACGGCAGACTCTGCCCATTCGGACAAAGTAGCGGACGACTCTGCTTCTTCGGACACGACGAAAATAGATCCAACGTCGTTTCTCGATTTGACTAAAGGTAATAGAACACGTAGAGCTAGATTTTGGACTAGATGTAGCTTCGAGATACATAACGAAAAGATTTGTAGAGTGAGAAAGTCAAGTGAAACTGAAAGTCTAGAAGACGAGCTGAAAAACAAACAGTGAGTGCCATCTTGCATACGAAGCGATTGATGGTGTGAAATTGTGGAACAAATCTGCCACACACCGTACAGAAGTACTAGTGTTCTTTTGTAGGCACTTCCCGCATCTTAATTAAGCAAAGCATCATAAGTCTTATTCTTATAAAATATATCCTTATAAATATATACATATACATCAGGCACCTTAACAACGCTGGCAATTTCGTCTGAAGGAGATGCGGGTCCGATTTCACATCAGGAAACGTCGAGTGTGGCAGGGGCACCGACGTCGTTTAATAACGAGACGCTTTTCGAATTTGCATCAACTGCACCAGCAACCTCGTTTCTCAACGAGAATACGGTCGGTGAGTCGGATACATCGCAGCGTCTGGATTTGTATCCATCGGAAGTTCGTATCCAGGGTTATGGTTCTTCGATGTCGACGGCAGCGCAGTTTTTGGCGCAGGATCCTTGCTTTGTATTTTGCACCTACAAGAGAATTCGCGCGCATCCCGATGTTGGGCACTTCTCGCAAGCACATTGTGAGCTTAATATTGCCTTCGGAAACAGGCGTGATAATGTCTTTGGAGACGACGAGCGCCATAGTAGCCATCATCAATTCTGCATTGAGTCCTGCGCGCCTTTGCTCGCACCAGAAACAAATGAGTTGCCTCTCGAATTGCGGAGGCCGTGCGCTTCACTCTTCGACGTTCAAGAGGATTCATCTGCACGCTCGAAGGAAACTCGACAATTCACCGCTACCCGTTGGCAGAGCATCGGATGGCCAACGGACGTGGCCGTGTTTCCGAGGGACACGCAATTTGGCTGCATTTCCAACAAAGCGAAAGAGCTGTCGGTCAAAATTCACGAAATTGCAGCCGACGCCGGCCCGTTTGACCACAGGCTGAGCGTCTTGAACGAACTCTTCATCCTCGAACACCTTCCCTATCACGAGCACGTTATTCCGCATCTAGGGTCTCGCCGAGACACATTGCACACGAGGCTAGGATGGCGTGCGTCTAAGGCAGAGGAGCCAGCTAACGTCGCAAAATCTTACCCGCCAATTATCTACACACTTCTACCAAGCATGGGTCTCGGTACGCTCCTCAGGGATAACATCGATGCCGCTCATGAAAGCAATCCCGAGATGGACATGTTTCTGTCAGACTACTTGCCACTAGTTCGAGGGAGTCTTCTAGCGCTGGGTCACCTCGAGCGGCATGGCGTTGTGTATGGTGATCTGCAGCCGGAAAAAGTGGTGGTCTTCCAGCGTTATACGAAAACCAGTGACGCTGGCTCACCTACGCCGAGGGCTTCACAACATCCGATGCTGTCGGACTTCGGGAGCGCGTCACTCGTCGGAGACACCACCTTCGATCAAGACAGAGTATTCACACCGAAGGCAATGTATCGACCACCTGAGCTAGCACGGCTTGGTCAACAGTTAGAAGATATCAAGGTGACGACTGAGGCAGCGGCGAAAGCAACGCCCGGAGCAAAAGGCAAAGCAAAGGCCAAACTAAAGCCCAAATCACGGGCTAAGGTAGAGGACGAGTTCGCTCTTCTTCGCAACCAAGCGGAGGTCGATAGGTGGAGCAGTGGAATCATGTTCACGGAGATGCTCCAGGTCCTAGCGCCGAAAGCTTCGATCAAAACAACTTTTGCAACAAACCGCGACAGCGCACACGCAAAAGCCTGCGCACTGGCGATGTACCTTTCCCAGGGAACAGAACAACCCTCTGACGAAGAAATTAGGACATGCGAATGTGGCGGAGATCAGTCGGGTTGGCACACGGACGGCTTGAGTACCATCATCAAGGCAGCTTTGGACGAGAAGATCTTCGGGGCGAGCACAGCCACAGCGCTCTACAACTTTCTTCGCGGTGCAATTCAATGCAGTCCGAAGAAGCGGAAGAAAGTCGCTGGAAATGACGGGTTGATCAAGCTGTATAACAATCTTGTCGAAGAGTATGCAGGAGAGATGAGTGGGCCAGAAAAGCAGGCAGGCCTCGAATTGAAGATCAATGTAGAAATGCAAGACCAGGACCGCAAAGCAGTGGCGAGCAGTGTCGTGAATAGCCCTTCAGGTGCATCGCGGAAGTGGAACACGAGCGTTGGTAAGTATACTAGACAGCGGGGGAACCTCAAAGCAGAGAAAGCTGCTGCCGACGCTGCTGCTGATGCCGCCACTGTCGCCGCTAAATATGCCGCCAGTGCCGCTGGGGCTGACTTTGTCTCTGCCAACCCGTGGCAAGGACACAAATCGGACTTGTCCAAAAAATACAGGAGTGCAAACGCCGCCGAAAAAGCTACCAAGGCCGAAAAAGCTACCAAAGACAGCGAGGCCAAAGGGGCCGAGAGCAAGGCCAAAGCTGCCTCCTACGCTACAGCTTTTGCGCGATTTGTGGACAATATCGTGTACGACAGCGAAGTGCTAGGGAACGAAAACGAGGAGTCGGCGCGTCCGCAGCTCTATCCGTCACGCATTGTGATGCGGACCCCTTCTTCTTCGGGCTCAATCGCAGGACAGTTTTTGACGCATGACCCGTGCTTTTTGCGCTGCTCCTATATGAAAACTTCGGACGGAAGGATTGAGACGGTCCAGAACTGCGTGGCAAAGGTTGCGTTATTCACGCACAAGGATACTGTTTCGTTCTGCAAGAACTGGTGTGCGCCTCTGCTTATTGCAGACGGGCAGCCTCTCGAACGACGGAGGCCCTGCGCTTCTCGCTTCGGCCTTGTTGAGACGGAGGGCGCGAAGAGCCTTTTGCCGTTTACGCGCCGCACTCGACAAACGGAGACGGATGGGGCTGGGACGATGTACGAAAGTCTCAGACCGACAGTCCTGCTACCGTGGTTCACGCGCGATGCCTTTCATCCGGCAATTGGACCACTGTGGCTGCGCTTCAAGACAGGGGTCAAAGTGCGGGAGATTAAGGACGACCACAGGCCGCATCGCTGGGTCAGCGTTATGAACGAAGTCTTCATCTTGGAGCACCTGCCTCGCCACGATCACGTGATCCCGTACCTAGGGTCTCGCCGCGGCACGAGGCGTCTTTCTGAGAGCGGATGGAGAGCAAAGAATGTCGCTGCAATCTCAGGGACGGGCGGCGACGACTCGCAGTACATATACACATTGATGCCAACCGCGGGTCCCCGCAGCCGCACGCTCAGGTCTGTGATCGACGAGGGACTTGACCCGCATTATGGCAGCCTCGACGAGTTTGTGACGGGTTACTTGTCGATAGTGCGGGGGACTCTCCTGGCGCTGGGCCATCTCGAGCGGCATGGCGTTGTGTATGGAGGCCTACAGCCGGAAAGTGTAGTTGTTTTCGAGGGTTATTCAAATGTGAAGCAGTTCGACGCTCGATCTGACACGAGTGCGCCCGCTTCAACACATCCGATGCTGGCGGACTTTGGGAGGGCGTCATTCCGCGAAGACGAAGACACTCCCGCTTGGACACTGATGGCACCGTATCGACCACCTAAGCTAGCGCACCTGCAACCACAGAGCGCAGCAGAAGCCAAGGTCTTCGTCGATCGCTGGAGCGCTGCCATCATGTTCACGGAGATGCTCGAGATCGTAAATGGTAAAGCTGAGGGGCTTCGGGCGAAATTCAGCGGCATTAGCGCGCGAATTAAAGACAACCCTGACAAAGACAACGCAGCAGCCTGCGCACTGGCGATTTATCTGTGCACGGGAAGGAGTGTGGATGTGGATGCATCAAAAAACTGTGATATCAGCGAAAATGGCGCAAGCCAAGCGAAGAAGAACGGCATGCGGCTCATTATCCAGGAGTACCAAAACGCAGACGCTTTCAGCGAAGCGACAGCCGAACCGCTCTACGACTTTCTCCACGGCGTACTGCAATGTAACCGGGAGAAGCGGGCTCCACTTGCGGGCAATGAGGGGCTAATGCATCGTTACAGCTTGGTGGTCGAAGCGTTTGCGAGAGAGAAGAAAGTGACGCAACCGCAGGCAGATGCGTTGAAGACTGATAATTTTGACGTAGAACAAAAAGGCGAGGTCTCTAGTGGATGGACGCAGAGCGTCAAATGGTACGAAGACAGGCGCAAGACGACTCCCAGCGGAGGACTAAAGAAGTGTCACGCCTCCGAGAAGGATGCTGGTAGGACCACGGCTTCGTTGAGCTACAAGCACTGTATGCAGGACAACGAAAAGGCCAAAGCCGTTCACGACAGAGCTGTTACGGCACTGTTCGACGAGATCGTGTATAGAGGAGAGGTACTGGGGCCGGCTTGCATCGAAGCTGAAAACGCAGCGCAGGAAAAGAACAAACGCGCCGGCGAGGCAGCGCGAGCTGCGACAAAAGCCGCCAAGGCAGCCGCGAAAGCAGCCACCGAGGCCAAATCAGCCGCCGCAGCAGCCGCCAAGGCGAAAACAGCCGCCGGCGCAGCAGCCGTCAAGGCGAAAACAGCCGCCAAGGCGAAAACAGCCGCCAAGGCGAAAACAGCCGCCAAGGCGAAAACAGCCGCCGGCGCAGCAGCCGCCAAAGGAGCCGAGAAAGGAGCGGGCAACGTCGAAGCCGAAAAAGCAAAAGAGCTTGCAACAAAAGCCAGGGCCACAGCAGTTGCGACTGCAGACCAGGCTGCGAAAGTCAATAAGGCCGAGCAGGATGCTAGGACGCTGAGCAGAACAGCCACAGAAGCCGCAGATGCCTTGAAGGCGTCTCAGAAGGCCCTCACAGAAGCAAGCAATGCTAGGAAGGCAGCCTGGGATAATCTACAACTTGCACAGAGAACCGGAGAAATCGATACTGCCAAAGGCACTTGGAATAAGGCGGTAGGAGTGGAGAACGATAAAAAGAAGGCTGTAAGAGAAAATATCGAGAGGAAAAACGAAGCCGAAATAGCGGCAAACCGCGCAAAACATTTGGCAAAGATAGAAACAAAAAAGAGCAGGGACCTGGACAAAGCGTCCGGGAAAGCTACCAAAGCAGCCAGCATAGCGGCAAAGGATAAATCAGAGGCCGACCTACTAGATCAGGCAAGAAGAGCCGCCGCAAGAGCATCAAAGCCAAGAAGCGAAGCAGGAGAAGAAGAAGAAGAAGAAGAAGCACCCGGCAGAGGAAGCCCAAGCGAAGCAAGCGACAGCACAGTGGCAGAAGCCTTGGCTGCAGCTGCCAAAGAAGCCGACGAAGAGGCACGCGCCGCAGCACTTCGTAAAAAAGTTGCCGAAAAAGCCGCTAACGAAGCCGCCGCCGCGCTAAAAAAAGCGAACGAGGAGGCCGGGACGGCGAAGAAGGCCTCCGAAAATCTCAGGAGTGAGTGTGACTCCCTTCTGCCTCCTCGGGACCAAAGCCAATAGATAGGAGGGCGGCGTAAATCGTCCTGTGCTTGGGGTGTGGAGGTGCATTTCCTCTATGTCTATTATCTGCGAAAGATACGCCTTGCGCCGGCTGGTGGGTACATGGTAGGCACTTGTAACGTTTGAAGCCTGTCAGCAAATTCAAAATTTATACCGTGATAACCTTTTTGCACCAGATGCCATAAATATGAAGGCAGCGCGCACTCTAGTGGATTAGTGCCCGAGTTCATGGATATAGTGCGGCTGGCCTATTTCGAAGGCTATACATAGCCCACCTCCATGCGTTGCGCTGCACGTAGTAAGCCTATGGCTATCTGCGGGTAGTGCGCGCCCCCAATTCTAACTTTCGGGAGCGGCGTGGCTTGAGTCTCTTGGGCTGATCTTCCAGGGGGGACGAGCTTCGCTTGCTTTTATATTTATTTACTAGACTTCAGCGCCCGATAGCTCTCCCTCCACTAGAATCCTCCACCTTCTTCGAGCATTTCCTTCGCCAAGACGCGCCTCCCCCGCTCCTCTTCCGCCAGCTCGCGGCGCTTTCCTGGCGAAGTGGTCCGCGCCAGAGGAGTCGGACGGAACAGGGGCGCCGCGGAATTTAACAGAGGGGGCCGCTTCTGTCTCTGAGGTTTTTGAGATGTCTCAAGGTGTGCCTGCTTTTGAATTTAGTGCAGGGCTTTGGATTGGGAGCCTTGAGCGCGAAGCTTCGCACGGAGCTAAGCCTTTGAGGTGGAGACTTGGGGTGAGATTGGTGGAAGCTCTGCTCGCAGCTTGAAGCTCGCGACGGCTTGCAGTGTGAAGCTTTGAGCTTCCGCAGCGCTCGAGGTGTAGAGCTTCGGGCTTGGCGCTTTGATTTTGAAGCTTTGGGCGTGCACGCTGAAGCCCTGGACTCGAACAGAGTGCCGGGCCTGAAGGGTTTGGCCTGAAGTCTTGGAGCTGGGCTCTTGGGTCTGAATTCCTCAAGTTCGAAAGTTTTCGACTCTAGCGAGCTTGTCTGAAATTCAACTTCTTGGATTTCAATTTGTCAAATTCCAAAGTTTTTGACTTTAGCAAGTTTGTCCGAGATTCAACCGCTGGGATTTCAATCGCTTAAATCGATCCAAAAGCTTGAGCTTAACTCTCTGCCAAGTTTTCCCGCGCTTCAATTTCTTGGGTTTCAATTTCTCAAACCCAAAAGCTTTGATTCTAGCAAGCTGCTGGCCCGAGAATTCAACTGCTACCCTTGGCCTCATTTCTTTAAGCCCGTAAGTTTTTGACTTTGACAAGCTTGGCCAAGATTCAGTCTCTTTCATTCTCTTGGCCTTCAATTTGTCAAAACCAAAAGCCCGCGACTTTGGCAAGTTTTTCTGAGACTCAATCGGCTGGATTTGGTTCGCGAGCTTTGATAAATTCACCAGCTCACAAGCTTACAAACTCACAAACGCACCAACTCACCAACTCACCAGCGCACAAACTCACAAACTTCAAAAAATTTACAAGCTCACAAATTTACAAACTTACAAAGTTACAAACTTACAAAGCCCACAGACTCGCAAACTGGCAAAATCGCAAACGCACAAAGAAGCCCACAAACTCGGAAACCTTGAAACTTTGAAACTCATAAACTCGCAAATTCATAAATTCCAAAACTCATAAGTTTTGGAGTGCGGGGCTTTGGGGGTGCGGGGGTTTGTAAGTTTATGAGTTCGTGAGTTTCTGAGATCATGCTTTCAAATGTGAAAGCGTGAGGCTTTGGGGCTTGGAAGTGGGGGAGTGAGAGTTTGGAGGGGTCGCTGTTTTTTTGTTAATTTCGCTCTTTATTTTTACGTGGCACCTTCGAACTATAGCAGACCTGTATAAGATATCCCGCAAGGGAGCCGCCCCACTATCCCCTGGAAGAGCCCGGGGTGGCTTGCTGATGAGGAGACGCCGCAGCCATAATCTGCACTCGCAGGGGAGGGCGACAGGCTGCGCCATTATAGACCCTCCCTGTGTGCTCCTGCAGTCCAGAACCCCAGGGCGGCCCCCCCCTGAGCAGGGCAGTGCTGGCAGGGCTTCTGATTAGCAAGCGGCTTGCCTTGTGCCGCGTATCTGCGTCCACGCTTCTCCTCCACTCCTCGCACATTACAAAGGCTGCGACATGATAGGAACGCCCGCGCCGCGCTCTGGCCTCATACTGGCCCCGTATTGGCCTTGGCTGCGTCATCACACGGCGCCAGGATGTGCGCCACTCGGCCCCTTTATTTTGGCCGCCCGTTTATCAAAGCGCCAGCTGCTCGGGTCTGATACTTGCCGGATGTTGGTAAAAAATAGCTTTGGCCATTTCTTTGCGCTATTGCGTGGCCCTCTTGCGTTGTCAAATGTAAAAAATATCGCTCGGGGCCTTGCGCGGTCTCCCTCCTCTTCTGCAGATCCTTACTCGTTTTAGCTCCCTGCGTGAACTCATCTGCGCCACTCTCGTGCATTGTCTGACTATCTTAGAGTTAGAACTCAGGCGCAAGGCTCAAGACCCCACAACCGGCAAAAGAGGCCCACAGTAGAACGCTAGGCAGAAAGTCATAAGGCGGGGGAGCTCGTGAAGGTTGCGGCGACCTTATCGCCATGAGCGCCCTATATGGACTACGGAAAAAGAAGGCGGCGGCCCCGCGTTAGCAGGCTAAGAGCTCCAGCACAGTGCCGGCCGTTGCGTAGTAGGTCAGACGAGAGAAAGCGCAAAGCGCAACACATCGAGCGCACAGCGCAGCCCCGTGCTGGTTGTCAGGCTTTACACATCGAGCGACCGGGCAGCCTTATGCTGACAGCTGGAGCGGGTAGCGCATTAGCTACAGCATGGAGCGCCCTCGTATGAGTGTAGTCTAGTCGCTAACTGCCTTACCACTGTCCCCTACCTCTAGGGAGCAGCAGAATGGAAGGCCTTCACCTCTGCCGCTCTTATTCAGTAACCTACCAGAAGAGAAGTGAAAAGCCGCGCGCTCTGATGTCTTGGCTTAGCGCCAAAGCTCACCATCCAAGATAACAAGTAGGCACCCAAGTCCGCGACGGTATGGGCCGGGCTGTCTATGAAGTCAGCTGCTAAGGCAGACGGCCAAAAGCTGCCCACTGAATCGAAGAAAACGAGCGCCGCAGCCGCTTCTGCCTCTGAATCTATGAAAGCAGTCAAGGCAACGCCGAAAACTGCCAAGGCATCCGCCACCATCCCATGGCGACCTGTGAAGGCGGTCACGATGATGGCCAGCCAGTCGTAGAAGCTTCCCAACCTGCGGAGACATCTTCGGCGTCTAAAGATAATCCAGCCGCGGGTGATATCGGTCGCGTGCTTGGCCTCCCACTGACACGCGTGAACGCTGGCGGAGATAGCCCACAAGGTGGCAAGGGGTCTGCCCCTGCGGGGATGCTCGCCTGGACTAGGGCCGGCGGCCACGGCTGCCGGCGATCTTGCTCCGCGTGCAGCCGATACCGCCGGCGTTAATATGGCTCAGCCGAAGCTAGCTGGACAGCGACGGCCATAGATACAGCAGGCGAAGACGCTGGCGGGCTTTAAGAGAGGCCGCGCGTATACTATGCCTTGAGCTGCCACTCTACTAATGCGGCGGGTTGTGTAGTCGTTGCAAGTTGCTACCCACTAAGAAAAGAACACCCACCAGGCCGACGCGTCGCGCGTGCCGCGTGTCTTGTCGACACGTCGCGCGCGTAAGCCACATCTTCTCCCAATTAGAACCATACTGCGCAGCCAGTGGGCGTTCCTATATTACTCTACAGGCACAGAGGAGAACAGTGGCAAGCAACTGCTTAGGGCAGAGCGGGCACACATCGCCGAACAGCGCGCGGCTGGATGGTGGAGACCTTTGAGGAGGTTGGGGCAAGGTGCAGCACGATGGTGAACAAGAGCAAGACGGAGGCGCCCACGCGGGAGAAGTTGCTTGACAACAGAGGAGAGGCGCGCACCTTGCGAGAGACGGGGGGGCAGTGCATACTCTTCGGGAGGGGTGGGCCTAATGCGTAGACATGGGGCGGGGGCTGGTGAGTGACGTCGTCAACATTTACGGGGTGACACGGCTGGAGGCCACGGAGCGGCTGAACAAGGTGAGGAAGATGGGGGCGAGCGGTGGGCCCACTCTTGGGGGGTGGCTGGGGGCGCTGGCAGAGGTGTCGGCGGACACGGTGCTGCCTTACGGGTTAGACGTGTCGAAGCTGTCTCGTCATGATATACACAGAGCAAATGCAGCAACTACCGGCCAGGCCCTTGATGACGGTCGCAGCGCTGGGAGACGAGAGGCGCACCGGCGAAGCTTGGGCCAAAAAGGGGGAGGAGCCTGGGAAGGGTTCGAGCAAAGAAGAACCAGCGGGAGCATGTAGGAAGATGGGGGAGGGTATGCGCATGAAGCAGGAAGAGCGAGGCGGGCAGACGGGTGCCCACCTCAACGGCGAGGAGCAAGGCGGAGCGCCGGCGGCTTCTCGCGGTCGTTGACCGATACAGGGGGGAGAGGTGGGGGAGGTGCTTGGGCAGTGGGTTGGAACTGAAGGCGAACAAGGGGCCAAACATCACGCCGGCAAGGAGGGCAGGGCTGCATGAGAGAGACAACAAGGAAGAACAGGCATGGGAGAAGTTATGGCGGCGAGTGGCGGGACACTTCAGGGGGAGGGATCTTGGGGGGGCAAAAGGGATGGAGGGGCTTCGGAGGGTCTGGGAAGTGCTGGAGGATGCTGAGAAGCTCGAACAGGAGCCGGGTGCCAAGACGTGGGCAAAAAGGCCGAAGGCAAGGAGCATCGCGGCGGTGCGCTTCAGGGGCCCGCTCTCCATACGTTGGAGGGGGTTGTGGAATGCGGCGGCGAGGGCTCTACATGACACCAGAAGAGGGGAAGAGGGGGCCCGAGGCTGGACAACCTGCGAGCAGTGTGACAGGGACGGCCGCAAAGGGCTGCGGGGGGGGCTCGTAGGGCACTGGGTTAAGACAGCGAAGGGCAAGAAGGAAGGAGATGCGGAGACGTGTGGGGAAAAGGCGGCACGGCAGAGGGCAGAGGAATGGAGAGCCATGAAGAGGGAAAAAGGGCGGAAAGAAGGGGAAGAGGAGGGAGGAAGGGGGGCAGTGACATGCTCGAAATCTTTGGGGAAATGTATCCGGAGGGAACGGGAGGCACGGCGGCGGGGCTCCTGGAGTTCTTGGGGGAGGGCGCCTGGCCATGGCAAGGGGTAGGGCCTATGTGCATCGACGACGGCCAAACAGTCCCAAGAACACCAACCGCCGCCACGTGGCTGCGCTATTAGTCAGGCTACCAGGGGGACGCCCACGCCTGGGCACCTTTCGTGGCTAGTTTTCCGCTAATATTCTTCTAATTTTGAAGAGGTCGCAAATCGTAGTAGGCTAGTCGGTTGCCTGTGGTGGTCGAGGTGTGTCTTCTCTTGTGTGGTGGGCTTAGCTGTGTGGCCGCAGGGTGTAGTAGGCTCTTTGTGGCTTTGCCGTCGTGCCGGGGGGTGAGTCCCTGCGCAAAAGGTCTGCGGTTGGCGCGGCACCTGTCAGACTGGTGCCGTGCTCGGGTCGGTTTTTGGGGTCTAATTTTTTTACTAAAAATAATACTAATTTAGCACGCTAAAAACCGTGCTAATTTAGCACTCTAGTTAAGCACTTCAATTCGGCGGGACTTCTCGCCGAAGTGCCTCACTTTTTTGCTCTAAGGATTATGCTAGTTCGTTACTCTAATTGTTTTGGGGGGTTCTCGAAAGCCCTCCAAAATTCTTCTAATTAGGCACTCCAGTCCGGCACTCTGACCTTGCACCCCAAAACCTTGCGCGTTTTCGCGCTATCGGGGGGCTTGTGAGTTAGAGCATTGAATTAGGGCACACAACTAGCGGAATTTTTAGAGGGTTTTCGAGAAGCCCCAAAACCAAGCTACCTGACTTTGGTCTCTCTTGTTTGGTTCGCTTTGGTGTCACTGTTTCAGGGCTATTAGGCTTGCCCTCTTGGCTGTAGTGGTGGCTCGACTACGTTTTCCCCAAAACCAAACTAGCGCGACGAGTTAGCTACTTGTCGAGCGAGCTCCCCCCGGTGCATTCTGTCGGCCTTTCCTAAACTGGCAGAATTCTTAGCGCTCGCGTTAGAGCCTTTCCGACCTAAAGGCGCAGCGTCGTGAAAGATCAGCCGGCCACGCATCGCGTGCAGTGATTCTGCTCTTCTGTGTCGTCGGGTTTTGCAGAGTCTGCGCACAGAAGTACGCTGATGGTGGCTGCAGCTGAGGGCGGTGGGTTTGCTTATCGGTCGCGGCTTTGATGGTGTGGCCGGTGGGTCTTTCTTGGGGGTTTCTCAGGGGTGTCGCTAGCAGCGTCGGAGGGTTTTTCGAGATCGTTGGGGTGGGTCAAATTAGTAAAGTTTTGGAAGCATTTTAGAGGAATAGAGTGGCCGGCGTTGTCCCCCTGAAGGCTACTGCGGGCCTTGGAATGCTATAGGGCTTGGGCTCTCGTATCAGTTTTTGTATTTTAAGACGAAGCACCAGCAAGCCAGACACCCGCGAGACAAAAAGGAATAGACCAAGGCAGCAGGGGCGAAAAGAAAGCCCAAAACACGTAGCCAGCGCATCTCTTTGAGAAAAGCGACGAAAACGATACAAAGCCAGGGCAGAATAAGGGGGGCGCGCCGCGTCTGGGTGTCGTTAGCTCAATCTTCAAGGCTAGGCAACTCTCAACAAGGCAGACGGCCCGGGAAAGCGCGGGCAAAAGAATGGAACCACTCATGGGCTTGGATGGGTTTGACAACCAAGACAAGGGGGGCACTCTCCAGGAAAAAGGGGGCGACTCGCTAGGCAGGCCGGTAGTTTTTTCGCGGCTTTCGTCACCCATGAAGAGGCGCACGGCGATAACTTCGAAGAGCTTGCCGAGGGTTAGTGAGTGAGTTCATATCAGTGATTCGAGGCGGCTTACTTAGGTGGCAGGCGGTTGGGGTGGGTTCTCGGAAGACAGTAAGAAAGTCAACCAGAAGAAGAGCTCCTTCGCCGGTCCCACTGGCGGCGCGTAGGCGGTGGGCTTAGCGCTTCGGCCCCAAGTCCAGTCTCCAAATTGGACGCATTTGCCAAGAGTGGCGCGCCATGCGCTGCCATCAGCCGGAGGGATGGAGACGGAATAGCTTAGAAGTTTCAACCCTTTCCCTTCTCGGACGGCGGGAGGTTAACTAAGGCGGAAACTGGTCGGCACTCGGGTCAGCAAAAACCTCGCCAAGGTCTGACTGGAGGGAAAGCCCCGCGGCTGCGTCGGTTCTTCTTTTTCTTCTTGCTCTTTCTGCTGTCGTCGGTCAAGGTGAACAGTTGTTCGGGAGCGTCGGAGGGAGAGGAGGGGGCCGGCGACTTGGGAGAAGGAGCTGCTTGAAAAGCGGACGAAGAAGGCGCGCAGTAAAAGCGGCGGGAAAAATGCAGCGAGGACGACACAGACAACGCCAACGCAGAAAAAGAGGTCGCTGGCTCAAGTCTCAAGGCTGACTATCTTGGTTAGAAAGAGAAGAGCGCGCCGATGAAAGAGATTGCTCAGGGGCTTGAACAAGTTAAACAAATAGGACTGACAGGGGGGGCGCTTTTCTTTGAGGAAAAAGCAAGAGCTCGACGCACTGGGCACTGGGCAGGCTTGCCCTGATTGTTTCGCCAAGCTGGGGCACCTTTCACCAGAGTGAGAAGTGGCGGGGCGGGGTCTACGCTCGTCTAGAATATGAAAAGCCCGACGCTGCTCAGTGTGGTCGTCGTTTGCCACTAACAAAGACCAACACGGCTGCCCGCTGGCAGCCCAGTCTTCAGCGAATCGCTGAAGATCAAGCCCTGGCCGAAGCAGTTGGTGACGTCGTGCTGAGGCTCCACCTTTGGGACGAAACTCACCGCGTGCGGGAGTCCAGAGTCATGCCCTTGATGCAGCTGGCTGCTTCCTTTGTGTCATTCTTTGGCGTTCTCCCTCTGACTTGCCTGGTCTATAGATCGGAAGAGGAGGCCATTCGGAACCGCTTCGCAGAACCTGTCCGCTGTCTGTGAATTCTTAAAACAGGGCGAGGGGTATCTTACGTGGGCAGCCTTTGGAAAAACAGCAGCCCAGTGCTGGGGCTTGATGCTCCAGCTCAGCGCTTTTTATCATCGAGCCCCCAGCGGCACCGGCTTCCCGCCTTTTTCCCAGAGCATGAGGCCACTAAACTGGGGAGCATAGATATGGCAGAGCCTCACGCGCAGGCCCTAGCTACCGCTCTGAGAGTCTGGCTGCTTGTCAAATCTTCCGGCTAGGGGAGACCCGTGCGCAGCTAGCTGCGAGCTAGGGCCCTCCCACTTGCAGGGCTGGGCGATGCCTCCGCTAAGCCGCCTCCACCTGTGCGCATTTCTGTCGGCTACTCTCTCTTGGCTTGCGTGGGGAAACTGCTAAACTTAAGGCAGCACGTTATTACTATCTTCAACGGCGTGAGGGCCTCACCTTTCTGGCTCACGGGCTGAGAATGCGTGCGGGATAGCTGCAGCCTCGCGGCCCTTGCCTCTATTCTAATCAATTACCTTACCGCCAAGAACGAAGTAGACGCGTCTCGGTCTCATCTTCTAACAAGCCACTCCGCTGCCATACAGGAGGCCGAGGCGGTTCTTCACGTCCAAAGCCTTTGATCTGGGAAGCAAGTGACGACGTAGCGGCTGAACGCCCATCCATGGCGCCGAAGACTACCTTGTGCTCGGGCTGCTCCATAGCGTTGAGCCCGCCAGCATCTGGCGCAGTGCAAAGGGTGAAAAGACGGCAGGCGCCTCTGTCGATGCGGCTTGCATCTTGTCGCGTAACAGGGTGGGCGCGTCCGCCTTGTCTGAGACCTCAGCGCCCGACATTGTCCGCGGCTTGGCCTGCACATGGTCCCGCATGCCGCAGCTGACATGGGACAGGCCTTGGCTGGGCGAACGGAAGTCTCGGACTTACTCGGTGTTAGTGCGGGCTGTCGCGTATACTCTGGGCCGCTCGGCTTCTCTGGCCTCCAAGGTGACAAGCTGGCGACCGCCTTAAAGCTCAGAAATAGGACGGCTGCAGCTGTAGCCCCATCACAAGGACGGCGCCGGGAATTCTCCACAGAACACCAGGCGAAGGCCATGGTAACCAAGCAGGGCCCATTCCGCCGCCTGCTTTAGCTCTTCCATGCAACAGAACTACGCCAAAGAGCGCCCCTCTCCCCACTCTAATCCAATAGCGCAGAGCACGACGGGGCTGGGCCTCATGCATCCTCTTGATAGCACTGGCTGCCAGAGGACTCCAGCAGGGCGTCCAGGGGTTGCACATCCGCAAAGACGAGGCGCAAGACGTGCCGGGGCTCGCTCTTGCGCTCCCTCTCGAACCTCGACCAGCTGAAGCTATCGGCCCACATTCGTCCCATCTTTGTGCGCGTCCAATGATAACTAAGAGCAGCAGAGCATCGACCGCGCCAGCATCAAAAAACTGGCGAGAGGCGCTGGCACTGACCTGCCACCCAGATCGTCACCCCTCGCTGCACCGTCGTCCAGCTACGGAAGCAACCGCCTGAAGCGGGAAGGAGAGCGGCGTCGCAGTAGCTCTCTCCTGTGGTAGGCGTGGCGTTAATAGCCACACCAGCAGCGACAACAACTACCACAACAGCCATCGCCGTGAGCGGCGTGGCCACGGCTGTAACCGTGATCGCCGTAACAGCCGCCCGCCATCCCCTCAGGAAGCGCGACAACAACGACCAGGGCGAGCTTGAACGCCTGAAACGCTTCAAGCAAATGGAGCAACAAGGACGAGACCAACTCACCGGGCAGGAGTGCGCTAACCGAAAAAGGCTAGACTGCCGCCTGACCTGTGTAAGCAAAAGGGGGCAGCGCTTCAGGATACCGCTGGAGGCTGGGAAGTGCCATCTTGTCGCTTCAAGGGATGCAGGAGGCGCCTTGCCCCGCGTGGCCAGGCAGCTTGCTGCTTTTCTAAGGCTTGCGAACTGCCGGCGCCATCTTCTGTATTTCTCTGAAGTATGGCCTGCGAGCTGCCGGCAATGCTTTCCACTTCTGTTTTTTTGATGCAAAGCCTTGCACACTGCAGGCAAAGCCTTCCGCGTCTTATTGTCTGAGTGACGGAAAGCGTTGCGCGCTGTGGGCTCTACCTTCGGCGCTGATCTCTTTACTCTGTGTAAAGGTCTGCGGGCTACATGCTACACTTTCCGCGTCTTATTTGGTCGCTCGTTCGCTGACGCAAAGCCTTGGGACATATAAAATAAGCCAGGCGCTTACTTTCTTTCGTGGTTGTCTGCTGAGGCGGGCCCACCTTGTGGCCTCGTTTTCTTTCGTGTTGTAATCTCTGTTGATGATAAGACCCGCGAACGGCAGGCGCGGGCGCGTAGCTTTCCACGTGTCTCGGTCGTTGTCGCTGAAGCTCCCCGGGGTGTGGACATCTATGCACTTTCCACCCATGGGACGAACTGAACGCGCCAGCACTTGGCCTAATGGTCCCCCCGTAGTATGTCCACAGTGTCGCCCTCCCTGGTCAGACGTAACGTCGAGAGTGGCTCGCCCTCTTTGGGGATAGGATACAGACAGAAGGAACCCCACGCCCGTCCCCTGCTGATAGCTACATCCAGGCCCAGGATCGTGCCTGATGGCGGTGGTCTGCATATAATCAGGCCCAGGCTCGCTGTGTTGCTGCAGCGGAGTGACTGACGCGGGAGCAAAATATGACACACCACGGCCACAACCTTCAACAGGATCCCGATCAAAGGCTTGCCGCTTCTCATATAGGCTCAGGCGTAAGGCTATGAGGATAGGACAGAGCAGACCTGAGGCAGCTTGTAGGCAAAAGGCTACACACTTCCACGGCTTCGCACTTATCAGCCACACCTGCGCAGGGCAGGCATAGCGCCAAGCCCTCTGATCTTTGCCATCTGCGTCTCTCGTATCTGTTGAGGCCTTGGATGCAAGAAAGGCGGCAAGCTTTTTGTTCATTACCTCGACGCCTTTGCTCATGAATTACCTCAAATGAGTCCAATGACGGGCGCTCGTGGTGCTTCGGTTTCTTCCTATTGGTTCAATTTCTTTGGGGTGACTTAGCTTGCTCTTTTCTTCTTGGGTTGTCCGCCTTAGTTGGCTTCCTGGCCTTCGTCAATTAGTTCGAAGCGGTTCGAGTTAGCTGACTCAGCTAGTTCAAACTAGTTCGAATTAGTTGACCTAATTACTTGGAATTAGTTGGCATTAGTTCAGATTAGTCTAAATTAGTTCAACTTAGGTAGTCCAAGTGGGTCCAGCTAATTGGCTGATTAGTCTGCGGCAGTTTGGGCCAGTTTATTAACTGGCTTGCGCTAGCTTGGGCTAATTGGTGAACTATTTCGGGCCAGTTGTGAGCGAATTCGCTGGCCTGGCTTGTGTTGATTTGGATTAATTGGCGAAAATTTTGCAAAGATTTTCTCCTTCCTTAGTAAAACGTGGCGCGCCCCTTCGACAGAGGGATAGGCAATAATCGCACAGGGTGCATAAGCTGCCTGTAATATTTTCTAAAAAATATAGGGAGGAAGTGAAGAGCCTCATGCATCGTCTTGCACAAAAAACAGCGGGCGTCGACGTGTCTACTGGTCCATAAATTATTAGACAGAAAAACCGGTAATGATATCTCTGCACTCAATCACGAGGTCATGCAAGCATATTTATGTGTAGATATATAATCGGACGGGAGTCGTCCGACAAAATTTTGCCGCAGCTGATGTGTTGAATACCTGTCGTCGGACGTTGAAAATAACCAAAAACGAGTTGTTGAGGGTAATGGAAATCCTCTTCTGTTTCTCTGTCAGTATCCAATCGGGATTTAGAGCGAAGTCTTGCTGAGGAGAAGAGCTTGTCGAGCAGTCGGTTTTCTCTCACAAGCACCTATTGTGTGAGAGATTCTACGAACTGCATATCTCCCGTGGCCCCATGATGATCTTCCCAACGCATACCTCTCTTTCTATCACCTTTGAGTAATGTGTTGGAGAGCGGGTCACTTTGATTCTTCACGATTAGACATGGTTAGCTTTGCCACATCCATTCAATGCGTCAACGATTATTATCAAGTTGCTTGATATCATGACCGCTTCAACAGCAGAGCTTGAACGTTTTTTAGGACTACGCATCTTAAACCTTGTTTCTCGAAACCAACAGGTGAGACAGTAGAGATATACATGGAATTCAGGCTGTGGATGTGTTCCCCTCCCTTTTTCTAAATTTTGGCATTGTTGTCGTTCTTCTTCTGGTTGTGAGGTTGATCCGTCTCCCTTCCGTGAAATTTCGCGGCTCATTGTAGGTTGTTGTAGGAAACGGAGATGGCATTATCCGGCCTGCGATAGATACACAGTAACCACACCAATCACCATTCAAGAACTTATTTCTACGTTTGAAGTTTTATTGGGTGAGAAAACGTACTTCTAGGATCAGACCTTCTTGAAGTTACTGTTTGATTTTTTGTTGCCTTTCCTTGACGGTCATGATCTAGGCAAATTCATCATTTCTATTTCACGAATTCGCTTTTGCTGAATGACAAAAGCTTGCTTCTTTTTCCCTTTTTCCGGTCGTTGATGCAAGTTCATGCTAAAGAGGGTTCCCTTTCTTCTTCTGTCGCTCCTCGGGTGAAGTCGCAAACAAATGGCAATCCCTTGAAAATTGAAGATCCCTTCAAAAGGCCGCACCAAGGAGCAACAAGAGAAACAAGAACTTCATCACATTTATTTTTGAAGAATCTCCGTGGTTCAATAGTAGATTGTGGCAGAGCAGCACGTAAGAAGCAGGAGCAAGATGGCATACGGGGCAGCGCTTCTGTGAGCGCTCGCGTACCACTAGCAGGTGCACTGGAGCAGAAAGAACGACAAGTCCTCCTCCAAGAAAGAGAAGAAGTGGCCATCTGCAGTGACGTTCTGGGGACTAGAGGAACGTCCGATACGTGCAAGAAGGAGCACCAAAAGGACAACGTTGTTGGGGAGGCAGGAGCATCTCGTGGAAATCAGGCGGAAGTAGGCTCAAAGCAGGGGCAGCAGCAAGACGAGCAGCGAGTACCCTTCCTACCTGCAATTCACCGAACAGCTTGGCACTGTTCTACTACGCAAATCCGACCAGCGTCCTCAACAAAGTCACTAGGCTTATGAAGGGTTGAAATAATGATCAAAATTGCCAAGACCAACCATGGATGTATCAATTCCAATTCTAGCAAATGCATTGTATGTCTACAACTTCTTTAATTTGTGTCTTCTTATCTAGAAGGTAGCAGCGAGACTTCATGAAGAATGTTCGTCTCAAGTAGAGATGAAGAGCAATGAGTCTCAATGTAGTTTTACCCTCTAATACTGCCGCCTCAACAAGACAAGAAAAAGATGGCGTCATCACAACCTCCATCGCAACCCCCGCTGGATCCCGGCACCGTCATCCTACAGCGGTATAACAAAATTGTCGCACTTTGCGAACTTTTTTTTGTGATACCTACTAACTTTGTGTCTTTTTCTTCGAGCCGCAATTATGCTTCCTCTTCCAAGATTTTCTTGTCTATTAAACCAATTAACACTGTCACCACGACTGTATGTTGTAGTATGTTTCATTACAATTATGACATGTGCATATCCATATTGTCACGGATTAGTCTCATCACATGATACAGGTATGGTATACACGATATCAATTTTTCCACTTTTTTCTGCTTTTACCAGGTTTCGGATTGAGAAAAAGATCGGGGCAGGGTCATTCGGCGAGATATATGTCGCGTACGACACACAAAAGCACGTCAGTGTTGCTGTAAAGACGGAGTCACGAACAACGCGGCACCCACAAATTCACTACGAGGCTAAGATTTACAAGCTACTCAGGGGAGGCAAAGGTAGATTGTTGTAGTTGCAGCATTTACTTGGACTTGGAAAGTCAGTTACAGGGGCTCTAGCTTTGTTTTCGTGAAAGAACTGCAACTTCATGTTCATCTTCGAACCTTGCAAGTAGCGTTTCTTTTCAATTTGGACACATGTGTTTCGAAAATTTCGCCTAAGTCACGGAATGATGAATCAACTAAAATTTCCTCAGGTATCCCGACAATGCACTGGTATGGCACTGAGGGGAACTACAACATTCTAGTCCTGGATCTCCTGGGACCATCACTTGAGGACATATTCACCCACTACAGAAGGCGACTCTCAATGAAATGCGTTCTCATGCTTGCCGACCAGATGTTGGATCGGGTAACAACTCTCTCTCTCTAGCTCAGTAGATTTGGTAGGTCAGATCGGTGACAATAGAAATGACACCTAGCTCAGTCTCTTTTCTGTAATTACCGGCCTGAAAATATGACTTTCCTCTGCAATCTCTTCGACCCATCAGATCGAGTACTTACACAAGAAGAACTACATTCACCGAGACATCAAGCCGGACAACTTCGTTTACCATCAAGACTGCATCTACCTCATTGATTATGGCCTAGCGAAAAAATATCGGGACCCGAAGACCCACGAGCATATACCAATGAAAACGGGTATTGCTATTTCACTCTGCTGTTTCTTATCTTCAGAAGGTTTCTGAGAAGATGCAGTGTTGATCTGTGCTTGTGTTGCCCGCAAGTTTTTTCCTAGATTCTTCGTACGTTTTATTTCTGTTACCGATTTGGAGCTCGTAATGTTGAAGACATAATTTTATGCGCAAATATGTATTTTATCGGTTCAGGTAAAAACCTAACGGGTACTGCGAGATATGTGTCGATAAACACGCACTTAGGCGTGGAACCGAGTAGACGAGACGATCTCGAGTCCCTGTGCTATGTCTGGGTATACTTTTTACACGACGCGTCATTTGTATCATGAGTATGGGATGTAATGAGCAAAAGAAGAATCGATTATTTTGGTCAGCTTAATAGAGTAATCTCCTCCTAACACATACTCTGATCATTGATTCACTCATTCAAAGGTAAATTGTGACTTGGACTTCTTTCAGTTTTTGTAGAGTCAAGCACAAAAAATATAATTAATTCAAATTCCTTCAGTTATATTTTCTGCGGGGCTCATTGCCGTGGCAGGGTCAAAAAGGGTCGAAGAAGGAGAAATATCAGAAGATTATGACACTGAAAATGGAGACGAGTATAGACGATCTCATCGGGACAGGCCCTAGCAAGAGCGACAAGGCGTCTCTAAGGACGAGTACTAACTTTTTAATTAACTGCGTAGTCAAAGACGATAGTCTTGCAGCATTGATAGGATATATATGCATGATGACCACAGACATGATTTTGCATCGTTGTACCTAGTAGGACCAATTATAATTGCAAACTGTAGTTTCACGAGGACACGACGAATTATTTTCAGGTACGCCATCGATGAACCCGCAGTACGATTTTAACTCGACTTGTTCAACAAACACGTCATTATCGGGTGATGTCGAGAATTACTGGCTAGCAACAGGCACGAAGTTTAGCCGTCCCTTGCCGCAAGAGTTCAAGTTCTATTTGCAGTACTGTCGCTCGCTGCGTTTTACGGACACGCCAGACTATGGGTATTCCTTTTATGTTCGACTACAGGTCTAACAAGTTCCATAAACCGTTGTTCGACAGCTTCTCAAGAGTGAGTCCTCTAGATGACCCTATGACTATACAGTAGCAGGAAGGTTAATCCTCAAATGATATTTGATTGCCTGATTGATATAGTACATATGCCTACCCCGCAGGTACTTGCGACGATTGATCAAAGACGTCTTTTATCGTGAGGGGTATAGCTACGATCGACTCTTTGACTGGATCACCATGCCGAGCAAGTTCCAGTATGCGCCGCAGATCTCGCAGTTTCAGTCGCAGGTGTTTGCAAAACCGAGCTAGCGCCACCCATAGTGAATGAATTTCTACTTTGCTTCTCGGCCTAATGCCGCCTGATTTACTTATTATATATTTAGAAGTTGTACTATCGCATTTTTCGCAATATCTCTTATTATTATCTATCATTTTTCTATTTCTTCGAGAATATTTCAACTTCGACATACTAAATAATTCCATGGTATTTTCTTTCAAGAACATAAGTAAAAAAGTATCTGATTAAAACTGGTGGTTTGGAGAGGCTTCGAACTCGGAAGCGTAGGCGGAGGAGATCCCGCGGCTTGCAGTGGTGAAAGAAGTGGGAGTGGAAGAAGTTGCAGTTGAATAGAATCATGTTGTACAGACCAAGAAGCAGTTTCAAAGCAGCCGCAGAGTGCTGAATATCGTTATCCTAACAAATCATCATGATGACAGTTAAAGTTTACGCATTGCGCACACAGAGAAAAGATGGTAGATTGCAACAATTTGCAAAAAAACCTGCTGATCTAGTTGTCCTAGTCGTTATCAAAAATCAAAAGTGAATAATTACTAAAAAGGAACAAGTACTATTATTCTTGCCAGATTTATTTACATCACAAATGCAGATACGGACGGGGCGCCGCATAGAGCGGGCGTATTTGATCAAATTAACTGTTACACCTTATCAGATTTTTGTTGCACAGACGTCATCAGACCGAAGATAAATAAGAAGGCATGGACACTCAAGCGCACAGATGATAATTCATTGTATAGCTAGATTGATTTTACGCGAGTTTGAAGTAGCAGTTTTTTAGACACAATTTCGTGCATGCGTTGCTTGCAAGCGAGTGGAACAATTCGTGTAGATATCATTCTGAGGTGGAATCGATCCACAACTCTTGTAGTTATAATGAATAGATAATAATTCGTGGTAGATAGTCCACTTTGGTGGTACGTCTACTACTGCTGATTTTTTTTCGTTGTGGTATGTTTTGTTGTTGCAGAAGCTTCTCCTATGGCTGACAATTTGAATTAATTTTTTGCTATGTCAAGGAACAAACCTTCCCTGTCGTTGCAGTTGTTCACCGTAATTGATTATCTGAGTTTAAAATGTTGATGTCAACTTGACATCATTGTCAGTCACTATCGGATGGTAGGCCCCAACCTAACCTATCATTGTCAGTCATTAGGAAAACAATTGGCTTTCTTTTGGAATTAACTTTCTCGTCGGAGGCAGGTCGGTGTTTTCGGGGCTACCATTTTCAGATCATGAGCTTACTTAGATGGGTAGATGGTGAGGTTACTTGCTAGTTAGTTAAATTTAGAATCTGAAATGACCACAAGAACAACTTATGATACTACGTGCTCATCAGAATAGTGCGTGGAACAGCGTGTGGACGCTAAATCAGCCTTGCGCTGAAGGTCGAGAACTAGCCTTTTCTACGTTACGGACTGATCCGCGAAAGCCTCTCTTCTGCACAGTACACCGGATTATTGGAGAGAGGCGGGGGGCATGTTGAAGATAAATATGCTCGTCCGAGTAAGGTGGTTGACTTGCTCATGCTTTTCGTTCAATTCGAATTGAAGGTTCTCATGCTCAATAAACCTCGATTACAGGAAGACTAGTTTCTTTGCTGCCGGGATAGAAGAAATTTTTTCGTCTCAGTAGCCAAGACGGGTGTCCGAGTCTCCCGGAGACGCGTGCTGGCCTTCGCGGTACCAGCATGAAATAGAAATAATGAGATACCAATTCAGAACGAAGAGCTAAGCTGTGCGCTGTAGCTGGGTTGTATGCTTTCATAGGACCAAAGACACCTTTGAGCCAGCGCTGTTTTTCAGTATTTTGGAGTTGTGGCAAGAAAGCACTAAGTAAAAAACCAAAAACGCCAAATCAAGCGCAATCTAGCAGTGAGCTTCGTTTTTTATAGACCTCTACCCAGCAAATAATTGAGTAGAGGTGGAATTGCGCTCTTGCTTTTGTCCTAGTGAATATGCCTATGACAAAAGCCTGGGTTGAAAATGTATAATCATGGTAGATATCGAACTTAAACAATGAAAAATGAATCGTATGAACTGTATAAAACTTTTGGATCATGTTGTTTAATGAATAGTTAATATCGAGAGTGAGACCACACTGTATAATTGGAAGACTAGCATAGAGCACACAGCAAACACGACATCATAATCATGACTTCCACGGCATAGATTGACATGAAGATTCATCATGATTGCATATTTTTTTATAAGCAGAGCAACGGTCTATCTGCTTACTTCGCACAGTGTATTATAATGCATAGCTCTAATACTCATACATCGATATTGTGAACAATATGCCAGTCACTCCACCTAGCTTTACTCAGCCCAGCACAGAAGCTCGTGCGTTGATTTTCATGTCGAAAAGCAAAAGGTTGTAACTGCTGCCGGGAACGACATCCAATTATTGTGAGAAGCCAACCCTTTACACGGCGCGATTATGATCAAACCGTGACTGAAGGTTTGCTTAGGGTGTACCCCTGAACCTGATACACCGTAGTAGTACAACAGCGTCTCCTGGTACATTGCTTCCGTCGTGGTCGCTTTGGAGGTTGCCAGGGTAGCAGCCTGGCTTCGTCTTGGTGATTTGTCGCGTACTTTCGATCTGTCTAGCGGTAGGTACGAGTGAAGGTTATTGTTTTTTATCGATGAAGTATCTAAGCTTCTGTCATGATAAGCATGGATTACAACGATCTCATAAGAAAAAAAGGCAACGGACAACTATGAGATCACCTAGCTTCATATCTGTTGTATTTGAAGAAAGATCATTAAGATTTTTACTGTGGGTTAGAGCAGACAGTTGTGGAAAAGGTTGCGGTTCCATTGGATCATGATAACTCCTGTACAGATTATTTACTTTTCGTGGGGTTCTTGCTTGTCTATTTGAACTTCCTCACGGTGTGGCGTTGTCTTGCCGTGATGGGGTTCGTTAGACACTGTTGATCACTTACGATACGGACTCCTAGCATGACGCCAATGGCAAAAGCGATCTGATGAATCCGAATTATGATTTTTGAATATAATGATTGATGAGCAGTACCCTTTGTTGAGTCCGCGGTCGCACATCGCGCCTCAGCGGAAGGGACTCTCGTGATCATCAGTCAGGCACATCAATCAATCAATCAATCAATCAATCAACGTGCGGCCTGAGTCTGCCAGAACAATAAGATCGTTGCTTTCCTAAAAGAATGTATTTCTAACAAGCTCCTTCGTCGTGGACGAGGCGGGTTGGCGTAAGACTCTACGAGAGTAGCTATATACTAAGCGCAGCAGGGCGTTTTCATCATCGTGCACGCAGGAAGCAGAGGTCTTATGAGCAAAAGTCATGGTGGTGCCGCCGCGCTCGTATGTGTTTGTTGTTAAAAAACGGGACTGATTCATCTAACGAATCTTTTGTTCTAGAATGTTATTTCTTATGGGCTAATTCTGTATATGTGACAAAAATGTTTCGCATACGGACTAAGGAATATAAGGACGAATGAGCTTCTCGTTATGAAATTGGCTTAAAAGGTGTTGTGTGCTGTACATATTTCAAACATGATGAATGTTGAATCGAGGCAGAGCTACGAGCCCAGTTTTGAGAGGAAAATATGGTGTTCGTAGTACCAGGATCACGAGTACGAGGCAGAGCGATGTCATCATCAAATCTATTTTGGTGGATACACGAGTGAATACTGCGCTAAAAATGTTGTTGCTGGAAAAGAAACTGAGTTTGACACCGAAAAAACCGATCGAATGATTGTCCTCTGTTCTTGAGAGTAATGGGCAAGTCAGTTGGGTGACTTTTTCCGTTTTCTGTCCGCTCTGGTCTAAGAAAAGACTGTTGAGGATAAGTTATGTTCGCTCTACAAAAAGTGTTCGGGATTCAACATTTGCTTCGATTCTGTCCCACGACGTTGCTTCATTCGTGTGGAGTCTTGTTGAGAGACGAGGCCTGTCTGACTATAAATTGTTGAAATCTATAGTTCTTTCGGAGTCTGCTTTATTTGGTGCAATAATCAAAGCAAAATTCCTTTCAAATCAAAAATTCTATTGTGTTTCTCACGCAGCTTCGGACGGATGCAAGACCGACGTTTTCGTCCCCAAAACAAAAGAGTCCCCACTCTTTCTGAGGTGTAACTTTTTACGTAGCCAAGTAAGTATACTCGATATTTGCCTTCTGTTTCCAGTGAGGACTTGAGCGACGAGAAGCAAAACGAAAAAGTAGAAGTCCGATAATAAGAGCAAAAAACTAGAACCAGACTGCGGCGCAACTCTGTCTAAGATTCTGACTTCTGTTTTGTGGTCTCTCGAATGATGCGCTGATACTACCGTCTGAAAATCATGCTAATACTTTAAAGAATTTGATCGAGAATTACTGCTACAAAAATAATTTTTCGTCAGCACAATTGCAGCTTGTTGGTGGCTCTCTCTTTTGCAGTCAGGATTCTGTAGTCGTTTGTATTCATTCATGCTTGTCGGAGCTCAGCATGTAATTCTGGATAATTAAACGTTCTTCATCAATTTAGTTCGACGAAATTCATAGTCGACGATCTTTATATCTTTAACCATGAGCATTAGCAGTTGTATAAAAATTCAAGCAAGATCAATCACTCAAAGAAAGGCACGACGATGAAGCGTTGGTCAATAGGTACTCTGGATTTCCAAATTATCATACAGACACAGTTACTGAGTCAGATGAGTGAACTTTTTTTCCGTAATTGTTTCGATTTGAAATAATTGTGAGGTAAAGTAACGTATTCGTAGCGTATGATGGTCTGACTTTGTTGTAATGTATGTCGTCGCCTATTGATGATGATACCTAATGGTAATGAATTACTTCTTTGGGACCCGACCTTTAAAATATAAAGATGGAGGCAATGAAAATGTAGCATCGAACATCGCTGAACATTCTGGTCGTGAAGCCTCATGGAGAGAGAAAAGCGCTTCCCGTCATGGCAGACTTAGATGGAGTGTGGACACGAACAGGATACTTCCAGGATCAAGGAGTTGCTTCTACGCAATTCAATGTAAGAATGAGAACCGGTGGCCCAACGATCATCGTGGCGCCTGCCACGGCGCACACATACGAGCTTTTCGGTGGGTTGCTTCGAGCGACGATAGGGCGGGACATGTTAAATACTGCGAAGGGTGTTGACGTGAGCCACTCTAGTGCCGTTTCGCCAGTATTAAGGAAGATACCTGGCCAGCACTGTTTGTGTTGCTTTGCCGATCGTAGCATTAGCGCCCCACTTTTGTCGGAGTTGGAGGCTTGCGGTCCAGTCGTGTCGGTGAAGGCGCAAGACACAAAGACCCACCAGCTTGGTTTTTCTACGGACGATGGAAAGCAACCCCCGTCACCATCCTCAGGCCCTTTTCTGTACCACATCAAGTCCACACTCATTTCCTCGACACCCTTAAAGAAGATGCAACAGTTGATGCATCTCATCTTCGAGGCAAATCGCTCGGTGTACGATGTCGTCGTAAGAATGCCCGCGAGCTGCGCAGGCGTGGCTTTCTACAGTTGTTTGGTTTTGTTACCAGGTGGCCTTGGTAAGTGGTTAGCACATCGCTTTGCTGCCTACTTTATGCCTCGGCTGATGCAGCGGACGGACAAGTTGTGCCGGAGAATTCGAGCCGAGTTGCTAGGGAAGAATGTCTCGGCGGTGGTGCTCGATTTTGGTGCTGGCAGCGGGGCCTACCTGAAGTATTGCTATGGCCGAAAGGTGTCACGGTACATTGCCTTGGAACCTGACACGCTGATGCATGAGAACATCCGTGAGCAGGAGCGACGCCTGCGCACCAAGCTGGAGGAGTTGTCCTCCACCGGCATACTAGAACAAGGGAGTCAAAGGAGATCTGTGCAAGAGAAACTCGATTCTTCGACTGAAAGCGGATCGATTTCAGCGCTCGAAGATGTCACGACATCTTCTGAAGACACCTCGAGCACCTTCCTAGAAGCAGGAGCTCTTACAACACCGGCAAATATACCAATCCCTCCTACAACTACAGAAGTAGACGATATGCAGAACTGCAATGAGGAGTGGCCGGTAGTAGCGACGGATGGGCGGCCAGAATTACGAAAAACAAGGAGTGCCGGAAGCGCTGGTGGTGACGGTGTAGCACAAGGCGGAAACGTTTTCGTAAGTTCATCTGATTCTTCAGGTGGTGGCAGAGTGCGGAGCCGGGAGGACGATGAGAACAGTGCTGCATCTGTGGAGATGCGAACACAAAAAATTCGTAAAGAAAGCGAGGTAGCTTCGAAGGTGGTTTTACCAACGGATGTTGCGACTGGCGGTGATGGAGTAATGCTACTTCTAAAAGATGATACACTTCCAGGTCCGAAGAAAATGATGGCTTCCGGTGCTACAAGTGATGCCACAACTACAGCAACTGCACCGGTGGTCGAGATTGTTGGGGAATTTCTATCAGAGTTTCGCCGACAGAAGGGCGAGGATTTTTCTGTCGACTGGATTATTCTTGGAAACGTGCTCTGCGAAGTGCCAGATCCACAGGAGATCGTTCGCGATTTGGATGCTTTGTTGCGACCAGGCGGGTTCGTGTATTTCTCCGAACACGTAGGGTACCTCCCGAAAAACAGCTGGCACCGGTGGCGCCAGGACATCATTGCGCCGTGGTGGCAGCGCGTGAGTGACGGGTGCAACTGCAACCGCGACACACTAGAAATCATGAACAGCGCTGCGCCGTCCTGGGATATACAGAGTTTCGAATTCGATGACTGCGGAGCCATGCCATGGACCTCACTTTTCCAAATCGGTCTGGCGCGGAAAAGGCCGGAGTTGAATGTGTAAGTCTTCGTTTGTCGTGAAAGAGAAGGGATGGCCGTCTGAAAATTCGTTCAATTCATTACGTAGTACTAGAGTAGATACTTGTGCTGCGTATATTATCATCATCATTTAAGGTTTTTAGTCATGATCTACTAGTTATTGAGTTTGTTGGTTTAGTCGTTCTAAGAGAGAAGTTCATCACTATGATGTCAAAACATGGTAAACTTTGGAGCTCGTGAGGATCATGTCCTAGATCGTAACTCAAATAGGAGATGACCGTCACAAGTCTGTTTGATAGAGTGTCTCGTCGTGTACTACTTAGATATATAGACCTACTTTGGAGAAACCACTCAATGTTTGATTCGACTTGAAAAAGAACTCTACCATTCTTGGCTGCTAGTCAAAGCGCGCGAGCATTACGCGCATAAAGCATTTGATATTGAATTGAGGGGGACACGGAGTTTGTGATAATTTCATTTGGGATAGGTTTATCGATCTTAATTTTCCATCGTTGGACTGAAGTTCATGATCATAGTTGCACTCTAACGATAGTCGACTTATCGTTAACGAAAACGAACAGTAGTGACATCAGAGTTTTAAGTAATCTCTTTCCCGGCAACCCTGCATGACTCTATGGAGAAGGAGGAAATCGTTGGCCTACCTCAACGTCTTCCTCTATGGAGAAGGACCATGCTTGATTTCCCGCGGAAACATCTACGCAGACGACGCCATTGCAAATTGTCATGCTATTTAATGGTATCAGGAGCACTGAGTTGAAAAAGTTGCACCTCTATCATGATCAGAATTTTTAGTTGGAAAAAGTAAGAAGGAGAAGCGTTAAACCGGAAATAGAGCAAAGTTTTTGAAGATCTCTGTGTTTCTTTAGTTAGCTAATCGTTTTTTGTTGTTGTTGTAGAGGTAGAATCAGTCTCTCTGGGGTAAATCCGAGAGGCATTAACATCTTTCCTATTTTTGGCCAACTGCATCCGTCGCGCTCCGCTGTTCACACAGGTTAACGGCATGCGTTAGCGGAAGTAGGTCACCGGCATCACGCGAGACGTTGTGCGGAGGTCAGACACGATGAGGATCATGGCGTGTTGTGCTCGATATGCCGTTTCGCTGCAGCTCTGCCGAGTATGTCAGATGGAAAGGCTGCAGCTTTGGGCATCGATATGAACTTTTTTTTTCACATAATTACCATATAATGTAATGAATGTATTGGTTTGGACGGAGGCAGAGTATTGTTCATTGAAGGAAGATGCTAAATCATGAATCATCCTTGCCTGTTCATTCTATGTTCGACTAGTACATTAATATTCATCCTAGTTCTTATTTTTCGAAGGCTTCCACCTCCCGATATAACGCGCTGCTGTGTGCTACAATGTTTTACGCGTGTGTGAGAAGAACACTCGTCCTGTGACGATTAGGTATCCGTAGTTCTGCATACGATAGCTGAGGAACAAACGTGTTGGGGGCTAACTCTTTTTACTGTAGTTTTTTTTGATTCAAGGACATTGAATTGGAACGAGAAGATAATCTTAACCCGTGAGGCCCACGTCTTGGGTGCGTGTTCAGGAACGGCAGAAAGTGCAATTCACCTGATAAATCCATGTTGGACTGCGGCTTGCGGCAAGAATGTTTGGTAATAAATTCGGTAATTAGAAGCATGGCGGCTCCCATTGATTAGAAATCTAAACGGTGATGATACGCCTTCGTTCAGCAGCTGCATTTTGCCTTCTCGGTTTCCTGCGTGTTGCGCGTGCGCCAAGATGCATCTTTGCGTAGAATCGCGTGGCTCTATCATTTTTAGCAGAATGGGCAAAAGTTGAGAGCATTATAGAGCTACATGGAGCAAGATGAATAACGCAGCTCGGAATATAAGAATATAGAATTGGATGAAAAAGCATGAGAGTTCCCGTCACACGGTTACTAGTACCTTTGCGCTTGTCTCAGTCTCGTCGCTTCTTTTCACAATCATGTCCTACCCCTTCCTGTGCCAGGCGTCTTCTCATTGGTGATCCGTTTTGTAGAAGCGACATATCACGTGATTTTTCAAGAAGTCGTTTTTTAACAAGCGTAATACCGGTTTATAATCAGTCGATTTTCGAAGCACATGCACGCTCGTTGATCGTGGTGCAGCGTATCTCTCGGTGCGTTATTAGGCAGTTCCGCTCATCGGCTCAGGCATTGATTAATTTCAACTCGGCAGTTAGGCCAGCTTTGTGCGAGTTGCGGGCATCGTATCTGAAAGTATCGCTTTCAGAAACAGCAAGTAGCTTTTCGCGTTCAGTTTCGCGCGGACGCTTGTGTGGCCTCCAACTCACAACAAGGAAAATGCACGCCGCTGCAGGAGAGGCTCAGAATGCACCGTCACGTCGAACGTCCTGGTGCAGCTGCGCCGGCGGCAGAGACAAAGACGTGGATGACAAAGACGACGCTGAGACTGTGGAAAAGCGCAGTCCACCGCTTGCGCGTGAAGCCGCACAAGAGGTGAAGATCGGCTTCGTTGATGGCGAAGATCGGGGCCCGAATCCGATGCGTCCGCCACGAACGAAAGAGGATTCGTTCTACTGGTTGCGCGACGACAGCCGCGCTTCGCCTGAAGTCCTCCAACACCTGAAAGACGAAAACGCGTACACGAGATACACCACGACGAAAGGAGCTTTGAAGGAATGTGCAGGGCTCGAAGAGGAGCTGTACAAGGAGCACCTGTCGCATTTGAAGGAGACGGACGCGCGACCGCCGTACGCTTACGGCGAGCATTGGGAGTACTACACGCGCACGGTCGAAGGACGCAGCTACAAAATCCATTGTCGCCGACCCCAGAGAAGATCTCTGGCGAAAGCAGAGGATGCTGCAGCAGCTACGCCTTCCGGAGGGGAAACAATAGTTTTAGACGAGAACGTTGTGTCCGGGGGTCAGGCGCAGTGCGACATCGCTTGTGTTGCAGTATCACCGTGTCACGACTACTTGGCCTACTGTGTGGATTTCTCCGGCGATGAGGTGTACGACCTGCGCATCGTGAAACCCGGCTCGACAGAGACCTTGGACGAGGTGAAAACGGTAGAAGATGAACACATGCTTTCGGGTAATGTCGCGTGGAGCGCAGATTATAGCGGTATTTTCTACGTGACACAGGACCCAACGACACATCGCCCTAATAAACTCTGGTTCCACGAAATTGCATGGCCTGGTAAGAACAAAAAGGACGACGTTTTCCTCTTTGAAGAAACGGATGCGCTTTTTGTGTTGGACATAGGGAAAACAAAAGACGGACGATATTTATGTCGGAATTCGTGCAGCAGTGAGACTACTGAGGTCACCCTGTTGAATCTAGAAACCCTGGGCCAGAACAAGACGGGGGAGCCAGTTTTCACACAAATTGCAGTGCACCCTCGAACCTTTGGTTTGCGGTACGAAGTAGAACACTACGGAAACAACCGGTTTGTTGCTCTCACGAACTGGGACAAAGCACAAAATATGAGGTGTCTAGTTTTTGAGGGAACAACAGGCGACGAAGACCAGAAAGTTCTCTCATTTCCTGAAACGTTTGGAGGTTGGAAGGAGCTTTTTCCGTACGAAGAGAGCCGCGAAATCGCAGGTATCGAGGTTTTTCGGGACTTTCTAGTTTTTGAGGGTCGCGAGCTTGGGCTGACGCAGATATGGTGGCTCGACATGACAGCACCAGCATCGAGCAAACACGAACTACGCCTGATAGAGTGGCCAGAGCCACTTTACGAAGCGAATGTCAGCATCAATAAGAATTACACCGCTGACTACTTGCGCGTGCACTACTCAAGTTTAACCACGCCCTCGACTTGGTACGAATTTTATCCGTCTCTTATTGCGGAAGCATCAGGAGCGACCCAAAAACCTTTTCTGAAGAAGGTCCATGAAGAGCCGGTGCCGAACTTCGACGGAGGGAAGTATACGTGTGCGCGGACGCATGCTCTGGCTGAGGATGGCACAAAGATTCCGATTAGCCTTGTGTGGAACAAGGACCAAGTTGGAGTCGCGTCGGCCGAGGAGCTCTTAAGGCGGCGCGCGGCTTCACCGCTGCTTCTTTACGGGTACGGCGCATATGGCTGTTGCTGTGAACCCGGTTTTGACCGTGATGTGATTCCATACCTGGATCGAGGTATCATTTATGCGATCGCGCACGTTCGCGGCGGAGGCGAGATGGGCCGCAAATTGTGGTACGAGGATGGCGGGAAATATCTTAACAAAAGGAACACATTTACGGACTTCATCGCCTGTGCCAAGCACTTGGTACGCAAAGGCGCAACAGCGCCAGAGAAAATGGCACTGGAGGGAAGAAGTGCGGGTGGCCTACTCGTAGGCGCGGTATTGAACATGCAGCGCGAAAGGAGAGATGGAGATACCATCCCAAAGGAGAAGGTAATCGTGAATGTGATTGTTTCATCTTGCAGGTAGTTGTACAAAAGGAGAATCGAGAATGGTAAAGTTTGACATTCCACCTTGAGTAGGTGGAGTCGTGAGGATGACATGATAGTATGACATCCATGGAGGAAGAGGATTATTAGCGTCTCACAGTATGCACACCTAGTTGACTCGATTCCGCTCCTCACAACTCTACAGAATCTCTTTCGCGTGGCAGTGGCAGGCGTGCCTTTCGTGGATGTTTTGACGACGATGTCTGACAGTTCCATCCCGCTCACGGTTGGAGAGTGGGAGGAGTGGGGAAACCCCAATGAAGAGAAATTTTACGAGTACATGAAGAGCTATTCGCCAGTTGACAACGTTCTTGGTGCCCTTGGGGATGAAAAAGGCCAGAAAGTCGTCGGAGATGCTGAAAAAGACAAGGAGAATAAAACGACTGTGATCATCCTTGCGGGACTGCACGACCCTCGTGTCGCCTACTGGGAGCCAGCGAAATGGGCGCAGCTCTTGCGGAAAAGAGCCGACGCGTATGATAAGATACTGCTGAAAGTTGACCTCGATGTGGGCCACTTTTCCGCGAGTGACCGCTATCGTCACCTCAGGGAGACGAGTTTTGCTCAAGCGATTGTAATACGAGAACTGCTGGGTCCGTAGAGCGCAACAACGTTGAATTGCTGCGTCGCTTGAAATTTGGAGGCCTCGACTACGACTAGCAGAATTGGCGGCTTCAGACCGGGGATTGTGGCGAGGCCCTCGCCAGTCCATCAGGTGAAATTTTTTCATGTAGAAGAATGATTCCAAAGTGAGTGGTTCATTGCGAATGCAAAAACATGCCACAGCCTACTAGCTTATGCTTTGAGTGGATTCCCACCGCTCATTCCGTCATGTGGTTGTAGATGTTGTCTTTGGGAATAAAGTGGTGAGGTCCGTTGTTAGAAATCGGAGGCTAAATAAATTGCTTTCCGCTAACACGAAGATGAAGCACAACGATGTAAGATAGCATTTTACCTTAAAATCTAGGAATGGTTTGCTTGTTCTTCCGCGAGAATAGAGCGTCATGACTAGGAAAATGTATTTCTTTGATCTGCACCGGATCTACAGACCGTACATCGAAACAATAAATGAAGTCTGGCGCCCCAATCGCGCATTGACAAGTAGATTCCGAATTTCTGACGTACCTTTGGAACGCAGTGCCCACATTGAAATCTGCCTCGGCGGTCTCCCCCAATTTGATCTGTTTTTTCGTGCTTTATGTTTAGCATCGATTCCTTATTTCATCCAGCGCTTAGATAGTGTCTTCAATCACTCTGGTTAGGTAAGAATGATAAATTCTTAGAGGTCAAAGTTGTTCTTGTTTTTGTTCAGAAAGCGTGCATTGCTAGTTATTTTAAAATGTTGGAATGCTTGTTCGACTTCTACAGCTTTCGTGATGCTTTGGGAGCTGATGTATGAAGGTGGACTAACGCTTTTGGCTTTTGATTCTCAGCATTATGGGTGGAAAGACTCGTGGTGAACGCAAGGCTGCGCAACGGCGGCGCCGACGTGGGGAGCCAGCTGACGAGGCGGAACGACGTGCGCTCGCAGGCTACCTGAGTGCTCGCGGTCTGCAGATGCTTGAGATAGCGGAGGATGGAAATTGCTTATTTCGGAGTTTCGCGCGTCAAATCTATGGCGTCGACGATGTAAGCCATTATTCGGCTGTGAGGGATCGGTGCGCCGACGCCTTGGTCGCGAACCGAGAGGAGTACGAGCTCTTCCTGGACGAAGATGGCGATGGTCCCTTCGATACCTATGTGGCAGACCTGAGGAAAGACGGTACGTGGGGTGGGCAGTTGGAAATCCTGGCGCTCTGTCGCACGTATAAGGTCGGCGTCATGCTCTTTCAGCGCGACCAGCGAGGAGGGGCGGAGACTGCTACCCCAAGCGCAGCGGATAAGAACCGGCGGCGCAAGAACAAAGCCGGAAACGAAGCTGCGGATCTGGCAACCGAATTCCGCTTTCACTATTACGACATAGAGTGTCCAGTGCTGTTAGACGAGGTGGATGACGGTGATGAAATCGACGCAGCCACTGAGCAGAGCACGACGATTACAGTTGCTGGGAAATCGTCCCCACCACAAACTGACAGACAGCAGCATGAAAATGAAAAGCTCTTGGAGAAAGAAGGAGATTGCGCACAGGGCTCCGCTGCAGAATCTGAGGACAAAGCTCCTGCGTCTGTGCGACGACGAGGAAGGAGAGCAGAGAAGAACAGTGAACGGGCCGCCGTTAGTGAGAAGCAAGCTCAGCATATGAGGAATGCCAGAAGGAGATGTCGTGGCAAATGCATCCTTCTGGCTTATGTAGGCGGCGATCACTACAATGTTGTTCGTTTGGATCCCACGGAGGGTACTTCAACATCCATACTGGACGATGGTGCAGCTCTACCGACGTTGGAGGCTGTGAAACAGTTGTTGCACGATTCCGCATTGGCTCTAAATCAAGCAAGGAACGGTGACAAAAACGGAAAACAAGCGTTCAAGAATGGTACAGGAGACACGAAAGGAATTTCCCTCAGTGCTCATGGCCCAGACGATAGCAAGCATGGTACGGCAAATTCAGGACTGACTGGGGACTCCGGCTTTGTAGATTTCGTGACGCAATTGGAAGAGTGTCTCCCGGATGGTCCTAGCAAGCGAACGCTGCTATACGACCAGAATCGACTCCGACGACACTTTACAGACCACAAAGACGACGTAGATGATGCAGTCGAAACTATGCTTGAACAGTTTCTGGCTTGTGATCTTAACGGAACTGATACCTGAAGATATTATGATTGTCCCTACTGCGCTGTACCCCATTTCCAATCCCGCGCAAAATTGATATCGTTTGGCCATGCTTACAATATATTTATCCACGAGGAGCAAGGCTAGGCCAATCTTATGCTGGCTTAATCTATCAACATTTTTTATTCATGGCTTGGAGATGGATCTTTGACATTTTGTCGGTTGAACTCGAACCCTGTCCGAATATGTCAAACGGAAGTGAATTGGTAGACTGTGATGGTAAAAAGCGTACTGAAAAGTTGAGAGATATGGATATGGATGTACCAAACAGGAGCTAGTCGAGTTATTTGAGTTCTTCAATTTCAAGAATCGGACTTATCATTCCAGAGAGACAAAAATATTTCTGTCCACTGCGAAGGAAGTCAGCTTGTTTATGCAGGTCGATAAATTTGAAATCAATCTAGAAGATGTCATTCTGTCAGAACTTACTATGTTGAAGGTTCATCTGTGCGTTACTTGAGGAGAACGAGAAGGTCATTGAAAAAAGCGAGCGACAGAAAAGGATGAAGACAGGAGCCCTGCTTTTTATGTGACGCTGTTAGCAGTCTTTTTTTCGGTAACGTATGAGAGGGATATCTTGTTTTCATCTCACTTCCTTGCAAAAGAGAAACAAATTGGTAAGCAACCACGTTTAGCTGTGATTCAGCTTGGTGTAAAGCAAAGCGTCAGAGTCCCGCAAATAAGTAGTATTGACAAGTTTGGTGTGCAGCATCAAGGGCTCAGTTTTCTCTCAAAGTCTCAATGGCGTAGTTGCACGAGGGATCGATCAGCCATGCATGTGCGTATGTTCTACACGGCATAGGCACTAGAGGTTGTAGGAAGTGGTACTAGAGTACCTCTACTCCGAAGGCGGGGACGAGGATGGTGTCCGTGGGGAAGATCCTGTACGATTTACATGCGGATCTCAGGGGACTCAAGAGCGAGCTCGATGCCGGGACCGGTTCGACGGATGGCTTGCGAGCGCGTCTCGATTTGGCTGAGCAGAATCTCCGTAATAAGGCCGCCGAAATTTTGGCTTACCAGGCACAGCTAGAGTGTCAGGGCGTGTCTACTTCTTCGGCATTGGCTTCGCGAGGCAGTTCGCGGCAACGGCGGAACAGTCAGAATGCTCGGAAGCAAACGGGGACTGCGGCTTTTATGGCCCAAGGCCGCGCGAAGACGCCGAAAGGCAGCGCGGCAGCTGCAAGTGCAGCTGGCTTTCTGCCGAAGGAGGTCAGCGGCGGGTCGTCATCCTCCACCGCGCCGCCGTCACGACCTCGGTCGAGATCGCAGGTCTGCCGAAACAGGACGACGCAGTCCAAAAGGTTAGACACTTTTTCCTTCGAGGTAAATCTAAATTCTCTGAATGGCTTGCTTTTGAAGAACATGAACAAGAAGATTTAATTTTACTTAGAAATGTATCCCCAAAAAAAAAGGATTTTGCCACGCATCAATCGAGGGAACCCGACTGCGCAGCGTCCGGAACTGCAGAGTGAAGACATGGAGTGTGGACTATACTCATTGACGAATCGAGGCTTTCTCCCGAGCACGACCGACCTCACGCCAGGGCTGCGTGGAGTCATGCAGCAGAAACGGTCACGGATGTATCATCCTAACTCGCGCGCGCTCGCGAAAGGAATGACGGCGGTAAACTTGCCACAAGCACTTGTGAAATTGGATCTCACACCTGCAGTACCGTGTCCACCAAGACGGCGACCCGACTCCGCGTCACGAGAACCGCGTGCGGGCCACAGAAGTTACATGAATGGCACAGGTACATGTGTATTTTGAGAGGTTAAATGTTGTCCATCCTGCAGCAACGCGTCGCCATTGCCTGTGTGTAAGAATCTACCAAGTATCTTCATCTTCATGTTCATCATGTTCTATAATTTGTGTACCAGGTGAATGCGATGTCTTAGTGCCGATTTCGGACTTGCTTCCGGCTCTGCCACGGAGTGCGCCAAGTCCTATGCCTCCGATGATGTCAGAAGAGGAAAAGGCATCCTTGAGTCAAGCGATAGTATTACGCGATCCTACTGAGGCGGACGCGGAAAGGCGGCTTTTCAGGGACGAGAGCATTGATAAGCTAGCCAGAGGCCAACGGAGGCTGCACGAGCATGGTGCGGGTATTGAAATATCAAAATTTGAATGAATTTTACAGTTGTAGTACGAGTCGAGGTTTTGATAGAAGCTTTCTTTATCTTGTCTATCAAGATCTTTTTTGAGCTTAGAAGTCAACATCAGAATCAAGATCAATCGCTGGTACGCAAGAATAGTAAATCATAACTGCGTGATGTGTAACAGATTCCGCTGCTGACGATGGTGGTGGTTTCACCTTCATTACGGGAGAAGAAGGCTTGCGGAGTGCTGAATCAGCGACCAGCCCGAGTCGCGCGCTTTCAGGAGCAAAAACTGCGGATGGCGTGAAACGGGAGGTGATTGCTTCAGAGACGGACGCGCTCCTTGTGAAGGAGGTCTTCAATATCGACCGCGGTTCGCAGGATCTTTTGTCGAAGGAGGTGTACACGATCGACAAGGAGCGAGACCGGCTCCTCAAACGAGAAACGTTGACGGTCGACAAACAGAGCGGCATTGTTTCGAAAGAAAATTTCTATTTCGTCGAGGACTTCTGGGCAGGTGATCTGGCTGGCGAGCTTCTGCCGAACGCGCTTCTGCAGCGCTTCTGCCCCTCTAGTGCGGCACTCGAAGCTGCAACTCGGTCTCCAGACCTTGAGTCGTCAGGTGCTGATGGAAACTCGCCTCTCAAAAATGCCACCATTAATCCGCAAGGCCTGATGAACCCGCGCGCCGTATTTGACGGCTTGCTCGTTGGCGATATGGTCGTTTTCAAAGAGGCGTACACTATCGAGCGGTCTTCCAACACTGTGGTGGGGAAAGAGATATATGCTTTAGACCCGCTAAGTCGTAAGATCCTTCTAGCAGAGGACGACATGGACGAACACTCTACAAGTGTGAGCGTAGTTGCTGGCCCGGCTTTCGACAGCGAAGCGGCCGTACATTATGAAGACTCGATCGACCAGCGAGATGGGGGTGATACTCGTGCTGCGGCGAGTGGCAGTAGGGCACGCGGGAGTAGGCGTTCGCACGGGAAAACGGGCGTGCAAAGCTCACAGGACGAGCCGTCGTGCGGAAGCACCTCGTTGAGAAAGACGACATTGCGGTTTTCGAAAGAGGACGAGTTTACTGCTGAAGAGTTTCGTCGTCTGTTAATGGGAGGCTTCAACCCCGTCGAGCATCCCGCATCTTACGCGCGTCTGAACATTCAGTCCTCTTCGACCGCGCGTCTGCATGATATAGCGGAGGGCGATGAAGCTACAGAGTCGCGCTACCACAAGGCGGCGCCGGCGGCGAGCGCTTTTGTCGGGCGGGGTTACCTCAGCAGCGTCAAAGATCCGGGCTCTGCTGGCAGTCAAGCTGGGTCACCACTGTACTATTCGGAGGAAGACGCTAACCAAGGAGAGGGTCGGGGCGTGCTGAGTAGTTTCCTGGCCGTACAAGCTGCTCGCGGCAATGATGGAATAAGCCCTGCAGCAGAAGGACTTGACGCGTTTGGTTTTGAAGCGAGGCCAAACACTTCCTTTGGAGTCGCAGGCGAGGCGCGTCGCAGTAGTCGTACGCTGGCTTCGGAAAAGAACGCAGCGCTTGGGCGAACAAAATACTACCATCAAGGTGGGAGCAGCAGTTCGCAGTCCTTGTCGGCGAGCGGCGCCGGAGGCGGTGCAGGGACACATCGGGGTCGAAGTCAGAGTAGGAGTCGCAGTCCGAGCAGGGGATCTCCCCTGGGTGGCGCGAATCTGTCAGGGATCGCCGGCGGCGGACTTGCGTTCGACAAGAATGAAGCGGAATCCGCCATGCGACGGCAGGTCTTGCAGGTTTACGGTCTCCAGGCGGTAGCTACGAAGGAGGAGAATGAGGGACTGGTGTGTATTCGCTACGGAAACATCTTCCAGGACCTGTCGTACCTGAAGCAAGAGCAGCGTAATAACTGGCCCAAACTCGTAGACTTGTTCGCGCTGCTCTGTCGCAAGCTAAAAAAGGCGCACTTTGCGGTCGTGGACGTGTCGCGACTGATTGATCTCATCTTCGCTGGCCGCGATCGGGATCCACTGGAGGTTCTGCGCAGATGCGTCCGGAATCTAGACGACCTGCTGCGGGAGTGCCGCCACAACAGCCGGCAAAGTGGTGAGGTCAACTGGCTGGAGCGCGAGAACCCTGGGCTCAAATTTCGCGGCAACGAGGAGGAGCGCCGACGGAGTGCAGCAGAGTGCATCTGGGGTGGCTGGCAGATGTTTCAGTGCAAGCTAAAAATGGCGTTACTTGTCAAATTTCACCGGGCTGCGCGACTCATTCAGGTGCATTGGGTCAGCTGCCAGAATCTAGTGGAGACGAAGCGTGCCATCAACATGGTTCGCGACGAAGAGCTGAAGCGGTTTGCGCGCTTGCGGGATCGCCATGAGCAGAATTTCGCAGTTCAACGTCAAGCCGGTAACAAGCGCAGACTCGAAGTGCATCTTCTGTCCTTATCCGGTGTTCCGGAGAATCGCAGAGGACAAATTCACGCCTTTCAGAGTGTCCAGAACGCGCAGCTTTCGAGACTTTTTCGGCTGGGATACTGTGGACCCCAGAACGACGAACCGCCCCCAGACTTGGTCTTGGTCTGCAGCAAACCCGTACACGACGACCTCTTGGAATATTTTGCGAAGGTCATGGAATATCGTGGCATACAGAATCCTCAAGGGAGGTTACAGTTAGGTGCAGAGCCATTGATGCTGGGTAGCTAATGTGAGTAAGTAAGTAAAAGGGATTTCCAGTAATTATCTCATGATACTCTCAAATTCAAGTTTGGATTGCGTGGAGATTTGTCCTCGCTGTTGTAGTATCCCCGATAATACTTACTTTTTTTTGAGGTCGTTTCTCTAAGAGTAGTCTTGGTGCCCGAAAAACTGGAGTCGGTGGCCCCTGCACACATGTCGCTGTCTCACTCGCTGCTGCTTTCCAAGCGGGCGATGAACCGGTTACGGGTGCTAATCCGCGGACGAGAGGACCGAACCGTGCTGGTGCCTGGACATGGGGTCACGTTTGCGGAGCTGCAGCTGTCAGCGCAGCTAAGTATCCCGCTCTTCGGCGCGAATCCAAAAAATGTGGACTATTTGAGTACCAAGTCTGCGATGCAGCGACTGGTGACGCTATCGCAGTTGCCAACGCCCCCTATGAGTGTGGACTTGTACGACGAGGAGGAGCTTTTTTTGCAGTTTGCTACCCAAATCTACGAAAATCCTACAGTACCGAAATGGCTTCTTAAAATCGACGACGAGTTCCGAGCCAAGGGCAATGTCGTCTTCCATGTCGACACGGTCGTGCGAAAGAGCATACACTTAAGAAACAGGTTTTCTTAACTCATGTTTAACAGGACTAGAAATGTTCGTTGTACTCCATTGTTTACATCAAGATGCAGGTCCTGCACTCAGTCTTGTGATGCAGTTTTTCTGTCCCAGCACGGAATTCTAATTCAAGAGGTGCAGCGGCAAGTAGTAGACAAGGTGTGGACGGAATTCGCGGCGAGCCGACGTTCGCAGCCTGCAGTGGACCGAATTCATGGCCTGTACGTAGTTCGCAGTAGCGGAAAGCCAGCACAGCATCAAGAAGAACGCGACCTGAGGGAAGCTTTAATCCGGTCAGCGAGGGATGTGCTGTTATGCACTGATTTTACTATTAAATAGAAAAAGTGTTCATTATTTTTATCTTGAAGACACCCGTTCGACAGCGACATGCACAGCAACCAAAAGTTCCTATTTCTGGTCTTTTACGAGTCACAACTTAGCAGAAAGGATTTTTCATGCTGGTGCTTGGGGTAATATTTTCATTTGTATCACTTGGTTTTTTTTCTTGGCAGCTTATTATCCCACATTCATAAACAGCCCGTTGTTTCTACCGAAAGGCGCTTTTGTGTGCTAGCGGCGAAATGTATCCAAATGAGATGGCGGATTTCGTCCCTGAGTTTTGCAGGCGAGGCGGCGTAATCCAAGCAGTGCCAACGGAGGAAATCTGTTGTTTCCCAAGCGTCCACTTCCAAATATCACCAGACAAGCGCGTGCAAGTTTTGGGTACCCTAATCTAGTTACCACTCCAGGGAGATTCACAAGATTTCATTTGCTTGTTGGTTTGGAGTTTCTCCTTCTAGGTCTATGTGTCCTACGACGTGCCCTCATCTTTTTTAGGTACTTCGGAGTTCATCTTTAGCGCTAGCTTCGAGCCAGTTGGTTGTTTTTTGCCACTGCAGAACCGCGAAAATGTGTCAATGCCGATTTGCGAAGCTTTCGCGCGGAACATGGGTATAATTTGGACATGATTTTTCCCCTATGTGTGTGCTAATCCTGTATCGTAAGTACCTGTTTGTATGAAAGTAGAAAGAAGAATACAGAACGAGGATCGGATACTTATTCTCATGATTTCTTTCTTTTTCTTCATAATCAGGACGAGTTCTTGCTTCCAAAGACATTTGGGGACACGCCTCTGTTGACCTGGTATGTTTCGAGAACAGCGACTTTGTCGAAGAGCGAGAGGCAATGGATGGTGGACAGACCAGCGGCGATTTTACGGCGCCACTGAGGAGTCCAGAACCGCCAGGAATGGACGACTCGGGTAAGAAAGGCTGGCGGGATCGGCAGAAATTTGCACTAGTCGAGCAAACCGTGGATGAATACAGGAGAAACGTCGTTGTGCCCTGCACCGTTGCAGGGTACCTAATGTTTGCTCTGAGAAATATAAAAACACAAGTAAGTAGTTCCAGACCTACAAAATAATTACGTTTTACGGATGCGTTGATTTTCTAGAAGTGCTTTTCTCTAGTACTAGCAAAGAAGTCCCAATTATGGTGAGTAATCAAAAACAGGCGATGGATTTTAATCTCGCAAAAATTTGCAGCTCGAAGAATGAAGCCCATCCAGTTTCGTTCTGGGTTGTAGACGTGGACGCGAGACTGACGGACACAGCGGCCGCTTTTTCAGCCTTGCAGTTTGTGGGACAGTGCGACTTCGGGAAAGACGGCAATCTACACTTGGCACCTCACGCGCCGGGATATAGCAGGACGGACTCCGCAGCGAACGAGCGAGTTGCACTTGTAGTCTTTCTCTGCGAAGTCCCAGGCCTAGCCTCCTGCACACACTCCCAGATCTTTTCTTAAGAATTGTAGAAACTTTCTTTGAAACAGAAGCACTGGTTGTTGTGTCACAGAAACAGATGTCAATATTGACCTGTCATCAATAAATCTAGCTCTACCTCTAGCAGCGGTATCCTCGTCAAGAGTAGTTTCGTTTCGCATCGGATTAGGATGGTAGCTCTAAATCTCCTTCTGCAAGTCGCGAAAAGTTACGTATGACTTGTTTCAGAATACGGGTGTGCTTTTTTTGCAGCTCGACCTCACACATGACACCGTATCCTTTCTTGTCATCGATCGCACGCCCAAGCTGTTGCTGGAAAAAACGCAAACGGCATTGCAGGTATTTGTGAAAAAAATTGTGTCGGGAAATGGGCAAGTTGCACTAGAAATGAAACTACAGCACAAGCGGGGTTTTCTGACTTTTTTCATGTTGGTTGATACACGCTCTTCCGTCATCGTTCTTAAAATCGACTCAGATTTTCAATTGAGCTCAATGTGTCGATTCAGGTTCTGCAAAACGTCTCCTTGCAATCGAGTAAATCAACGGTGGTAGAAGACCGCCGAGGTGAGGATAGCGTGCCCCATATTCGCGAGGTGGTTGCCGCAATTCGGAGCACTCGAAAGAAAATGGGTCTTCTATGATTTTTCATCATTAAGACTTCTTTTTCGACTTTTTGCATTGCCTGTTTTTTTTGTTCTTTTACAGTAGTTCAGCGTCCCCTACTTGATTCGTGACAGCAACTTCTAGCTCCAGTAGTGTAACCGTTCAAATTTCTTGCCTTTCATTCGTCAGACCTTCACTGGTTTGCTGATTGCCATGTAGTACCTAGTTCTGCCAGTCCGCGTTGCTATTAGCACATGGAATCTCTTGATCCATGATATCGAGGTAGATTTGTCTCATCACCACTTCGTGCGCGGTCCGAGTCCGTACCGGAACTGGTCTTCTTTTTTTCCTCGAGTTTTGAACTATGTTTGGTCTCCTGGCTAGATAACGCAATGTTGGTCTGAAATATCTTTGCCCGGGAATAAGTCCGTTCGATGTTTTACGCAGATCGATGCGTTAATCGTGATGTGTTAGTACCGACTGAGGTGCAGATTGCATCAACCCATGCCTCCACCTTCCTGGTACAAAATTGGCACACGATTGCACGACACTCTTGCTCGTTGAAAAAACTTAGTCTCGGTACGCAGACCCGAGGCCCATTCTGGGCATTTCGTTGCTCATATCCTATGGATTGTCATTGCAAAGAAAATACGATCCAATTTCGCCAAAAATGCAAAATTTATCATTGCAGTTTGCGCAATTGGATGGTCCACAACAATGACATTGTCCCTTTTATTATTCTGATCTCACATAGTCAAGTGTCCTTTTTTTTGGAACGTCCTGCTCTGTAATCTCCTTCCGTATGATGCTAAAAGTTAAAGTTACCGTCTGTTGTTGTGATCAATTCGGACATGGATTGGAGTATTTGCCAGATCATTTTTGTTTGAGATCTAGAGCAAGGTTCGTGCACGTTCAGGACGTAGAACGTAGTAGGTGCAGATTCTTCTATTCCATGCTATTCTCGTAATACCTCTCCCGCAGTAGAACGTGAAGGGTGCATATATTTTCTTGCAATGGAGGTTCGTGTTTGCTTTGTCGTGAAAAATTGAAATGAGAGCAGCACCAATCTCCGCTTTTGTGATTCATTTCTCCTTGTTTTGTTCTTCTTCTTTCTTGGTATCTATTGAACGACGGACTACCGCGCACTCGTCAGAAGAGCGGCGTATAAGGAAAGATGAGTAAGCGAAATCTTTGCACTATGTGTCGCGGTGTCTGCGACGACAGCGAGTCCTTCTGTGCGACATGTGCAAAGTGGTGGGATTTTTCCTCAGATTTTGGCAACGCCGATCTTAAGAGCATAGGCGCTTCTTTTGCGGGCATCTCGTCAGAGACAGCGGAGGTAAACAGCGTCCCGGCGGCTTCTACAGATTCGTGGCTAGATGTGCTAAATTTGCAGCAGCAACAGCCTTCATCTGCAGTACCTGAGGTGTCGGTTGCTCAGGCTGCTCAGTACAAAACTTCAACGACGGCTTGGCAGCCAACGACTACGAATTCGCACTTGAAAAGGCAACCCGGTCAGACGGAATACCAGCAAAAAAATGGCGGATACGATAACTGGCAGCCGGCCTCGACCAGTGGCTTCGAGCAGGTCTCAAATACAGCGAAGAGGAGGAAGGTCGACGACCCCGGGGCTCAAGGAGAGGGAATGTCGACTTTTCCAAGTTTCAAGCAAGAGCTGCCGCAAATGAACCCTTTCGACCTAGCGACCCCGCGGTCCTCGGCAGTGGATCTAACACCAGCTTCAAGCATCAGGAGCGCGCCACCTGCACTTTCCACGTCTACTTTCCCTTTCGGCATGAGTAAAAGGGCGCCTCCTTTTGAGCTTACTTCGAGCAAAGACAGCACTAAGGTCGGGGCCGATCCGAGCAAGAAAGGCGATGGCAAAAAGGGACTACCCGGAAAGGCCAACTTCGATGGCAAAAAAGGGATGGGCAAACAGAAAAATATATGTGGCAAGAATAAGAAAGGTGGTTATTCTTATTCGTATGACGAGGATTACAAAGAACACGAAGATTACTCAGCCGCTCAGGTGTTGAGCAAATTTGAATCGGACTATCAAAAAGTGAAGACACAAGTGGAAGAGAGGGGATACCAGCCTCCCGAAGGACGGTTTCTTGGCCGTTTTGTGGAATTTAAAGCAAAGTTCGGTTTCATTCGTGCTCACCCGTACTTTCACCGGAACAAAGACCCTGCAACAGGCGCTCCGCCTCCATACCCACTTCCAGAAGATACGGGGTCCAAAGACATCTTTGTGCTGCTGACCGAGTGCACCCGTGGCCTGCGAAAGTTCGAACCGTTTCAGGCGGAAACGTCGCAGGAATTCATTGCCCGTTCCGATCGGCGGTACTTGGACGTGAATACAATCGACACCACACAGGTCACGGAGTACCTAGCAAGACACCAGGAGGAGATCTGCGTTCTTTTCTCCATGGAGCAGAGCACTCGTACTGGGGTTAAGCAGAAGGCAATGGCGGTAGCCCTCGAATTTCTCTGGTGCGATCCCAAGACGAGTCTCCCCCTCACGGTGCAGCCGGAGCCAGTCAAGGTGCCGGACGATCCTGTCCCTGAAGGCAAATCGGCTTCGGCCCCGGAGGCCGCGGACTACGAAAAGCTGCACGATGGGTACGTGGTAACCTGGAAAAAGCATCCAACTACAGGGGGTTTCGGGTATCTGCGCTGCATTGACCTCTACGCGAGGCTGGGGTGCGACGTTTTCGTGAAGGGAGCGACGATTAACACGACACTGAGTGAACACATATATCGCTACGCCAGCAAACAGCATGTCAAAGGAAGTGCGTTGTCGTACGATCCGACGCGGATGCAAGAGGTGCTGCATTTGATGAATGTACGAGCTATGCCAGCACTGTGGAATGACAGTGCGGGAAAATACCTCGAAAAATGGCGTGTGAAAGCGCAGTTTAAAATCCACCAGCCAAGAAGAGATGCCAAGCCCGAAGCGTGGCACGTTACCATCTCTGAGTGAGATTGTCAAGCATGACTAGTGCGTCGAAAACGTCCCTTTTCCGACGAGATTCAACGCTACTTCTATATAAAGTGGTAAGTATTTGTTTTTGTATGACAAGAGGTAGAGTAAATAACCCACTAGTACCACGACGAGTGTTCCTATCCCTGCTTCAATCACCTTTGATGATGACTCCCTGATTATACCTATCCGGAGCATAGCGATAGCGGTCGACCTGAGGATAGCAACACCACTGGTGTCCTTTTTTCTGTGATGAAATCCCTAGTGTTCCTCTTGCGCGAAGGAGTCTGGTTTCTTTCAAGATAGAAGGTCAAAAACGAGAGAGTCTGTCGGTGCAAAGTTTCGCGCTCGACATGCTGATGTTCAAAAAGATATCTGTTCGGTTATCCTTCAACTTAAGGTTAGAAAGAACGAGTTTCTCTCCGCGGCTCTTATCTAGTAAGTAAATGATGCAATGCTTATCGATTTTGCGCACATTTTTCTGTTTGATTTCGCAATCTGGTGTCTAGAGGATATTTGCTGGAATTTGAAGTTTAGTTTCGTTCAACTTTTTCTGACTAAATTTATGCGACAAAACACAGGGTGTGCTCTGTGCAAAAGTTAGTCTTGAGTCAATCTTCAGTCATTAGTCTGCGACGATGCACTCTAGCGGCGCCAGGTTTCCTCGGCTTTCAAATAGCGAACGTTTTTTGCCACTACCCGATCCCGCTTTTTCTGTTGAAATTCTCAAATGATAATATGCGGCACTCCTACCGACCCCTAAAGGTAGGCGTATGCTCTTTGTACGGTGGAAGTATGTGACGATTAAAAGAGGTGTACCTGAGACTGTGGCAAGGCAAGTATAAATATTGTAAGTTTGGAAGGGTTCTTCTTGTACTTGTTCCTTGTTCTTCTTTCTTGTATCAGAATACATTGAGGTTGAGTTGTATGAATTTCTGTTACAATTGGACAAGACATAACATACTAATACTTACGCACCCGATAGTAATAAATTTCTTTTGATTGCAAAGTTATTGGGCAAGGCTTTACTTACGCACCCGATCGTAATAAATTTCTTTTGATTGCAAAAAACTCTGTGGTGCGGGCATCCACGGTCGGCGACTTATCGCTTGACGTGAGGACCAGACGCCACATCGCTGCTGCTTGGGCGAGGTGTTGCATCCATACAGTCGCTCGCGCGGGGATTGTGTTTTCCATCTGCGTTGCGCCTTCGTTCCATCGACGACTGATCCTACATGATGGTGTTGGGTTCTACTCCTTTAGCACCTTAAACGAGGTAGTCTGTCGCCCAAGAAAAAATGCCGCCTCGAATATTAGCTGTGTCGCCGGTGCTCCCTGGTCCGCCACCCTTCGGGCCTTTGCCTCCGCGACCGCCAGGGACGTTCGACCGCAGGGAGGGCGAGGACCAGACTTCGACGGCCCTGGCGCCAACGACACCAACAGAGCAGCGTCCGCCGGGCGCAGAGCGCACTGGCCGTCGACGCGGAGCAGCTGGTTTTTCACCGACTGTGGAACAGCTCGAAGTCATAGTGTTGCGGTGCTGCATCGCCGGTTTTTTCTGGCTCTTTCCAACTGCGCTCATCTGCCTCCGCGCATGGCAAGTCCGCGGCGAGCTGCACGACCTACCATTAATCCTTTGGGCAGCCGTGGCCTATGCGATTGGCGTCTTCAGCATCGGCATCTTGTCGTTGCTGGTGTTGCGGCGACTTGCGGTGAGCGGACCAGCATGCTTTCGTCGGAAGATGCCGCTTCTTGTCCCTATGGCATGGCTAGCGAACCCGCTGTCGGTGTTGGGCTTTGGAGTTGTCATAGACAACCAGGCTGTGAAAGAGTTGTGTTGCATGCCACTAGCCATGCTGCTAGTCATTGCTTGCTCGAATCGCAAACTCTTCGATTGTGCGAGACGGTACTTTATCGCATGTCAATCGCGGATCGACATGAGAATGAATGTAGTCGTATTTCGACTACACCTATTAAGTGTGTAGCTTGTTACTTCGCAGTATCTATGCAATCAATTTTGATGGTCGTGTATTGAATCTCTCCTACATCCAGGTACCGCTTGCGCCCCACAGCAGCGGGACTACAGAGTGAAGCCGGTCTCTGCTTTCTGACTCGTTTTCTCTTCCTGCTGTTCCCTCTGCTGATTCTGAATTTGCAGATTTCCTTGTACGGCGCCGCGGCCGATGCGCCTCACGACTGGTTCGTGCTAGAAAAGCTGAGCGGATTGGGTCTTTTCCTAAGCTCCCTCATTTTGAGCAAGTTTGTCGCCATGATTTTCACCGTCGGGAGTGGTGGAGAGCAGCCCTGTAGTGTTTTCAGAGCTGGACGAATTGCGTTTTTCGTCATCCTGCTCTCTGCGGATTGGATCTGCCTTTCGGTTCTCGTAAAACGGCAAGACCAGCATGATCATGGGGACGATGATGATCTGGAGGACCTCTATGCGAAGTTGCGGCTCACGCTGGTTCTCCTCTCCTACTTGATGGGATGCAACTTGCTCCTCTTGTCAACCACGCCAACGGGACGTCGATTTGTGAAGCTGCTAGCCGACGCCATCGCGATGCGTGGCCGTGCGCGCGGCTGGGCGCCAGGCTTCATGCCACAGGCGGAGGATCGGCCCGATCCTAACACGCAGTTTTTACTGGCTCCGGAGCCCTTTAGCCGAGACTTGCACACTCTTGATGCGCGCCGAAAAAAGAAGCTTGCGGATCAGAAAAAAGTAAAAAGCGAGAGTGACGAGGATTCGGAGAAGACGGCTGATGCGCAAACCCGCACCGAGCACGCGGAGGGTACATTAGAAGGTAGTGAATCTCCAGGTCCAGCCACTGATCAGGCGTCCATGGCTGGCGCCCACTTGCGAAATCGAGAAGCCGTCGAGCAAGAGTTGGAGAATCCACTAGATCATGCTGGTCGTACTAGAAGCGAAGAGATTGCATCTGGGGGGAAGAGCTTGGCAGGAGACGAGCACGGGGTAAGGGATACGTTTCCTCATTGTACCTCATTAGAAACAAGTCCTTTGTGTTTTAGAGAAAATCAAAATTCGATGATTGATGGTTGGTGTGTCGCACTTTGTACAAGCTAATTAGCTGATTTGCTTTTTTTACAGGTTACAGAAGCCGAGCCGAGTAGCAGCAGCGACGCGCGTGCGCTTCAAGGAGGTTGCACCTCGCCAATAGGGGACGATGACGCATCTGATGTTGCGAGCACTGCTGCGCCTCCCTCTGATGTGTCATCCTTTGCCGCCTCCTCCGCACCCTCCACCTTGCGCAGGCACATAGCGCTGGATGTGCCCCTTCCAGCGGAGCAAGACCTTCATTCGGGAACTGCTTCATCGTCGTCTTCAAGAGATCCGCGTTTTTTGCCGAGGTCACAAGGTGGTGATCGAGCAATGATGGGCACGCAAGGAAGCGGAGATGGAACACAACCACCCAACGGACTGCCTTCATCTAGTAGTAGTCGTAGTATGCTTGACATGCTCACCGCGAGCTTCGAGCGAGCGTTCGCGCCAGTGCTCGAACGCGAGCCTGGTGGGCGTAGATCTGGTCGAAGGCAGCGCGAAATCGTCACGAGGAACTTAGGAGACGCATCCGCATCTAGCGCCTTATCTCTACTCAGTACAGGAAGCAATTCCAGTTCGAAGAAAGAACCGCTGCTGGCCTCGGACGCACACAGCTCCAGCAGCGGGAGCGCGCCTTGCTGTACAATTTGCCTGACGGAGTTCGAAGACGGCGAAATGATTCGGACCATGCCGGAGTGTGATCGTACTTTTAACTACTATGTCTATTTTTTAGCGGATTTGACTGACTCGTTTGAATCTCGTTGGATTTTCTATCAGAAAAATGAGCATTGCGTATGATTACATCCGCGTTTCTTTCCCACTGTCTTCAGATATCTTCCACGCGGGTTGTCTAGAGCGTTGGGCGCGCAGTCAAGGCAGCACCTGCCTTTGTCCTATGTGCCGACGGACAGCCTATACCGATACAGGACAAGCGAGTGATTGTCTAGCTTACATAGAGGCCCAGGAAGTGCGTGAAGCGGCGAGTTTTGAGGACAATCAGGGGCTTATTTCGCGAGCACGTCCACTGGCGCAGAGTCTAAACGTCGACATTCTGATAGCAGCGCTGACAGTACGTATATTAGACAACGATCTGCAGAGTTCGGCACACGTTCTATTGGAGCACAAGTCTCTGCTTGACCGTCTACAGCGCGGAAGGGCGAAAGTGAGGCCAAATACGAGAGAGGTACAACTATAGTTATACTATATAATTATAGATCCGACTTTCTGGCAGTAGCACAAATTTATTTACCACCATGTCGACAATTTTCAACTTTTTCGCCTGTTTGGAAACTGCCGTATAAATCTAATAAAGCAGATGGCCACTCCAAACATACAAGTGCTTCCACTGATGTTTCAGGTATTTCACTCGTGGGCAGACGGCATAATAGAAAAGGACGGGTGCTTGGACCAGACCGTGCAGCGAGGGTTGATGCTGCAGTTGCAAAGCATCGAATGGGACGAGGAGTTGTCGAGAATACTTTGGGCTGACTTGTCCGATCCCCAAAAAACACGTGTCTACAGTCTCATGATAGGCGATACCATAGACCGGCTAAACGGTGAAGCGTAAAGATTAAGCCTGTACGTCGATGTGTGATAGGTGAAGACGTTCACCATTTTGTGGGTGTGTCTTTGCCATTGATGTTTTCCCTCCGCATTTGCAGGTTTTTGACCTAACGATGACTTAGCTTTTGTCGCACTCTCTCAGATACAAGAAGTTGAGGATCTTTGTAATATAACGCAAAGTATTTTTATCACAGTATAGTTTATTTGAGTATTCTAGATCATTCCAATTTTGACCTCGCCCCGTCATGTATCCCATGAAAAGCTGCATCCATCCTCGGCTTTTTGCACATTTGCTCTCCCCCTGTCTACATCGGAATATGACCCGATTTCAGGAGTTGCTTGGTTGTAATAGGTGAACTCTCTTTTTCTCCATCTTCATATGTCATAAATACATCATTCATACTAGAAAGAACCTGTCAAGCATTAATTCAGCCAGAAAATCAAACGATAATGTATCCGGAGCCCACGCGCTGATACACTGACTCCTCGAGATCTTGTGGTCATTTTTTCGCCGACTAACTTCGCACAAAGACATCACCGTTTCCACTCTCTTTTTGACTCGAGCTTTTTTCTCTCTTTCCTCACTTTATTATCGGACACATCACTCACACTCAGAATCTGACTCTCAGATTGACTCAAGCCATAGAAAGAACCAATGAGCATCAACATCGATCCTCGTTCTACGCTCTCTTTGAGGGATTCCACAGTGGCAAAGAAAGGTCAGCATGAAAATTCAAATTTCTAGTACAGCATCTCTACGCGGCGGGGTCGTCGCCGAGCTGCTGTTATGGAGCATAGAATACACGCACAGGTTCACGTTGGATGATACTAGGCCGTTGTTGGTTAGGTCAGACTCTTAAGACAACAGCAACAGTCACCACTTTTCAATCGCTGTGAAAGGTATCTGGAGAGATCATGTTTTGTTTTTTAGGCAGACTAAATCTCTTTGGTGCGGATGAGTTCAGCACTGCGAAAAAGCGTCAGATTTCGATTTGGCAGTCTACAAATTGCTTCTGTCGAAAAATAGCAGCAAGTTTACTCCTTTGAAACAGAAGCACAGATACGTATTTCGACGTTTCCAGTTTCGCCGCATATTGGTATGTACCAATTTCTTTTTCTTTTATGGCAATGAAATCTATTTGTCAAGCTTCTGAGTAGCCCACAGCCCTCTTAGAAAAGAAATAGAAAATCCCGACTTCTGCACAAAGCGCAATGAAAACTTTGAAGAAATCGATGTCGAAGGCTTCACGGGCAAGCTTCAAGGCTGCTGCGAGCTCGAGCAAACTAGAAGCCGTTATGAAGGTTGCCAAGCCTGCGATGAAGTCAGCGGCTGGCACTCCTTCTACATCAATGAAGAAAGCGATGAAGATGTCCACCTCGAGCATGGGGGCTAAGCGACCGTCCGGTGCAGGAGGTGTTCTGGCAGGTTATAGCTCGAAATCGACCTCCGCATCTTCGTCATCTTCAAACCCCACATCGGCAGTGAAGATTACGCAACACCTGAGTACAGCAGAAGCCGATGCACTGAAATCTTCGCTTTACTTCATGCACGTTCCGGAATTGCGGAGCATTTGTGCGGAGAAACTAGGGTTGCCTCAGGATGGCACGAAGGATCTGCTGGTTCAGCGTATAGCGATTTACGTAGGAAGTGGAAGTAATGAAAATAAAGACACTAATGGCAGCAGCAGTAAACCAATACTGCAGAAGCCGAAAATGCCTGCAAGTGCAAAACTCGCTGGTCCTCCGGCGTTGGATCGGGTACAAGCATTGCCGACGAAGGCGCAGAACTTCATGGTTTACGGCGTGTACAAGAACGACTTAGTGCACAGAATGTTTTTCCAAAAACATCTGGGTCCGAAGTTTCATTTCACGGCGGCAGGAATCAAATGGCTCAACGCACAGTGGCACAGGGGCGTCCGGCCACGTTTCCAGGACTACATAGACTTCTGGACCAAAGACCAGGCAGAGCGATCCTCACCAGGGACTGGTACTGCGGAGAAAGCTATGGGAGTAAAGAAGTCGTCGGGCGCAAAGTCCTCCTCAGACGTACCAAAGAAGGGCAAGATATCTAGCGAACTAGCCACACTACAATTCAACCAATTTCAGACGCGCAATGCAGGATTGGGTAGAGAGGAAATGCTAGAAAAATGGGAAAATGAACGCATGGGACACAAGAAATGTGCAGAGGAGTTGTTGCAACGATGTCTGGTGTTGAATAGATAGAATGGTCTTTGTGATAGAACGCACAGAGCTTCTGTTTCCTGTGCTGGTAATTCGCATTGATTCATTTCAAATCAAGAAGTTTTTCTTTTGAATTCCCTCCTGAGTTTGCTTTGAGGCTCTCTTGACAAAACACGATCAATCTGCTTTGTCATGCGAAACTTTCAGGATACCGACCTTCAGTCGATTTTTTAGAAAAAAACCAGCCTCCGAAGGAGTTTCAATTTATTCGTGGATCCGTGTGTGGTAGTGGTACATAGTCGAAGGCATCTATGCAGAGGAGCCGTTTTCCTTTTAGCAGCTGGTTTGGCATCGTGTTCCTTCTTTACACGGCGATTGTTAATTGCATGCGATGGACAGGGATATTGGCTGCGAAAAAACGGCAATCTTCGCGGCGATATCAAATATCATGTATGATACTAACTGGGAAGGATCAACAGGGGACGAAGTAGCATCGTGTTTGCGCTTAGAGGTTGTCGATTAGGTCGCCCTGCTATGAAAATAAGATGCAAAGGCATGATGATGATGCAAAAGATCCAATGTCGTCGTGCTCGATGGTGCTCAGCGATCATGAGCTCTGGTGGGAAGGAAAGACAATATGATGAGCCGCGGTTTGCGCTTTCCCAGATCTGAGTGAAAGATCTAACTTGAGTTGGGCGGGCAAAATAATTCTCTCCTTTGTGTCCCATTTGTGTTTTTCCACTAGTAGTATCTTTTGTCGTGTTGGAGGTTTGTTTCTGTGACGTGGAGTCGAGTGAAACGTAGTATCAGATAGACGTAAATATGCGCCAGGTGCTTGTTCGGCTTTTCTCCTTGTGCTTGGTCACTGTCGCTGAGTCTTCTCTCTCCGCCGATTCCGGTTCGTTTTCTCAATCGTCGTCGAGCGGCGATCTTTCCTGCTTGCCACATGAAGTTTTGCACAAGACCCGCGGTTGCAGCAAAGTGGCGTCTGAACCGTCCGATCCTGCGATTTCGCCGCCGTTTCTTTCCGCTTCACCCACCTCGAGCAGCACAACAACTGCAGGGAGCAGAGGAAAAGTTAGCGATGGATGCTCACAATCTTATCCGCATACATGCGAGGGTGCACAGAGAGAAACGCCATTTTTGAAGACGTCTGGAAAAAGTAGTCCAAGGTGTTACCACAGTGCTGGCGTAGATCACGCGAGTCGACGCCAGAGTAGTTTGAGCGATACGCCATGGGTTACTTCAAGTCCACCGGTGTCAGCGGCGCTCCTCGCAGCTGCGGCAAGAGAGGGTGAACCGTGGCTCGTTGTAGACGAATCTGCCAGCTCTGATGAGGACGTGCTGGTTCGACGTATCGAGCACTTCGGTTTCTATAGTCCATTCTTCGCGGATAACGGCAATGGCACGCACTATGTTACTTCCTCCCAGGCACATCATGAGCAGTACCATAGAATCAACGGTGATGGATTACACGAGGCTTTGACTTTCGCAGCGAACAGACACATGATGGATCGTCGCCAACGTCGCCCGCCATATGATGTGCAACACGACCACGAACCACTTGATGTGCAAGAAGAGCCGCGAGGTCTGAACGTGCGTATATGGAGGGCGGCATCGACAGCTGCTATGGCTGCCGGCGCGCGCCTTGATGCTGTGGGAAATTTGAATCGAATGCGAGCACTTGCGGAAAGGCGTGCTCACGTCCGGCAGACGCGAAAGGCGTTACTCTTCGCCGCGTTTGCAATATGTAGTGCCGGGAAGAGCATTGTAGATGTGTGGCATAGTGCGCAACATATTTGCACAGACCACGAGCGTCGACCTGGTGTCGCAGAAGGTGGCCTACGAGGTCTTCGAACAGGTGTAAGTAGAGGAATATGTGATATCGTCGGGGGTGAGAACGAAAATCCTCTTCAAGAAGAGCACTGCGGAACTAGTAAGTGCAGAAGCCGGTGGCGTGTCGGAGAAGCAGGGACAGGTGTAGCGCAACAGAGAACGCCATCTCAGATAGCGGAGCCAGGCACTGGGAAACTAAAGCAGGAGACATATGAAGGCATTCCGATTGAGTTCTTTCTGCGTGTCGAGCACGAGAGGACACAGGACGATTCTTCGGAATCGAATGACGACCGCGTCTTACAACGTGAAGAGAGGGCCGCCGCACATCGTAAAGCTGGAGGACAGTATAGGCATCGCTACCTACTTTCGTCGGGGAAAAGCCGCTCAGTCGCGATAGGCAATATTCTACCCCTAGTGCTGCGCCAGAAAATTTTGCAGGACTACCGCACGAACTGGGAGTGGCTACTTTGTGGGGAGTCTGCTCTTGCGGACAAAAAAGATGCCAAAAGAAGGCGGCGGGAAGATCCACACGACCATGATTTTTTGGACGAGCAATCGCGACTCCACGAGTATCGCAACCTGTTGCACAAAGTTGTTGGGCGGCGTGCGGCGCAGGGCTACATTCACACTCTCGAGAGAGCAGGGGCCGTTGTGCTAGAGTTTTGCGCGAATAAAGGAATGGAAGCCGACCCTGTAGTGGTGATGGACCGGCAAGTTTCACTGATGAAACGCATGCTTGACGAGAAATTATGTGCTAGCAGTGGGCGGGCTGAAATGAAAGAAGTTCACGGTCGTACAAAAATTGCGTTGCGCGATTTAGAGGTTCTAGTAGCTGCGCAATGTGCAGCACTAACGGACGACCGACAGCTTTTTGTTGAGGCTTTGGTGGGTACCGGAGCATTGGAAGAGAATCAAACTAGTACTACTGCCACTGCCACGAGGTCTGAACCCAAGAATGAAGACACTAAGCCCTTTCTTTCACGCAAATCGGCGTTAAGGAACGAATGCAGGGCGATCGTTTCGAAGCAGGCTGAGATACAGAAAAAGATACGTGAAGAAGAAACAGTGGAAAAAGTGTTCGACCGGAGTAAAGAAAAGTCGATATTTGTTCAGGCGCCTCTATTTTCGGCTGAAACGCTTTGGACATTAATTCGTGCAGCATTTTTCGAGATAGCACCAGGCATGGACGAATGCAGCGGATATAGTCGTGCTTCGACAAAAGGTACATGCAGTAGATCGAACTTTCTATCATCGGACTCGGACACTCCTGATGGAGAGGAGACTGCGAGAGTCGGAGCAGACCAAAATTACCTTTGGAAGGCTAGGAAACTGTGGCCGCCGTACAGCCCTTGCGGAGGAGCCGCCGAGGACGACGATAGCAATGGACTTTTATACAGCGCGGGGACGCTTCGAAGACGGAGCGTGCTTTCAGTTAAGGCTTCGTAATTTCAGGGCATTTGTTTAAAAATAGCAGACCAATCCATCGCTCTCGCTAAGCCAACTAAGGCTACTCAGTATCTTTCCTACATTCTGACCCTGACGTGGCTACAAATGTGAGAGGTGGCTGGGAATGTCATTGTCGTTCTGTTGAAGTGGACACAACAACACGATTGCTGATGAAAACTAGTTGGTTCTAATTTGAGTGACACACGACAGCGGCTTTTATTGTGGTTTCGCTTTGCCTCCGGCTCCCCTCATTCGGACGAAGTATCAGACGTCGAGGTTCGTCCGTGTTTCGGTGACGAGTGTGGTTCATCTGTCGGCATTCCGGTTACCGGTGATATTGAAGATAGCAACCTATTTGAACTTGAAGGGGGAGCACCTCCCGACGCCAATACTGACGAGCGTAATAATGCTGAATCATCCAGACAAACACAAAAGGAGAATTTGCTTCTGCTCTTCTACCTACGTGAATGCGCAGCTCCTGTGGCTGTCAGACTTGCTCCGCCAATCTAATGATTTCGGTTTTGCGTAGTCTCTCATTTTTGCGAAACGCCGTTTGTTACTTGTTTGTTTGTTTTGATGCGCTCCGGGCGACGCTTACGATCCCGCCGGATTTCTTTGCGCTCTGGGTGTCTTATGCTATGGTCGTCACTGCGATCGACTATGGTATATCTAGTCGCCGCAGTCTCCGCCAGCTGCCGGCTCTATGGCATGCCGGGCGAGGTGTGCAGGCGGCGGCGACTGTGCGTAGGTAGCGCCTGGCGGTGAGGCGCGGCCGGGTTTGGTTGACGTTTTTACGGCCTGCGCGCTCTGTTCTTCGCATTCTCGTTTTGCCTTCGTTCTCTTTGTCTTCGCATGCTAGCTTTCTTGTCTCCTCCTTGCTCGTTCTTTGTTCGCCACCACCTATGACCTATCTCGGCCCCCGTCTTATCGTAGCGGGCAGCGATGGGTTTACGTTTACCACCGCGGCCGGTACTCGTTTCCCCTTGTCTTCCCTGGAGGTGTGGCGGCTGCGCTCGCAAGAACGCACCGCCGAAGTTGGTCGCCAAGTCGAGAAGGTATGGGATGAGCTGCTTCGGGTTCGACGCAGCCGCCCCAACATTCGCCGGAATCAATCCCGTGGGTCTCTACTGGTGTCTGGAGCGCGGGGCACTCTAGTAGGTGCTGCGTGCTTGCCGCAAGGCCACGGCAAAACGGGCAGCCAACATCTTCCCTGGTGACTCCACTCGCCAAGCGTCTCAGCCTGAATGCATAGTATCGCCGCTCGTCTTCCCGCGAGCATGCTACGCCCCGCAAGAGGTCCTTACCGCAGCTGCCTGCGTCTGTCACGGTCTTGGCCGTCTTGCTCCCTGCGCGCGCTGCTCCGCTCATCTGGCGGGAATTAGCTACGCGGAGCACCCTCGCTAGTACCTCGTCCGTGCGGTACTGCCGGTGGCCGATCGCCTGTCCCGTCTCGGCGGGGAAGTCTGAAGAGCTTGCTACCCCGGCTAGCTGGTCAGCGATCTCTTTGCCGATGGCGCCTGAGTGCCCGCGGGTGAATCTCAGCTCTAGCCTGCCCGCTGGTCTGAGCCTTGCCACGGCAGCACGAAGAGCCGAGTACAGGGCTGCGCTGTTGTCGTTCCTGAGTGCTGGGCTTAGGATCGCGCGCAAGTTGGGCTGGCTATCAGTTATGAGGCCGACCCTTTGGCCAGGGGTAGCCCTGGCGCCTATCCCCCACAGGGTCGCCTTGATGGCCGATCTCGCGACCTCGAAGGAGTCACACAGCGGCCCGCAGTCCCAGGCGGGGCCGAAGTAGCCAGTGCTGCTGTACCAGAAAGCCGCGGCACCACCGCGAAAATCGGCGACCGGCCTGTCCGCGTAGACCGTCCCGCCTGCTTTGCTCAAAGCGTCGACGAGTGCCGGGGCGCCACCTGCTGCGCTTGGTACGACGATGCGGCATCCGTCCTCCTGCTTAATTTTGTTACTTAATTTCGTGATCAACATTCTAATCGTCTTAACTAAGCATCGGCACAGATCTTGCAAATGCATTGATCTGTATAACAGTGCGCTCGATTTTTACTTGCAACGTGATTGACTGCGTTTTTATCGATACATAAGAAGTACATCAAAGCAGACTAACGCTACACCTTGTGAGTTAAAAAAATGATGACCTTCAGGAAGATGGTGTCTTTTAGATGTCACGATAAAGGATTCTATGAAGAGCACCACGATGCGCTTGCTCAAACACATTGCGAAATTGAAGAACGTTACCAGTCTTTTTCAAATCGACTAGGGAGGAACGGAACCTAGGCAATGAGGTAAGTCGCCGGTTTCATGTGCTTCTGGTATTGTCTTCTGGCGAGACAAGGCGTTGTCTGTAGAAAGACGTCGCGAGGAGAGCTGATCAAAGTGGAGAGCAGAATTGTAGCTGTGTTATGCGTCTGCGAAAACAAAACGTAAGAAAGGAGTGATAGCAGATAAATTCTGCCTCATCGAAGTCGCATGCATACTGCTGTACACACTAGAAGTTGTTGGAGCCGCTCAGCCATCAAAGAATTCGTACTGAAGATATCATGACCTTCATCTCGATCAAAAATCGAAGTGAAATGAACGTGAATATGCGAAGTTCATCCACTGCTTTTCTATTTGCGTTCCTGAACGGTATTTCTCGTTCCAACAGCATCGCAAATGTGAGAATAACGTCGTCTTCTTCAAAGAGCGGTCATGAAGTGCATGAGCGGCATCTCAAAGGGCATGTTGACAGGCACGACATTTTCGAACGCGGCGACGAGGGAGACAATGAGAACCCCGACAGCTACGCGAGCGAAGTACGCGAGGTGTATCATGACGGAGCTCCAGCAAGAAGTGAACTCGAAATGCTTCCTGAAGGTCTACAAGGCTCCGCAGACAAAGACAGCGACGCGGAGGCTCAAGAAGCGGCAAGAGACGCAGGGGGCGACAACACGGAAGCGCAGGGACATGCAGCCGACGCAGGAGGCGACTCGAAGGCCGCGGAAGAAGCATCGGCCACTACTGAACGCAGTGTTGAAAACCAGGAAAAAAGAAAAACCGATAAAGATGAAAACGGTGATGGGGAATCGACTAAGACCACAGAAAAGCAAGGCGGTGAAAATGCGGTTGCCGTCGAGGCCCCTCAAAAAAAGGAGGACGCACGTTCAGGTGAGACCAAAAAAGAGGAAGACGCTAAACCTAAGGATACAAGCGGAACCACAACCACACACGCGGATACGGAAGATGCTGCAGACGAGAAAACCAGGTCGACTCCCACAGACGGTGCACAGGAAGATGAAAGTCAGGAGCAAGCTCTTAGTGGCGCATCAGCAGCCCAAAAATCGGATAGTGGATCTGGCAGAGGTGTGGCTGAAATGGCTGCTAAAACAGAGGAAGCGGAAGCACAACTCCATTTAGCCGATGCTGTGAAGAATTACCGTCACATTATGAGAAGAAGGAGGAGAGCGTTTTTCACATCTGTCGCTTAGTTCTTTGAGAGTCGAATCGGACAATCATAGTTCTTGGAAGGATGCAAAAAGCGCTATCCCCATTTTTCATGTACGTGGTGGACTCATTGCAGGATGAACTGTTCAGTTTCGCTGCTGACGCTCGTCGGGACTTAGTAAGGGAGGAGGCGAAGATGCATCGATTTTCTGATCACATTGCAGAGCGCTTCGCCAACATACACCGAGCAGCGCTTTTCGAGCCAAGTAGAATAAACTATGGCGAGAGGCACAACAGAGGAGCTCCTTAACGCCTTTGCATCGCCTCAGGGAGGACCTTGATGCAGCAGTATAGGCATGCAATGGCTAGTATAGGCAGCAGTATAGGCCGTAGACTTAATCCCATAAAATGGCCACGTAGAAACCCAACCACCGGTGCGGTCGTTACAGAGTTCCTCGTGCTGCGCAATGTCGCTGGAGGGATCCGCGGAGAGAGCAACAGTAGTGGTTCTTGATTCAAATGATTTGAAACTACTGTAGGGAACAACAGATGATTTTCGTCGTAGAGAATGTGGCGAGGTCGCACCTGAATAAGATAAATAAACTTCGACATGAGACACTTTCTGATGTTGTGGTGTCTGAAGCGTCAACATAGCGTTAGCGACTTCTCTCTACCACAAGATTATCATGAAACGTGCGCTGGCATCAAGCCGGTGTAGGCAAATGACCTCACAGTGTAGACATAGAATGCGCTCGCTACAACTAGCGAATCCCTGCTCGCGAGCAAATTGCTTCTTTCTTTGTTCACAAAGATGTATTGTTAAACCCTACGAAGGAAAGCCCATGAAGGTCGTAGCTTTTTGGTATTCGCTCTTTCCTCTAGAAGACGCAGGAACCCACAAAATCCAAAATCAGTCAATTGAAGTGGTGGAGAAGAAAAAGAAGTGCCCCTTGTGGGCTTTAAACGCGAGGCGAAATAATGCAAAGTTAGCCATCATGGTTTGAACGCTCTTGCATTCACAAAAATTTTCAATATCCGACGTCACGACATCAAGCAATAGGATTTGCTTTTCTGGAAGGATCTATCGAAGAATCTGAAAGAAATCAAATACGGCAACCCTCATTTTACTTAATTCCTAAAAAGCAAGTCGCTTTCTCAGATTTGTATTTCTACTTAGCAGCAAGAAACACGAGCAAAATGCCCGACAATTCGCAGATTCTAGTAGGGGAGATGAGGGATGCGATGCGGAGTTGGGTGACGATGGGAGACGAAACGCGTCACGACAACCAAGCTGAAGGGCTCATTCGGATGGACATCCGGCACAATCATCTGGAACAGCGCTGGCATGATTTACGCTTCAGTCTTGACATGACGATATTTGCAGTAAAGGAAAAACTGCACAAGCACGGCGCCGGCAGTGTCGCGCACATGGAGCTCTACTTGAGAAGGTTTTAGTTGGTTTTGTACTTTGATGCTTGAGATCCGTTTTCTTAGATAGAGAAAGCTGCCGAGAGCTAGAGCAGGTTCACATTGATCCTTAAATCAATGATTTGCAAACAAGTCTCGTCTTGTTGTCTTTTGAACTTGGTTTAGGAATTTTCAAGCAGCATCGAACCAACCCAGGTCTGGAGTAGAGAATACAATATTTCTGTACGACGACTACAAAACTCTTGGGTCCTACGGTGCGGGAAATGACATGGAGCTTTTCATCAAGGACACTGATCCGTTTAGCATGGCGGCAAACGGCGGACTTGAGAACACCAGTCTCGTTGAAAAGTACCGCATGAAATTATGTATCGGCGACTACTGTATCTTTTTGGACGAGACTGCTAGAAGATCATTTCAAGGAGGTTGACTTCATTGTGCGCTCAGGCTTACGTCCTGTAGTTGTATTAGTAATTTTTTTGTTGTTCGCTGGCGATTTTCATCCATCTTCATCTACTTACCAGGACTTTGTTGCTTCTTTCAAAGCCTTCTAATCTTTGATGAGGACTATGATCAGCGCGAGAAGACGTTGAGAGCACATGTGCGACAGGAAAGGGATAAGAATCCGAATTTTAGGCTCTTTGCGAACAAAGACCCAAACAAGGTGATGGATGGAGGCGAGCGACCGAAAACACCAGAGGACGTCCACGTTTCCTACGGTGTAGGAAAACGGTGTGAATGCAACCCCGGAGGCAGAAGAGGGACGATCAAGTATACCTCTCTTTTTTGGATATCATGAAGCAAGTGGGTGAAATGATGATGATCAACATCAATACTTATTTCAATAAAAATAATTTCATGACACCATTTCCATTTGCAACGGCAACACGGAAATAAATAATCACCCGTCTTCGACTTCACATAAAGGTTTGTAGGCACTGTCAAAGGCGCGCCTGGGACGTGGATAGGGGTAGAATTGGACGAGCCGCAGGGGATGAACGACGGGTCTAGGGACGGTGAAAAGTATTTCGAGTGTCGTGGGGAAAAGTACGGCTGTTTCTCTAGACCTGAAAACGTTGTCGTTGGCGACTTTCCAGAGCTCGATCCTTTCGCTTTTCTCGAAGACGAAGACGAAATCTAGTAGGCTGAAATCGATGCTGTTTTAGAGACTTTTGTATGTTGTCACGACAGCTGTCGACCAACTCCAGAAGTGCATGCGATGCCGAGCATGCGCGTCTATGCATAGTCTTCGAAGAGATTCTTTATTTAGCCGGGAGGTACTACATAAAAAAGTCTGATTCGAGAAGAGACTGAGACACCAGCTTGACCTGCTTGTGACTTTGTTTCGCGATGCCGATGCATGCGATCGTGTTCGCATATTGTGTAAAAAGAAACACGGAGAGAAAACTGCCTGTTGTATTTCTACTTTTTTCATGTGATGTGGGTGATAATCGTAGCTATTTTTTTGCAACTTTTAGAAATATAATAACTGCGTCTGTTATTCCAACGAGAATTGAGACTCGGTCATGAGCGACGTGGGTAGATGTTGTCTGCAATTCATCTGTGAGAGAAATGTGCGAAGTGCAGAAGAGAAAATGGGTTTCTGTGGCTTTGCAGGTCGCATTACAGGTGTTCATCTTTGATGAGGTGCACAATTTTAGTACAACTAAAATTGCAACCAACCAACCGTTTTAAATGCCAACATTCTTGGTGTATTGACTTTCTCAGGTTCTGTGTAGCTTGTGGTTTGAAGGTTTTGGATTTTTGGGATTCCCTCTACGATTTTCCGATTATATTCTACTTCGTCAAATAGTAGAAAAGTGTGTAGATTCTGGCCCCAGTGAAATGAATAGAGCATGGTCTATGAAAATGAATGTGGCGCATGTGTGAGGAACGCAAATGTTTTGTTTCTATCAAATCATATTCACTTCATACTTATATAAATATACTTTCTCGATTAAGAGGCTAGCACTGGTAGTAAAAGAAGTAGAACTTCTAGACTCATTCTGTTCAATTCATCATTGATTCTTGTGTGAAGACTGCAGTACTAACTTATAGTGAGAAGAGTTTGTCAGAATGAAATCGTCGGTTCCAGGCGCCACGGGTGCTTCGGTGCCACAAGGAGAGGAGGAGCAAAGGTGGTCCCTCTTTTTTGACATCAGTGGACTGCGTAGACACGTGCATCTCGTTCGCAGCGACAACGCACCGAAACGTGCCTCAGGGTTTTTCTTTCAATCGGCATCATCTTCGTCAAATGGCGAGAGTACGAAGAAAGATGAAAAAGAGGGGATGACGAATTCTACTCGTTCTCGCGGTAGCCTTTCTGCTTCATCTAGTACGATGATCAAAAGTGGCGCTGACTCGACAACCAAAGAGAGCACGAGCAGAAGAACTGGCGGCATGCCTGGGAATCGCAGGAAGGGGGGAGCCGCTCGATGGGGTCATCGCCCTCGCAGCCGCGGCGCTTCGAGAGGACGGAGGGTAAAACCTGTGCACGAGTCCAGTCGCGCCCGTGCGCGGAGATATCTCAGCAAGGGTCTCCACAACGGTCACGACCAGCGCGACACAAGCACGAGCACGGAAGCATCTTCTTGTAGCACTTCCAGTACGTCCGAGAACGAGGACTCATCTACTATTTCGCCCACAAATTTTGCCACATCTAGATCTAATAGCTGTAAGCATGAAGCGGAGCAGACAAATATATCGTCTCCGTGTAATTCCTCAACGCTCGCAACGCCGGCGATGTTCGATGGCAGTAAAACCCTGCGCGGAGCAGGAGGGAGCAGTAGGCAGCCGCCAGACGAGACTAAGATGTGTTCGTGGCTTACGCTTGTGCGACATCTGCTGAAGGTGAAATTTCGCTACTTCACTACATGGACCTTGTATGTTCTGGCGTTTCAGCTTGCCTTTCCAGGTACTTTTCTTGACGACTACGCGAGGGCAATCCGTGCGACAATTACGCATGTGAGCCTCGTCGGCTTTTGCTTCGTGTGGCTCACTCCGCGTCACGTTTTCGTGGACGGCGTCATTCGTCTAGAGGGCTGGCCGTTTCGCATTGGCGACTTCTTCGTTCACCATTCTCCGATGATGGTCTACTGGCTCTTTTACGAGAGATGCGTTTTGTCGAAGCTTGATACGGGAGGGAATCCGACGATGCTGGCGCACGATACAGAAGGCGTTGCTGGGATGCCACGACCAGCGAACGGAAGTGGATATGCGAAGGAAGTCTTTTCAAATATTCTTGATGCTGTGGGCACGCAGTTATTCGACATCCAAGAATATTTCGGGCTCTCCGGTCCGCTGCCAGGGGCTTATCGCTATTTTCCACCGTTTTTTTCTTCTGAGACTGCAGCATCAACGGCCTTCGTTGGTACCTACTTGTGTCGAGACCGGTATTCGGCGGATGATGCGCTTCGAGTGGCGACAACATCTCCATTGTGGTGCTTCATTTTTTACGCGCTCTACCGATTTTGTCTCAGTTATCTCGCGCAAATCGATCACCGTATCCTTTACGGACTGCAGGACGAAATTTTCTGGACCGCCTATTGGCTCTCCATGTGGCTGTAGGAGTTTCGTTGAGAGAACTAGTCGATTACAATCACATAGGAAAGACTCTTACATTTGTGGACAAGAGTTACATTTTTGGTAAGTGTTTTTTGATGATATGCATACTCGTGTCTGGTAGAAGGATAAACTGAGATCATCTTCATGCATAGTGCCGACAATCTTTGCAGTCGGAGGTATCGCAAATTTGTACCAATATACTCATTGCTAGAACAAAGACATTGATTTTTCGATTGTCCGTGTGCAGAGATGAACGCGCAGCATCCTCAGGACTTCAACTGCCGGTCTTGTGCAGGGTGTCATAATTAAGACTCGATTAGAAGCAGTAGTGGACGATCAGTACTAGTAAATATTAATGCGTTGTAGAAATTGGTTCGCATTTATTTACTAAATTGATACGATGTTAGTTGATACCAACCTGCGTGATAGGCTTGGCAAAAATGAATAAAGACGACGACTTCTTTCTCATACATATCAATAGTAAGAAGATGTTGATTGAACTGAATGACTGAGAAGATTTTTGATCATTGTGAAGAATTATGATTTTTTCATGTGTGACAGCCAGCTATTTGAGCTTGAGACCGTTATGAATTCGCTTCTGATGTTGATTTCAGTTCTGAATCAACCATCGTAATCTTTATTTTTACAACGGTACACACCAGCTGATGTTTGAAGATGGTAATCAATTTGGATCTCCCCGTGATCTCGTTGTCCATGATGTATAGTTTGTTGTGTTTGACTGTTTCATCTTGACAATGGTTACTGAAGACCATTTGAGATGCATGGATGACGAAAGACCTCTACTCGTCTAGGAAAGACCTCTACTCGTCTAAGATCTAGACGAGAACCCATCCTTTTTCTCCATCTCCCTCAAGGTCAAGAAGAGTGGCGGCATGCACTCTCCCCTGATGTATAGTATCTATGTCGGATCGATTGGTAAATTATTTTGCCGCATGTTGGGAGTATTCCTTTACTGTTGTTTGTCGCCTGTGTTTATGTGATGCTGCTTCGGACTTAATAGCCACTCGCTGCCCCTACTTTGCAAAGGGTAAAGTAGCTGCCGAAATTAGTTCCGGGCCAATGCTTGGACTTAAGTGAAGTGGACTGGCATCGGTTTGAGTAATGGTCGAGGTTACTTAGAGCCTCGACCCAGAACGATGAGAGGAGCTCCCGACCATTTGCCGCTCTGCAAGCGGTTGGGGAGAGTTGTTGTATATCGTGGAACGAGCACGCGTTTCTTGGCGCTCACTCTACTTGAGTGAAGCCGCCTATGCATGAGTCTCAGATGAGATAGGAGAAGGAACAAAGTCAAGAGAGGGCGCAAGATCCGCGAGCGGGAAACTGCAAGCGGTCTTGGCTCGTCTGAGATTAGGGCAGGTGGTCAACACCATGGCGATGAAAGTAGGGGTGACGTGAAGCTATTGGCTAACAATATGAGAAGTAGGACGGCGAGGCGAAGGCTCCGTTTGGAACTGACGCGGGCTAGGTCAAGAGAGAAGTCAGCACCTTGGGCGCCGACGCTCGTGAGGGCGGAGGACATGAGTGCAGCCGGAGCGACCTGACTCGGCCTTGGTGGTCGGTCTGCTGAGTTTGCTGGAAGTGTAGCTGGGTTATCATCAAAGGATCGCCCCTTGTGCGGCGCTGTGATCAACAGCGAGGACTGTTCCTGCAGTTGCCAGTCTTGTGTAGCGTGTTAAGCTATCAGCTTGGCTCGGAATGATCTTGGGCCTTGGTATTGAGTGACTATGGGATAGTCACGCATCTGCTGAGGATAAGTCTGAACATCTAAGTCTAACGCGCTGCATCGCGCGATATGGTTCGCAAACGGGTGACGGAGTGAGCGTGTGTTCGGCAGCCAGTCGTGGCTGTGACTCCGGAACATTGAAAGGAAATACATGCAGCAGCAGATGCTGCACAAAGTCGATGTGCACTATCAGCGACAACTCCTGTGATGATAGCGGCATTTTCTTTCAATGCGAAGGTGGACCAGGAGGTTTGCGTACCGGTACCTCCTACCACTTTCTGGTGATCGGTGTTCTGCGCTCCTGCCTTCGGACCATGAGAATGTGGAGGCCCGAGCGTGCTCTGATGTGACGGAGGGAAACACAGCACGAGGGATCATTATCTGTCACTCATGCAAATCTCAAAAGGTGTAAGGAGCGACAAAGAAGTGACACAAGAACGGAACTACGGCGGAGGTGTGCGGTTAGTCTGTAGCTATAATCGGTGGATAGCTTACTGCGTATGCAAGGCGCGTGTAACAACTGCTTGAAGGGTTTTGTAGAGAGGCTCCTGGCCACAGCCTTGGAGGATCCTATCCTGAAGCAGACCCGCCTTCGCGCATAGGGTGTGTCGGAATTGTCCCTCTGGAAATAAAATGAAAATGAATGAAAAAACTGCGAAGCCAGTGGATTTCTCATTATATATCACATCCCGGCAATGATTGGCGTATGCATAAAAAAGGTTACTGCGAAAAACAAAAGTGGTGTGCGAACAAGTTAGTAAGGGATATTGTTATCAAATCCTGATGTTTTATGTGAAAATTTTTTCTTAGAGTTTGTGGTCGTGGGAACCAGCTTGTTCAGCAAATCGAACGCATAGAGGACGGCGCCGAGCGCTTGCTAGGTAGCGATATAAGCCTTGTCAGAGCAATAATTCCAAAGGAAGAAGGAACACCATGTATGCGGCGTCGAATATAAATCGTACCCAGCGTGGGTCCTACAACGAAGACGGCGTCGAATTGAATGAGGATGACTTGCGCGATTACTACGGACAGGGAGAGGAAGATGCTGAAGCGCAAGCAGAAGCCGAGCGCGAGGAGGAGGATGCTGCGATGCTTTATGATCCCTTCTTTTCTAGAAGATGGACATCTTGCTTCGTGGGAGAGTACGTTGCTCTCGTTTTATTTACATCTGTCGACAGAGACATCAATGATAATTAGAACATTAAGTAAATGAAGTCAGTGTCTCAAAGGGAACGGGAGGCAAAATGATAGAGGTTCGGCGTTCGATGGGTGGAAAAGGCAATGTTCTTTCATATTTTGGGATTGCAGTTGCAGACAGGCACAGGCGATGGGGTACCGTCACGGGCTATCAGCACTCCGGCTACTTTTGGCCAAGAAGTTACGCGCCAGCGTTCGTTAGAGGTTATGTTCAGACTCACTATATTCAAACAAGTAAAATTTTCTTAAGTAGTGCTTATGGTAACCCTGCTGATTGTCTCATGCTCCTATTGTTTAGCCAAAATGGCTGTTGGAAGTAGAAGATTGAAAATACTTTCGTGATTCATCGAGTCGTTTGTAGTGCTAGGCACTGATTGGTCTAATCTTGGCCCGGACGGAGGAAGTGGGACACAACTACCTGACCAAAATGCAGGTGAGGATAATGCGGATCAAGAAGCGGCAAGGCCAATGAAGCGTAGGGCGAAAGAGGAAGAAGTACGTATTTCTTCACCTTCGTGAGTCGTGACCAGTACATTCATAATATTTTATCAGCGCGAACTTTTTTTTGCCATAGTCGATCGCAATGACGACCATAGCACTACACACACAGAGCACAAAGAAATCCGGCGGGATCGTACGCGTCGCCCGGAGCGGATCAAAACAAACAAACAAACTTTTTTTTTGCCCTTACCCTTTTTATAGCGATTTCCATTCTCACACTTTCTTCTTATTTCATCATGCATAGTTTAAGCTTTGTTGATCTGCTTCTCAATTTTCCTGTACTTCTCCTACAGGCTGCTATCGTAATACAGAAAGTGTGGCTCGTGTGGATGAAATGGCGACAGGAGTACGAAAGAGCTATGCGTGACGCATCTTTCTTTTATCGCATCACATGGCAGGCGGTATTATTGATGTGGATCTTTCAATTTTCTTCATGTTCTTTATGAATTATGGAAAAATAGTAGTAGGAGCTTTGTGGCAGACATGCAAGTAAGTACTTACATTGTTCTTCTCGTAATATTGTTCTTCGGATTGACACGTCGAACGACCACAGAATCAAGTCTTCGAGATGCGTGATCAGTCCCGGTTCGCGCGGTTGGTAAATATGTCGATGAATATCTTCATCATCTTGTCTATCCTCGGTTTCATCTTGGAAACGGAGCCGATTTTGCGAGACTTCGCTCAAGGCTGGTACCTTCTGGAACTGGTCTGCACGATCGTCTTCATCTGCGAATACATGGGTCGGCTTGTCTGTTGCTTTCATGTACGGGCAACGTATTATGCGTCAACATAATCCATCCTTGTAAGGACGAGATTCTCCATATCATCCTGCACGATCTGCAGCAATTTCACTAAATAATAGCATCATGCTTGAACAGACGACGTTCTTGAGGAAACTAGATACTTAGATAGCAGTACCGAAACAGGTACATGCATACAAGGATCAAGGATGGATAATGGACAACTACATCTTTAATTTGCAATCGAATCACGAAGTTCCAGTTCGTGATGAAGGGGATGAATATTGCGGACGCACTCGCCATTTCACCCTTTTTCCTCGAAATGTAGGCACGGGCTTCCATACATAGTGTAGTGTACAAGGCGTGACTCTAAATTCCGATCCTTCATAGTTAGTGTGACTGCTCGTTCACAACCCTCCCCACCGCATTTTCTTGTCTTCATTTCGAGGCCTTCGCCGGAGGCAAAACGAAGATGCTGAAGCTTCTACGTATTGTGCGTCTCGTTCGATTGGGAAAGTTGTTTAAGGTTGGCAAGTATGCAAACGGCCTGAAATTAATGGTAACCGCGGTGACGAAATCTGCATCCATCTTGCTTGTCTTGCTCATGTTCGTCATCATGGGCGTCATTTTTTTCGCAGCATGCGGTTACTTTTTCGAACAGCTATCCTGTCCGCAGAGTGGTGTATTTTTCATTAGGAATAAGAAGTTCACAACCGCGAAAAGGCTCAACCCACACCAAGTTAGCAGCTTTTGCAGATGGATAATAGCTATGTCTCTTCTCGCTTTTTTGATCAGTGAGTCGGGCTTGCTGCTTGTCCCATTAAGTCACAATAGAAATATTGTTTCTGACGTTCTGCGCTGTTGCATACGATAGAACACTCATATTATAAAAACACTGACAGATCGACTTCCCGCATGGTCAATCGGCGGAGCTTGACCAGTACTACGCAGATTGCGAAAGTCGACCTCTCTATCGCAAAGATGGACCCATGGACTACAAGAGGGTAAACGCCGGCTACAATGTGAACAACGATTTTCTGTGCTGCAATCTTTTCCACGATGGGTTTCACCCATTCTTTTTCAACAATATGGCTGGGACGGTAAGATTACAAAACGTAGACTCACATTAGCAGGACATGGATCCTTCTGAACAAGGAGTTGTGACCCTGATACCCCCAGAAAATCATGGGTCTCGAACAACTTGCATACCTCTAATTCTTGCATTTCGTCTGCCTTGTGGTGGGGCCTGGTGACACTCACATCAGTCGGGTACGGCGACATGTTCCCTTATACACCACTGGGACGTATAGCAGGTATGGCGGCATCGCTTGGTGGTGTGCTGATCATTGCAGTGCCTCTCGCAATTGTTGCGCGCAACCTCGCAGACGTAAGAACAAATACTGTTTATCACCATGACCTTGAATTGTCACAAGTGGTTTGATCTCGAAGGGCATAGTGGATGCCCTAAAAAATTTCATGCTCATGGTTTCGGTGTAACACTTCAAAAAAAAAACGTGGTAGCAATGGGGATGATGGTGTTTTTGTTGCAAAGAGTCACGCTACACCTGCATAAAATCAAATCAGGCGTATGACCAGGAGAATTATAATGCGCAGAACCGAAGGGATCCGGTTGCGGAAAAGCGGTTGCTCCGAAAATTATGAACATCATCAGATTCAGAATATGTAGATGTAGATGCTACATGAAGATCTTCATCGATGAAAGCTAGACTTCCTCTAAGATAGAACTACATCAAGAAAAAGGCTGCGGGCATAGAAACTACAGCTTTTTCCATGGAGACACCAAAAGCAGACGCGAACGATGGCGGCTTTCGATGGAAGAAGTATTTAGCGCGGCTTCCAAAAAGCGAGAAGCTCAAAGCCTGGGGGAATCAAGATCTCCCGAGACTATTGTACATTTTTAGAATGAACAACTTACTTTTGTATACTCACCATTCTCTGTGACGAAACAGGTGCAGCAATTCACTTCGAAACAAGAAACGAAATCTCTTGAATTAAAAGATGAGAAAAAGCTTCTACTGAACACGGTTTTATCATGTTTTCACCTCAAATCTTTCAGTGAGCGCATCTGCTTTCTCGACTCTCGGATGAATAACATGCAGATGAAGATGAGTAAGCTTTTTCGGGATCACGACACGTACTTAGACGCGCAAGCGAAAATTGTGCGGTTTAGTTACCACAAGGAGTTGCTGCTTCGAGCCTGCGTGCAGCAAATGGGGAGCGATGCAGCGGAGCGGCTCATCAACTACAAGGCAGCGCAAGCTGAAGCTGACAATCTGCTTGGCGAGGATTTGAGTAGCAGTTGAAAACGCTATTCGGGGTGGGCCAAAAAACCCCGATTTTCGAAGTGGTGCGTCTTGATCTTCAACATTTCTTCGAATCACAGTCCTCATATTGTGCATGACGGAATCGAATATGGATTTCCAAACCTAATTCTCCATTCCACCTAAATGCAATAACCCTTTGGATCTGCAATTCCGAGAATCAACGCTTTTTTGCTGATGACAGACGCATACATAGGACTTCGACTTATCGGATAGTAGCCACAGGCTAGTACAAAATTGCTGGCTGATCCTGGTTATAGCCTGCTGCGGCGAGTTGTTCCATGTCGTAGATGTTCGGCAGTCATCGATCACTGGGACGACTACTTCAGTTCAATTGTAAAGACAAGTCCAATATTTATCTTAACCAATGCAGCAGGCTGGGATGATTTATTATTGATGTGGACATCCTTGTTTTTAACCGGACTAGGTTGATAAGGTGTAGTACTAAAAGAAACACAAACGACAATGACAATTTACTGGAACTCGTCGTGGATTTATGTACCCGTAATTCAAGCCTGGCAGACTAATGAGTATCACTTTCATAATTAGAGTTTCTATTTCTTTGTGACAGGAGAAGACAAGAATGGCGGGTACTGAGGCTAGCATAGATAACTTATTGGCACTTTACCGGTCGCACTATAGCGAAGATCTCAGCCGGTGCGCGGCGGCTATTGAAATATCAACAATTCGAGGAATTTCCGAAGCGCCAGATAATGGACGAGAAGGCAATGTACCTTCCTCTTTTGAGTTAAGGCTTCTGATAATTTGCTTGTTCGGTTACAGCTTAGCCCGGCTCGTCCTTAGAAATACGTCTTTACTACGACTCCGGCCGGGACTGGTAGGAAATTCAAGTTTTTCTAAAATAACTCGGATCTTTTGGTTCGTTGAGTAAGGCATGCAGAGCTTTCCTCTAATCAACAGCGCACTCTCAGGAACAGCGACTTCTTCATCCTACTCAGGCAGTCGGCAGCGACTGCAGAGTCGTGACGAAATCATGGAACTTTTTGGAAAATTGAATCGGGAACGGCGAGTCCGCGGTAGCCTAGAAGAAAGCCTACAGCGCAGCGAAGAGAGCTTGCGTAGTATAGAAACCGAAAATGCAACTCTAGAAGCACAACTGGCCTCCCTGGAAGAAGACGTGGAGCACCGGTTACACGGACGAAACGAAATGCTCGCGGCCGTGTACGATGCAGAGCGGCGGCGGGCCATGTCAGCTCGAGACGTGCTTTTGGGAATGAATCTAGGTCAAGGAGCCACTTATCAGCCACTGTTCGCGTCCTCAAGGGCCGCGGCGAGCAGTGGAAGCGGGAGCAGAGTAATGCGCTATCAGCCACTGTTCGCATCAAAAAATGGGAACAATGCGAGAGCAGATGGAAAGCAGGAACAAAAAAATGGAGGAATCCGAGAAGCGAACACTCGAGCTGGTCCAGTTTTAGGTAGTAATACAAGTAGCACTGTCGCGGGTACTAGAGAAAGAAGTGCAAAAACAGAGGCAGAAGATGCACTTGACAGAAAACTCCGAGAGCTTTTTGACAAGAATATGAAAGACAGACCGCAGCTGGTGGAGTACGCAACGTCTCTGTGGCGTGAAGTCCAGCAGGGACTCGTTCATAGATAACATACGATTTATTCCGATTCTGAGTGTTGGTGAAATGATTTGAAAGTCTGATGTCAAGTATGTGCCTTCTGCAGAAGGTCTGATCATATTGTTGTTCGTCGGTTGAGCTGATGGAACATACTACAAATCTGGATCTTTTTCTCTGGACTTTTGGAAGCACCTAAGTGATTGAAATCATAACCAATAGGAGAGGATGAACGGACAACGAATTATTCTGGCGTCTACGATAACCACCATGCGAAATCCGAATCCGCATCTTGCAAGTTTGTTGTTGGAGGTCCATCAAGAAATCAATGAGAACTGCCATCTTTGAAGAATCGCGAAAATGCACAATTTCAAGCCACCAGGCCATGAAGAAGATGCGATGATGGGATTCCTCGAACGAGATACTCATGCAATTTATATATACAATCACAATGACAAGTACGAATTATTTGCTTTTGATGACAGCGACAGGCGACAAGGTGTGTGGATGTTATAATTACATCCTTATGTGAGTGTGACGTACGAGCATGAAGACATGTAAGTTTGAATTGAGCGAGTGTACTTGCTCATGCTTCCGATCAATTATGTATTCAGCGTATAGAACTTCTGTACGTAGTAATGTTGACGCCAGTTGGTGGTCTACAACAAGCTCCTGTAGAATTGAAGATATTTTTTATTAGCAGTACTTGTACTGCTTGACACGACCACAAAAGACGGTTCGTTCCAAATATTCACGTCATGATTTTGTTCTGTGGATGAGATAGGCTTCTAGAAGGAGACATAACAAGAGAACAAGATGGCGGCATCATCTTCTAGCAGTGCTTTGAGACGTACGCGGTCAGAGGGCCGTGACATCGAGCCGCGTGACCGGGAGATTGTGACAGCGAAATTCGATTGGGTTCTAGGAACCAATCCGAGTGAGCGCCGCGATCGAAAATGCCACGCTCGTCTCCTACAGTACCTGATGGAGCGCATAGACGCGATAGATTTGAATCGCTGCAAAGAGCTCGTCATTCGTAAAATACGAAAAATTGAAAAAATTCAGGTGGAGACGGGACCGGACACAAAGCTCTTCTGTTTGCCGAGTAAGGAGCAGTGGCACACATATGAGGTAAAAATACCTATCATCTAGGCGACAATGAATTTGGTAGTTCGCGTAGCTGTAGAAGTTGTCATTTCCTCGTCATTATCGTCATTAGCATTTTCTGGATTCATCATCACCACTAGCATTTTCTGATGAATACATTCATACATAGGTTCAGATAACGTACGAGGACCCTGAGCGGCGGTCCTCCCAGATATTCGCAGACTTGAGCGCTCCGCCAAGTCGCTCTGGCTCTCTGGAATTCGAGGAACAAACACCGTTGGCAGGAGGTGGAAACATTCATTGGGCGGATGTGGTCTTTTATCCGGAGTCATCAAAGAAGAGACCACACGCAGACGATGCTCCTCCTCTTTTTACGTGCGCTCTACGAATGTGGCCCATGGACAGTCTTACGCTGGTCACCTCCGACGAAAAACTGTACTATTTGTTATTTTGATATGAAGCACGGCGGGCGATGCGTGTTCGCTAGAAATAAGGATGAAGCAATTCTTCAATCGTTGAATATTTGCACTTAGTACTTTTTAGTGACCACGAGGACTAGAGCTTGTTTACTAGATATTAATTAACAGATTCCAGTGCCACATCATCGTTCCCGCACGGAAAGACATCAGGAATTAGCCTGGATGATTGTGGAGGCAGTGGGCACCTACATGAGTTTTGCTCTAGTAGAAGTAGCTCCCTGCACTTTCGCTTACCTCAAGGTTTGCCCAGAGCTGCCAGTATCACAGAAATACTGTCAGACCACGTCTCTACGGTCACCATGAACGGCGACAACAGGGACAATAGCATGCATACATACTCGCAAACCAGGTTTCTTTTCTCCGCACAGAAACAACGCAAAGACGGAACGCCACGAAGTACAACAGGCGAGAAAAAGATCTTGTACGAAACAGATTTTAACCTCGATACTTTCGAGGCCGTTATCAACAGTGATCAAGTGATCACAGAGCTAGTTTTGTTAACGCGCGAGGCACGAGAGGCATACCTGCTGCTGCGGTTGATAAGTACTTCTTTTGTACGTCAGAATCGGCACTTGTTGTCCAGTGGTTTGTCTTTATACTTTCATCTAAAAATATTCATCGCTTCTGAGGCCGCCAAATGCAGATTTGTTTTTTCCATGGACTCGATACCACCTAGTAAGTTCACAGTTAGGATATGGCACCATCACAAATCATATCAAATTTTCTTAGGTTATCTCGACATAGAGCCCTTTATTTTGCGTTCTCTGCGTAGTAAGAGAGACAAAGAGGCTTTCGGGCTGACCCGCGGCGTCGAGGCCATATCCAAAGGCGGGCCGGGTCTTGCGACCTGCGTGCGGGAACTCGCGACGAGCATCGTCAAAAAATGGGACCAAGAGACGAAGGCAAAGTCACCAGAAGAGTTGAATTTACAACCTAGATTACCGAGTCTTCCGGAGAACCGTCCAGCAGTTCAACTTGAAAACGCAATTTTTGAGCATATCGGCATAAATAAGAAGAAACGCCTTACCGAGTACCATCGGCTTGAGGAGCGCGTTTTTCGTACTATCTTAGTGCCTTGGTTCGATCTGAATTATGATATTGTAAATACTTATCTTTCGTTCGAACTAATTCTATGCATTTTGGCATGAATTGATCATCAGAATTTCTTTTCCAATTACTACCAGGTAAGATGGAACCTTTTCAGCGTAAGCAAGGCGAGCTCTTTCGCAAACAGATTCGTGAGAGCAAGCGAGCGGCGCACAACGAAGTTGATAGAATCGCAGCTACAATGATCCAGATAGATACACCCTGGCGCAAGGAGATGACGTTTCGTGGCTGCTGCGTCGAAAAGTGGGTCGTTTTTGACGTGGAGGAAAGCGATGACGAGGCCGACATGCAGTATAACTTATCGCTGCGTCAACGACGACGCATGCATAGCCCCTTTAGCGACGACTCGGACGCCGACCAGGATCCAGGTGGCCGTGGGGGTCCCTCTGCGTCTTCTGGAGGGACGCAGCAACGCCTTCAGTCTAAAGGCAATGCTACCTCCAATGCCACTTCCTCTAGAAGTAAAAACAGCAAAGCAACCACTCCTTCCAGTGCGGCAGGACCAAACGGACCGGGGCCGTCATCACAACGGGGAGCAACAACGGAATTTCCATTTTCCGTATCGGACAAAGCTAGGAGCGGGGGACACCAAGCAGCTGCAGCGGGTTTTAAAAACAATAGCGGAGCGGGCGATCCAGGAGAGGTTCTGGACGAAGATCGGGCAGCAGCGTCCCCAACTCCCGCAACAACAACGACAGGCCCAATCATAAAGAGCAAAGACATAGAGGCAAGCGCAATGTCCGCAACCAGCACTAGCATTGCCACGGCTACACCAACTACGATGTTAAAGGTGGCTGTTGCTAGTGCCTGCGCTTCCCAGCAAACGAGTACAACAAAGCGTGGAGCAGAGGCGACAAAAGCAAAAGGAAGGAAGAGAAGCAAAGAGAAGGAGCGACTGCAACTCAACGAAGAAGGAGATCTCTTTGACGACGGACCGAATCAGCCCTCGACTTCGACGAAAGAGGAGCGAAAAAAGGTGATTCCAGCAGCAGGGACCTTCACGTCGGGTGGCTCATCGTCAAGCACTTGCACCAACCCAGCTGCGGTGGCGCAGGATGGGACAGACAGTGTCTCAAGAAATGCGTGTGCTACAATACAGGCGTCGGATCGAAATACCTCTGGTGCGGCGAAAAACGGACCTTTTCGCAAAAAGGTGAGAATAGTGGACGAGCGAGATCAACATCGTGAGGGGCTGCCAGAAGGTAGAGCAGGACTCGAGACTGACGAAAGAGGGGCCACCGTAGCAGAAATTCCTTCTCCGGTTTCGGCAGTCGGAGCTTCGCCAAAGACGTTGAACCGCACGGACGCGAACAAAGCAGGTTCGGACGGACAGCTGGTGCCTTCCTTGGGTGACGAGACTGCTATAGAAGAAGCTCTGCGTGGGAATTGCAACCCTGTGTTTGATGAAGGTGGAAGCAAGCCCACGACTAAAATGGAGACAATGGGCAAAACTAGTAAAAAGAATTCAAATGTAAAGATGGCCATCAGTGGGACCGCTGGTACTGGTACTTCTAGAGGTAAGAGAGGTAGACCGGCAAAAGCAGCGGAGCCAAACGATGTAGAAGATCCCGACACTTCTTCAGCGGTGGATGCGAATGCGGGAGACAAAGCCGGCAAGACTGACACCACTACGCGGAGCGACCACGTTCAGACGGTTGCGAGTGAGAACCCTAGCTCGACGAGGACGAGAGCGAAGGTGGGGAGCAGCTCTAAAGGTCCTACCGCTCGCACCTTGGCAAAATTAGAGATGCTTGATGTTAGGTCACCGAGCGGGGACTCCGGACAGCATTTGAAGCGTTTGAAGAAAGCCGCGACCACAAGCTCGTCAAATAATCACGTTGAAGTTCAGAATCATAATGTTGTAACTGGCACCAATGCGGCTCAGAACTTTCCTCCTGTCCCAAGTGCTTGCGCCCTTCCCTCAATGGCGGACGTGCCCAGTAGTGACGACTTGCCAGATTGTGACGTCTCGCTGCACGAAAATGACATTGCGGTCCCAGAAAACGACGGCGGTGGCCCCAGGCCTGAAGCTGGACCAGCAGCATCTGCCGGAAGCAGCCTGATGATTGATATCCGCGAAGTGGAGGAGGTTGTGGGTTCGCTGGAGAAGGAAAGCGGAAGCAGCGAGAAATTTGATGAGATGAAATTCGACCGCAACATGCTGTTCTCTAAGGAAAGCGCTGCATCAACTACATTACCACTCGGCTCTCCGGCGACCACTGCTCCCCCATCAGCAAGCACCTCGCCTGTCATCAAGGCCGCAGGGGAGAAAGATGATCGTAAAGCTGCACGGGTCGAAGATAACCTGCCATTAACGCTGAAGGGGCATGCCATCACTTTGACAAATATCAGCACCCTGTCACTCGAAGAACAACACGTAACTCGAAATGGGATTTCTCCGCATCTACGCAGTGGAGGAACCGCGCCAGACATCAGGGACTGTGTAGTCGGGCAGCGGCGACGCGTACCAGACACCCAGCATTCTACTCTCTCTTCTGGAGGAGACAAGACGGGGACAGGACTTTCTACACGAGAGGCGAGAGTCAGCCCTAGGAGGGTGAGCCGCAAAATGCGCGGGGGGGCTCGCGGAGGCCTTTCCTCAAAGAGGTCCTCTAGGGAGACGACCCCCCAAAATGCTGTGCAGGCAAGCAATGCGGCTGCTCCGGGTGTCGCTCCAGGAACTAGTACATCAGCCGCGAATAAGAGTAGCAAGAATTTGAAGAACTCCAACAAGGCATCACTGCAAGCGGCGACGCCTCGTGCGGCTCTCCCAGTTGTAGAGGAGCCTGGGGCTGCTACTGGACGTCGTGGCCTGGAGCCTGTGCTACGCAAGCGGCCTCAACCGACGACGCCCTCCCTCGGCGATCCGCCGGTACTCGTCCAGACAGTTACTCCAGCCAAGAAGAGAGCCCGGACCTCAGCGTAAATGTAAAACAAAACGAGTGGTCGCGCTCACTCGTGTCTTTGTATTATTTCAAGTAAAAAGATACAAATCAACGAACTCTTCTTGTCCATACTTAAAGATCCCGATTACATTATGACGGTAATTCGTACTTCTCAACGTAGCACAACTTTACTTTTTTGGTGCTTTGCTTGGTTATACGCCACGACTCCCAACTCCACGTGTCCCAAATATTATGACAAACATGTTGTAGATGAAACATTTCTGACCTTGATGTGGATGAGAATCTGTTCTTCTGCGTTGCTGCGATACTTATTTTCGCCAAGACTCAAGAGAAAGAGAGAAACGTTTGGAGTGTACTTCTGAACCTGATTTCTTTTCGAGTAGGTAAGTCACAGTTTCTAAGAGAAAAACCAATCTTGTTTCCCGATCCATCGTCTTTTGGATGCTCTTCAGCATTCTTTGTAGAATTTCATCAGATTTGCGTTAACCTCTCTGGGCGGAGTCTGTTGCCCAGCTATCATGTTCCATAGAATCACGTGTAAAACGAGCTGTGTGGATAGGTTGAGGGACATGTTCTGAGAGAAAACCAGAAGACAGTCAGTTTTTGCTGCGCAATTTGGCTCTGCAGAATGTTTTTCTTCATTTTTAACAAAACCTTGAGGCTTAGAGGAATATCGGACCGTGAGAATTGTCCTGAACGAGGTTAGAGTCCGGTAAGGCAGGCTGGCGCTTCATGAATCAGAGAGAAGGCATGTCGTTCCGAACCCCGACTCTGCCATTTCCCCCGCAAATTCTAATTGCGAGTTGTGCCCGATCTCTTGGAGATGAAAATGCAGCTTGTTATCAAATAAAATGTGGTTGCAAAAACATGCTTGCAAAAACGTCAGAGAAGTGGAAATGACGGGGTAATTTTTTGGACACAACAAGAGGCAAAAAGAATCAAGCATCATTTTTTTTCAATCCTGCAACGAACGACGTTTTCTGCAGTTGTTTGTCATACCATAGGTAGAACTCTATTTTCGTTTAAAGTCTACGCATCCCTGCTCAATATTCTCGCTGTTCCGAATCGAAAACAATGATGCAAAGGGTAGAGAATTTTGGCTGTCTTCAAATTCCCTCGAAAGAAGAGCGGCGGGTGGGTTACAGGAGAAAAAATAAGCGCCATTCCATGTCGCCTCACCGGTCAGGTGAAATTCCGCAGTCACCTGCGTGTTTGAGTATGGCGGACCGCTTGATTCTACCAAATAGCGAAGAACAGAGTTTTGGCCGTTCCCGAGTACCATCTGAGAGTATTTGCACTTCGCCTGATATCGCAGCAGGAAAGCCCTTGTTCGGACGCTTACTCAGTTTTAGAAGCAGCTGCTGCTCGAGTAGCAAAAGCTATTTTCGATTTTGCAGGAAGACACCCAGCATCTTCGCCCAGCATCTTCTGACTTTTGTCTACACTCTGCTCTTATCAGGAGTGCAACCTGTACCTGTTCTCGCGAGCGAGGTTCAGCTGTCCCCTTCTTGCTACATCAACTGGGAGGTACCAGATTGCCAGGAAACAGACGCCTGTGCCTGCATTTGGTACATTCGTATTCTCAACGAGGCGGCTTTCTACTTCGTACTCTTCATCATGACGAAATGGATGCTGCTAGGGACGCAGTAGAAAAGACAACAACTAGAAGTAGTCAAAGAGCTGGTTCTAGGGACGACAAAGGGAGTAAATGAAGCAAAGACTATTACAACAATCAACGAGCAGCAGTAACACTGAGTATCATCATACATAATAAAAGCGACAACGGGCTGCTTTTTGCGGTAGTCCACGGTGTTTCATCCATTGTAGAAACCCACCAGAAAAAGCATTGCCATAAGCGTAAAAAGTAGAGCTGTGAAGACAGAAGGGAAAAGGCATAGAGATCAAGTACTACAGGGAATAAGCGTTCAAGAAAACAACCACACCAGAATTTGGACTCTAGAATAATCTTGTTCTTTTCATCTCGTAGAGGCTAGAAGCGCGAAGATGCCTTCAAGCCCGCGGACGTCGAAGGACCCACCAGGGATGAGGGTACTATCTTAACGAAGACGTGATCTCAAAACCCTCGGTGGCAACCAGCGTTTGCTCATGATTGTAGCATGTATGTCCAAGCTGAAACGAATTAGATGAATAAGTAGTTTGATTCATTCTTTTTCCTTCTACTTGTGTAACCAAGATTACTCTGGTGCTTTCTTCAACTACAGATCCTGGGCCTAGGTCTGGGTGAAAGTGGTGTTTTTGAAAAAACGAAAGCGATGGAGCAGGAATTGCAGGAATTCTTTGCGAAAAAGGCAGTTGCAACAGGAACAGGCGTGATGGACACTAGCACTATGCCTCTAGGGGAAACGATAGCTAGAAGGGGTACGTCGAAGTCAAAAACGGATCGCGACGATGCAAGTTGTAGTACCGAACTAGGCAGTGGCTCCTCGTGCTCCTCAGCTTCCGCTGCGGCAGGTGGTGCAGGCGCAAATCTTAATGTGCTGCAACAGGATGAACTTAGAATAGGAAATTTAGCTGCGGCTCCTTCGTTTCAATTTTTCAATCGCGAAGCTAGCGTGGATGAATTGGAGAAGCAGGTGGCGGCGATGAAGTCTAATGTGTCAACGCCTTTGAAACGGGCAGTAAGTGGTGTAGATCTGCTGGAGGGGCCACACGCTTCAGCGGATCGTCATGGTAGTTCATCTAAAACATTAACAGGCCAGGAGCCATCAAACAACGGCGATTATGTTCGTGGTTCTGCAGCGCCCGTTCCTGGTGGGTCAGGGGGGACAGCAAATCCAAGTGCAGGCCGTTTCTCGTGGATGGCCTCGCCAATATATGCTGCGGGCTTTCGTCCACCGATGCGCGGAGGTGCGTCTACTGCGGGGACCCCTATGATAGGTAGCAAAGCTAGCGCTGATCATTTACTTGCGCCACCATCGAGTGATGACCTCTTCGGACAGAAGCGAAGCTTTTCGGTTGTTCGTGCGCCGCTTAACAACGCGAACGTGACTCCAACGGGAGGTCGAGATTCTACTTCTAGGATGCTCCTACGTGATGGTATGAATGCAGTAAGTGGAGGGCCGCTGAGTACACCGAGTGCGGTATCAGCGCGGGCGCTGGAGGAGTTCTATGCAGTTTCGGCACCACGGCAGTCCTGGAAGTATGTTGGAGCATCTGCTGCTTTGTTGCCAGAACGCGAAGACGAGGATCCGGTGCTGCCATTGCCGGGAGAAGAACCACTCCTGACTTTGCGCAAAGAGGTAGCACGCATGCCTCGATCGCTCTTCCCTGACGTTGTGGCTTTTATGGAGGCAGAACGCACTCCTTCGGAGTCTAGTGTGGCGAACCACCTTTCTTGTACACCGTCCATGCTTGGAAATGAAGTTCCTACAGAAGGAGACGTACTATCTTCTTCAGCAAGTCCCTTTGGACGAGGGAATAGGCAGCAAGTAAAGCTGGAGACATACCAAAATGCGGATCGGAGATTGCGAGGCATATACCATGACCGCAAGATGAAAGGGTCAACATCATCGCTTTTTAGGTATTCTGCAAAACCGGGAGACGGAGATGGCGATTACTTTTTGGAGACAGCAACTCAAGGGATTGAACAGTCATCTGAGCAAGGTGATACAGAGGAAGGCCTAGAGACAAGATCGGCTGAGAATTTGCGGATTCCGATTTTAGGCGGCCAGCTGTGTCATGAACCTTGGAGAGAGGAGAACATTGATCTGTTGAGTCCAGCAAAACTCTTGTTTCCTGTTCGGGAGCCTCGACTTGCAGCTTCGGAGCGCCACTACAACACCTCGAGCATCGACGATTCGACATCTGCATCCAGTAAGGGAGCGACTGAGAAAAGAGGCTGGTGGGAGACGCGGCCGCGTGGTGCCGTAAAGCCTTTCCGGTTGGAGCCGCCAGTAAGATTGGCCCAGAGGCCGCTCTACGAAGTGACTAAGTCGGAACAACAGGCTGTGCAGGAAGCCTTGCAGCGCCGCCTTGAGGCGGAGCGGCTGCGCAAAGCCGTTCTGGAGGAGGAAAATGCGAAGCCGAAAGTCGATCCGGACTCAATGGTGCTGTCTGCTTTCCACTGTCGCAGCTACTTGTCCGCGTCGAGCTATCTGACGAGGCCGCCAGGGCGGGCAACGAGCGTGCCGCCACCAGCTAAAAGCGCAGCAAGCACTCGCGACCGGTCATCCGGATCCGAGTGGACCATCGCTGCTAGACATGCTCAAAAATTCGGGGAGCAATCAAAATTGGTTGGTGCGTACACAGAGGAGCGGCGGAAACTGCTTGAAACGTTAGACGTGCACAAGCCTCCGCCGGGTACAACTAGAGGACATTTCTGGATTGCGTATGTACTTAGTTACTTCAGGAGCTGGCCGTGATTTTTTACTAGTCTGGAACAGAATTCTATGTTATAGTCATTGAATACCTCAGGTTCGAGAAAAGGACTGCAACATCGTGCGAAACCGTCTTCAGAAATGGGGCAACGCCTAGCGCGGGAGTCGAGTTACGACATTTTCATGCGAAACCTGAACCGCGTCTCAGAAAAGAGTATTGAAATTGCCCTAGATGAGGAAACCTAAAACATTGGAGTTGTAGTACCAGATCCACGTTGATTTGAATTTGTGAGGCAACAAATCTTTGAGACGAAAGAAGAAAGATTACGACCTGAAAGACTTTTCTTTGCAATAAAAATCAGAAGCGCAACGGGCAAGCAGTGTATTCGTACGAGATCCGAGTGGTGCCGGCTTTCAGGTGGCACGCACTGGCGATCGAGACCCTCTAACTCTTTCGGGAGCTTTCCGAGATTCACAGCGCTGGGACATTCCATCCTATTCGAGACAGACGCAGTTACTGCAGCAATGATTCCCTTCGTCAATCGAGCAAGCTGTACAACTAGAGAGTCGTCGAATGCCTTCTGTAAGAATACTCGCCAAGAAAAAAGCCATCGCCGCCTAAAAACGCGCCTCGATGATAATTCGCGAATGGACTAGATTTTTGTCATTTGGGGGAGCCGTCCAGACCCGGTTTACAAACTAATTTTAAGCGAAGACAACGATGATGAGCATTGTTAAAGACTATACAATGAACATGAACATTACCTGCATTCTTGTCTCCAGCCAGATTCAATTTTATGAATCGAGGGATCCACCGCTTTTTTCTTTGTTGCTCAAGAAACCAGCACGCGAGGACCGATGAAAATATTCAAAAAACGCCACGCCACGGAAAAATTCAAGCTTTGCTATACACCTACGTCAGAAAAACAAGTTACGCTGTGCGATAGAAGCAATTACGTTACAAAAACAAGTTGCGTGAGATGAAGATAATAACTACAAACACCAGTAAGAAAAATCATAGACGACCACGGTTACATCAACATATCATTATCATGCTCAATCGAATCATCGCAGCCATTTGCTTGAGATATTTTTAGAGGCAGTCTCTCTTGGAGTACTCAGATTAATGCGTGGTCGAGCCATGATTCACGTGACGGCTCCCTGATATGTGTGCATGCAATTGAATGGCAACTAGAATGGTCTTTGTGTGGTTTCTATTGGCAGCTCGAAGAATCATTCTTTTTGCGAATTTTCCCCTTTGCACAAAGAAAGCAAATCTATCATTGTCGTAAAACAAGAGAGAAGGCTTATTATACATACTACGAAAGTACGATAAGAACCCTACCACTATGTGTTTGAATACCGATCGCTCCCGGAAAGAGGCATAAGATGAAAATGAAGGTGTCGTAGCAAGTCAAAACTCGATAAAGCGAAAGGGCAGAATCAGTTTTGTAATGCTCTACGTAGTTCAAAGAAAAAGAAGCAGGGCTCACTTTGCACTTGTGCCTGCAACTGTGGCATTAGAGGTCGGTCGTCTTTCATAGCGAAGCTCGTCGAAAAATTTCTCGAGTAAGTGGTCCAAATGGACGAACCTATCCCTAGATCCGTTTTCATTTGGTTGAAACTCTTTATGTTCTTTTTGTAGATCGTGATAAGTACCTTATCTTTCAACCTTTGTGAAGATCATGCCGGCCATGGGGCTGAATGAATCCGAGCGGCGGAAAGATGGGAAGGCGGAAATAGCTCGAAAGATAGCTGCGGCCCGTAATAGCGAGGGATCCAACGACGGGGCGTCGCCGGTGTCTCCGTCAGCCGTCCTTCTTTCGAAGTTCGGTGTTTTTGTTGCGTGCCTTGTCGTCATCGTGGCCGCCACGAGCTCATGGCTCACTCTACAGTTTTCGGACCGAGGCGTCACACCAGCAAACAAAGCGAAGCACGATATACCCGTTCTCGCCAAGGGAGTGCACGCTGGTTTTTCTAGTGGTAGTACACCCATGAGACACTTCTTATTTTTTGTGAATCAGGATTCATAAGCAATTTTTTTACTTTATACTTTTGTTGAGAACAACAACAAACACTGATCCTCCTCGTGGAGAACGTCACTTAAGGCTTATTGCTTGTGATATTGATCTTTATGTGCAGTATCTAACTGTAATCAAGAGATTTGTTATCCGTTAGTACCTCGTAATATAATTCCCTTCGTCATCCTATTTATGGATTTTTTTTTGCACTAGAAGCGAAACGTAGTACGCAATGGATGCCGAGTATCCCGAGCGTTTTACAGCCGGTCTTGCGCATCGGCGCGTTAGCGGGAATTAACGAGGTCAAGGGGTGTTACGAGCGCGCGTATGATAAGCCGTTTGCGAACTATTGGAACGTGAACTCCTCGACATTAAGCCACAGCCGATTATGGCCATTGTTTCTCAAGCTCAGCAATACGCGACGTCGTGCTGACGACGACGTATCATCCCACGTAAGTAAGTTCTTACTTGGAGCTGATATGTAAATTTAGGATCGCGAGCACGATGAGGGGGCCACATTGGAATTGAGTAGTTAAGAGAAGGAACTAGAGTCCTTTTTTGTCTAACGTAATCGCGGCAGGAAGATTCATCCGACGAGTACGATTCTGACGGGGACGACGCTCCATTGGACAGCTCTGAAGCTGGAAAAAAAAAAGCCGACACTGGTACGTCCAGCTCTTCGGCAACGAAGCTCTTCGCGCATAACAGCGTAGGGAGTGAAGATGGTTGGCAGCGAACGCATGAGACGCTAAGGCTACTGGAGAAATGATTCTTGAGAATGCAGTCTACAAACTCATCTCGTTCGTGTTTAGGTGTGTACGAAGTGCCATGTTTACTTTCAGACAGCATAGGATCATATGGCTAGTTCTTGTAGATGTAACGACCTAATACTAGCAGGGTGAAACGACATGGCTCTTCTTCTTCTTCTTCTTCTTCTTCTTCTTCTTCTCCTTCTTCTTCTTCTTCTTCTTCTTCTTCTTCTTCTTCTTCTTCTTCTTCTTCTTCTTCTTCTTCTTCTTCTTCTTCTTCTTCTTCTTCTTCTTCTTCTTCTTCTTCTTCTTCTTCTTCTTCTTCTTCTTCTAATTTGTGCGTTCAGTACATTGTACTTGATCGGACGACGCGCCAACGATATTTTGGTGCCGCCCAATCATCCGGATGCCAAAGCGTGGCCCACGAGAGTTAACGTCGCCAACTATTTTCGATTCATCCCTGTACTAGTGCGAGCGCTAGCGGCGTTTTTAGATCAGAAGTGCGCAACTGCTGCGAAACATAGGAATAAAACTGTGGCTGGTGACTACGACGACCCTTGGCAGGAGAGAGTCTGCCGGCTTAACATGGAGAGCGGGTTAGCGAGTTCGAAATTCACTCCTTCCACCGAGGACACACCGGCGCAAATGCTGTCAATGCGCGAGAGGTTAGCAAAATTTACTACAGAGACAGCGTTGTTATTCGGCGAAGCGGCTGAGTTCGCTGAACTACACATGGTCGAACCTGAAACAGCGATACGATTCTACACCTCCGAAATCGTCCCCTGGTCGTCGCCACAGGAACCATCGAGCGCAAAAGTACTGTGCCTCTCTTACTTTGTGTATGCTCTGTTAAAGCTAAACTAGATTCCGTTATCGTACCATACATTCAAATAGAAATACATTTTGAAAGGGTCGCTTTTCAACAACAAGCAACAGGTGTCCGCCTCAAGCGATTCTGCGAAGATTTATTCTGATGAAGCGGTAGGCGAGGTGTGGCCGAAGTATGCAATTCAGATCTTACATGCTGTTCGCGTTGCGGGATTTGGTGAGTGGAAGGGGACGGAGCACTTTTTCAATGACAAGAACGGTTTTCGACAAGCAATGTGGAACTTCATTCACAGCTTCGCGGCGTGGGGTGGGTATCGGTACTCTTCCGGAAAGGCTAATAAATCGCAGTTTAGTGCCATGTTCCCGTCACCACAGGGGCTATTGAACTTCCTCGATCATTACGTCGAATTCATGCATCCGTGTCCGATATGCCGCACGCGCTGGCGCGAGGATGGCCCGGCCTTATTCGGGACCATTAAGTCCTTTGACGACTTGCGACTCGGCGCATGGGTCCACCACAATGATGTGAATCTTAGAATACAGAAGGGAATGTCAAACGCAATCGAAGCCGAAGACGAAAGTACTACTTATAGATATTCACTTGGAATTGGGAGGCGGGGCCGCGTTAAGGGGATGCTTCCTGCAGCCTCCTAGCTGTTCCGCAGCTTGTCCGTAGCTGTTCCGCAGGGTGCTCCTGGGGGGCTCGCATGAGCGCGGGCAAGGCTCAGCGCACAACGCTCCTGCGCTGCTCCTGGCTGTTCCGTAGCTTGTTCCGCAGCTGTTCCGCGGAGTCTTCCGCAGAGTGTTCCGCAGCTGTCCCGCGGCTGCTCCGCAGAGGGTTCCGCGACTGTTCCGCAGAGTGCTCCGCGGTTGTTCCCTGGTGCGTTCTGCAGAGTATTCGGCCACGGGGTGGCGGTTTTGCCCACAATTGCAGGGGGAGCGTCTCTGCAGAGGAGAGGGGCGTGCTCTGGAGGCGCAGGGCATAGACGTGCCGCCGAGAATGAATGCGGCGGCGGGTGTCGCTGTCGCACGCCGCTTGGTGTCTCGCCTGGGTGGATACAGGAGGTCACTGCCGCGCCGCCGTACTTCCCCCTCCTCTCCCGCCGGCACCTCAACCTCTGCCCTCTCTCTCTCCAACCGTCTCCCGCCCTCTCCCTGCCTCCCCTTCCATCTCCTCTTCCCTCGTTCTCTCTGCTCCCCTTCCCTTCGCTTCTCTCCTCCTCTCCCTCCAGAAATAGCCTCCAGCAGCGCGCGCAGCGCGACGCCCGTAGTACTTACTTATTAATTTGGAATGGGTTTATTAGAAGTCCTAGCACATGCGGCATCAAAAACATTTTCGGATGACACATCTTTTGATTAGAAAATGAAAGTAGCAGCCAGACAGCCTATTAGTATGGTCATTGTAAATTTTTGAGCTTATGACATCAACAACGTGCATCCATCAACATGATCAACATGTACTTGTATTTACCTATGTAAATGTCGCGGGATACTCCCGACGAACACGGTGTATGATGGACGCGTCTTGCTCTTACGCCACACAGTTGAGACTCTCTTGTGACAGTTTCTTTCACGTACAGGTGTTCCGGGAGTCATGGAAGTACGTGCGCTATTTGCATCCGACAAACGGTGGCCGAGTTGTGATATGTGCCCCTCGTGCTGGAAGAACGGAGTGTGCCGTGAACCACTGTTGTCAAAAGCGCCCACTTCAGATCCAGACGATGCTACGCCAACGGCGAAAGCTGACAAAATCGACGGTAACGCTTTTCGCCAAGTTTTCGACCAGCATCAAGTTTTGAGCTTCCTCGAATCTACCTACAAGTGACTTGTTGTCCCCGCCCTTTTAGTCCACGCTATATTCAAATTAGAATTGAGTTTACTTGGGGAATCATTTAGATGAAGGAGATTCGTTAATTTGTTTCGTTAGAATTTAGGTCTTTTTGCTTTTCTTACCTCGTGAACTCATCCTATCATACACACTGAAAGTCATATCTTAGAGATTCCCCGTCCCAAAAATCCTCCTCATTTTTTCGGATGCCCTTGCATGCTCAGCTATCTGAATATCGACCTTCATTTCCCTTTTTTGGTCGAGTTTCGACGTTTAGATCATGTACAATGTATCGTCGTCCTCGAGCTCGACTTGCCTTCATTTTGTTTCCTGTATTCTGCTTGCGAGTCAATCAACACGCTTTGAAATTCTTGTTTTTTGCTCGATATTCGAGGTACATCAAAAGTTTTTCATATCTAAATCATGTAAGCCTGGGTTCATTTCTACACAAACGTGTCATTGTTCGGGAGTAGTCCAAACACACCTAAACATTGTGCAACATTACCACCTGACCTTTACGGTCAGGATGGTGCTAGAAGAAGATTCAAACTCGAAGATCTTCACACCAGCCATATCACGCCTTTACGTTCTGCGTCCACTGCGCTAGTCTGCCGGTAGGAGAGAAGTTTTGTCCTTGGACCTCCGCTAGAAGGTAACGTTGATCATGTTCAACATCATCCCCAGAATTTATTAAATCTTAGATAGAGATTCTGTTTTTTGTTACTTATATATGTTTCAGGGCTCAGGGCTGAAGGCACCCTCCTCCGATCTAACTTTTTGAGGGGGGGCCTCCAGCCCCGGCCCCTTTTTCTCGAGGGGCTGGCGGGCGGGAAGGCCTCCAAACGCCCACGTTCGCGGCCTCGCGGCCTCTTGCGTGTACCCTACAGAACCCAAATTCCTGAGGCCGTTCAAGCACCGACGGCCGGGGGCGGGAGGCTTGCGAAAGCGGCAAAGGTGACAAAGCTGGAGGCCCTTGCCGTGTTGCATGGACCCTACAGGCCTCACATGCCGTGTTGCCTGTACCCTACAGACCTCCCGCGCGCGGGCTCCTCACTGGGGGGGCTTGGGAGGTGGAAGGCCTCCGAGGGCCGCAGGTGGCAAGGCTTGACACCTTTCGCCGTGCTGCATGTAACCGACAGAACCCAGGCGGGCACGTCTTGCCCCCCCTCCTCCTCGCCTTTGGTCTTCATCCCCCCGGGTGTTTGGTGGCGGCTGACGTTGCCACCAATTGGGGGGATGAGCGCCAAAGGGGCCAGGCTTCGCGACCGTGGCCGCCTTCGGCGGCCTTCTTCCCCTGGAGGTTGTCCTCCTGATAGGGTCCAAGAGTCGGGACGCCTGTGGGGTACACGCGGAGAGCCGCCAGGGGGCTCCGGCTCCGCCTTTTGAGGCCTTCGCCGCCGGGAGTCCTTACATGTCACCGCGGCGGAAAAAAGTGCGCGCGGACGCCACCCCCGCTCCATCCACAGCGGGAGGGGCCTCCCTCCCTGGTAGGTATATATGTAACCCAGTAGTGCCTGCTTGTCTGCATACTGATGCGACTTTGACAACATGCTTGATCTACGAAAGAAATCTGACATCATGTTCTTTTCAAAGAAAAATTTCGTCAAATGTCAAACATCCAACGAAAACTCATGATGAAGAAGGCTACGACAAACTACAACCCGAGCACAAGACGAGATGATTCGTGACTCCGAAGTTGGAGGCGACGTGTTTCGCCTGAAGGTTGCGAAGAACTGCAGATGAAGAGAGGACAGTAATGACTTTTCCACAAGCTCCCTTAGGTGAGAACCAAAAAGCCTTGCAGGGGCCGGCAAGAATGATAGGAGTTTCTACAGAAGTGCAGACGGCTCTTCGTGCAAGGATACGCGGTCGGTACCTAAAGGGTCCAGCCAAGCGGCAACTCGTGAAACGGTTGCCGTCTGAGTGTAAAGGCAACATTGAACTACAAAGACATGAGCGATGAGTGTTGACGACCATCATCTTTTGTCCTTCTGTTCAGTGAACTGGTGCTGTGTAGTAAATAACCCATACGCATTCCTTACATCTGTTCAACAGTTGAAATTGCAAAAATCCAAAATTGCGTATTTGGCGAAATCAAGATAGAGTAGTCGTTGTCTTCCTTCTTTGTAGTCGGGGAGCGTGTAGCGCTCCCCACAACAGAAGGGTATGCGGCATGTTGACGTGAAAGACATACTGCGTATGATAATATGAGCAGGCTGCTGTTCCAGTTTTTCTCCAGGAGGCTCGAAAATGTCGCGAAGACATCTATTGTGGGTCCTCATTGGTACTGCTCTGACAAAGACCAGCGGCACGCGCGGCTGGGGACTCAGTAACAATCCTCCAGAGGAAGAAGAGATTGACGAGGAGAATGAAGTGGCGGCTCAGAACAATCCCCCAGAGGAAGAAGAGATTGACGAGGAGAATGAGGTGGCGGCTCAGAAGAAGCGCTTGCTCGAAGAGCGACGACGCACCCTGGCAGCGGAACTGGCTAGCAAGCGCGACGAGCCTACAATCGTCACAACGAAAATAGGCTCGAGCCTTCAGGAAGAAGAAGACGAATACGTTGAGCTTGTAGAAGGTGCTTCTAGAAGTCAGCTGACAATACCCTCGACGGTTGGAGTACCGAATCTTCCAGCGAATCAAAAATCGGAACCGATCATTGCTCTTCAAGCGCAACCGAAGGCCGAAAGTGGTGAGAGCGACGGAGACACAAGTGTTCGGATCTTAGAAGAGGTCGTTCACCATCGAAAGCCACTTCACTTTGACAAGTCGGAGCTTTCCACCACCAAGAGATCAGCAGGAGAAGCAGATCATGCACAAGCATCTCCGGAGCAGCTTGCTGTTTCAAAACATATTCTTCAACCCACTGATCAAGAGAATAAAACAGTTGATACTAACCGCAGACGCGAAGGCGCCGCCGGTGCTACCGTGTTGCTGCAAGAGGAAAATGCTGTTGCGAACGATAATGCAGTGCCAGGAATTGACAGAGGAGGGAAGGAAGAGGTGGAAGACGAAGATCTAATTCGCGAGAAGGGTCAGCGATCCTATAGTTCATCGGCGGTCGACAGTCAATCCGTGTCCACGCGGCAACCTCTCAGTCATGGAAGTGATGTGCAGCTAGGCGTGCAGCGTAAGTTTGAGGAGGTTGGCTCCTTCGTCGTCGACCCAGGTGGCCTTGCTCAATTTGTCCGATTTTCGCAGCCATTTTCTTTTAAGCTTGGAATATGTGTATCATTATCTTTGAACCTCAAGATCGATGCAGTCTTGCGTGAAGAGTTTTATCATCAATAGCTGTCGTGGATACTTCTCCTCCTCTTTCTATAATTGAGTCCTGCGCGGCACTCACCGCTTTGTATGACAGATGGTTCAAAAAGAAACGATGCCTCCTTGTCAGATGGGCTAGATAAAATAGTTACCGCTTTAAGGCTTTTTCTACGAAGGATCCAAGTGCAGATGAAGATGGAAAGAATTCTGCCAACGCCAAGGAAGTTGTCGTTTTCCTTTGCAATGAAGCCAAGCGGGGTAATCTTGAGGTGCGCGGCATTGGGCCAGACGGATTCTACGTTCAGGATGCATCTCCGCTTCCGACAGTTGGTGCATCTAGGACAAGTACTCCGTCGGGTTTTGGAGGTGAAGACGTTCTGGGAATCGAAGCGCAGAAGCGCGGATCTTTTATCGCAGTGTCGGTGGCGGCTGGGACGAGCGTGGAACAACAAGGCACAGCGGACGTCGATTCACGCGTAAGGCACACGCTTGCTGAATCGTCGAAGCGGTTTGCTGGTGCGCTTGATTTTTCCTCAATGCTGGACTCTGTGCAAAACAAGAACAACGCTCAGACACCAGGTGCTCGACCCTCTTTGCGTGTCACTTTCCCGAAGCCTTTTCTCTCCGACTGCATTGCAGTTATAGCTGGCCCACGTGCGCCGGAGGTTTCGACCTCGTTCTTTCACGACCATCCATTGCGGTATGCTGCGTTGCTGCGAACGTCGTGGCACGTTTCTCATCGTAGGTCCGAGCGGAATCTGCCGAGGCGCGACTCCAGTGTCAGAAATAATGTAAATGTCTTGAGTTTCCATTTATCGCAGATTTCGGATTCTCCGGGAGAACCGAGCGGTCACCGTGGCCCGACCCAGGCAGAGTTGATCTCCTGTGCCGAGGAGGTTGGATTTCAGGCCTCAGGCGAGAAGCCTGGTTGCCCAGCTGGCGAGAACCAAATTTTTTCGAATGACGCCACCGCAGGTTTCGCAGGTCTGGGCGCGTGCCTTTGCCCCAGTGGAGAACTGTACACGGTGGGAGACAGTGGCGACATGTGTGCCACGTTGGCTTGCGATGGAGGTGTCTCTCTCGGCTGTGAGTACGGAGGTCTGGATACTGCAGAGGACGAGGACGCGCTCTTTCGATACTACCTACATCACATTCGCGACACCAATGATCTGCAACACTCTGGGGCACATCACAAGACGAGAACGCCACAGCCGCTGGAAACGATCATACATAACCCAAAGAGCAGAAAAATCGTTGGTGATGGTCCTGCTGGTCACGCCGCGTCGTCCCAAGGTGCCTCTCAAAATCAAGTGACAGAGCGAAGGAAACCAATTCCAGGAAATATTGCGAACGCATCAAATGCTGTACGCATCTCTACTTCGGACGTTGCAGCACCTGCTCAACAGCCGCCATCGTCACCCAATGATGTCGCACTCGCAGGCGCCACGTCGCGCAGTGCTAAAGACAAAGAAGGAGAACAAGAAGGTGCTGTAGGAGGAAGTAGTCATCACGCTGCACACCCGTCTCCGACAAGAGCGGCACGCTCCCCCGTGGTACCTTCTGCTACAACGCATGTCTCTCAGCAAACGCAACTTCAACCAGTAACGCCAAAAGAGCAAGCATCAGTAGTGCCCAAGAAAGCAGCATCAGACTCGGCAAATATACGACCACCCGTGCTCCCTGCCACACCGGGCACAACTGCACCTCCAGCCGCGGGATTGCCGATTGAAGGGGGGCAGGCGGCTCCTGCAGTAAGTGAAGAAAGCACAACACCGAGACCAACAACAGTGCCGCGGACACCGGCGGAAGAAGACGCTTTTCGCAGAGGGAACTTTGAGTTTGACAAAGACAATTACGAACAAAAGGAAGTGCATGATTTTGTGAAGTGGGCTGGCGATGTAGCGAATGCGAAGGCTTGGCGTGTCAACGAAGGCATTGACGCAATTGCTAACTGGGACTATTTTGGCAAATGGGCTGCTACAGCGCGCAAATTGGCAGAAGTGAGCCCAGAAGGCAGTGTACTCCATACAGACGGCGAGGACAACTCTTCCGTCTCTTCGGTATCTTCCAACGAAGGTCCCAATGATACTCTGGAGAACGAGATGACAGGCCCCAATGATACTCTGGAGAACGACCAAGAAGGCGGGCAAACGTTCGACGACCGTCCGGCCTTTCAACAAGAATCTGGTAGAGATGGAGGGGCGAAGAGTAAACTTCTACGCGAGGAGGATGCGCGTAGTGCGTTCTTGGATTGGTTGCACAGTCATGACGCAGAATCCGCTCGCACAGCGCTTCACGACTGGCTGCGGGATCGCAACAGAGAAGAGGCGCGCTCCGCCTTTGCGGATTGGTATACAAACGTGCGGCGCACGAGCTCTGACCCACAAGGGCCTCCTCGAAGAGGCGTCTCCCTTGCGCAAGTTTATGAAGACCACACGTTCGGATCGGAGAAGGAAGCGACCAGCTCAGCTCAGCCTGACCATGGCGAGGAGGCGGAAATCGAGGGCGGCGAGCGCGTCAAGTCATGGCGCGTTCCAGATCTGCGAAGCACCATTGGCGCTCTTTCTTTGATAGATGCAATTACAAGGCGACACGAGACTCTTCGGCAAGAAAGGCACTCATCAGATGGCACGGCATCGGAAGACGATCAAATATTAAATCCTAGCTTGACTGATTCAGAAAACTTTTCAGCCAATGGCGCGTTTGTCTTACAAAATATAGACGGAAGTGCACGCTCACACCCTGAAGGCGTGCACGGCACGCCGCCAGTGTCGTCTGAGGAAAGGCGCAGAGTCGGCATCCCTATAGCGGCAGGGCGTCGTATAGTTTGCCGAGCATCAGACGCAGATTTCCGAGTAAACCCTGACGAGCTATATCGCGACGCGCTGTGGTCGGACGAGAAGAAAGACTATGTCCGCGAGAGTGTCTATGGCTACGGAACAGACGAGGAGGAGAGCGACTCGTCGAGCTCTGACGATGAAGACTATCACAATGGAGCAAATATGCTGAATGAAAGCGCGAGTAGACCATCATCGTTTTCGTCAGCGAGACGTGGAACATTTTCAAATTCAAGGCGGTTGGAAAGTAATAATAGTACAATCCAGGAGGATAATTCAGCTAAACCTAAAGGATCGCAAAGCGAAAACGTGCCATGCCGTGAATATCCCGGCTCACGGTGGCCACAATGCGGCCATCAAGGGCGCAACCTCGTGCAAAAGAGAGTTACAGCGGCGCGCATTCTCCTGTACCGACAAGTGCAGCTTTTCGGGCGATATGAGCACAAATACGGGCTGCAAGGGGAGCTGTATGATTACAACCTAGGCCCGCACGGTGTGGACGAGAAAGCCCTATCGGAGGCGGACCTCGAAACAAAGCGGCAAATCAAGATGCGGGTTGAGGAACGATTCCCAGAGCTAGATCTGACTCTTGCAGAGGGGCTACGCCCAGGAGATCTGATCGTTTATCGTAAGAACGAAACGGAAACG